CCACGTTCAGGTTCTGAAGTGATGCCAGGGCTGCTGAATCGGCATCAAAGGAATAATGTCGAGACTTCGCCGCGGCTGGATCGTGTCGAGAGAGCAAGAAGTTGAAGTTCTCCAGTCTCTCGTAGTTCGATGCAGCCACTTGACGAGCAAGATTTTGCTGACGCTGCTCGTCAGACATCTTGGGGGATGTTTTTTTTCTTTTCTTTTTTTCTCCCTCTAAAATTTTTTTAACCTCCAATTCTTGCCGAATTGAGTGAAGCAAAGAACAAGGGAGCAGATTAGATTATGACAGATATAGTCTACCCAAGAGAATGTCATGCGCCTCCCCAGAGATCAGCTGAAGAGGGGAAAGCTCAGAAGGCGAGGGAAAATATTGTCAAAGAGCCCACGAATAAGCGAGGTCGAAGATTGGACGATCGGTGGTGAGTTAAGGTATCCCTATGCTGCAATCACACGGCTTTTTGTATTGATAAAAATAATGCCTCCCACTTGATCATTGCTTTCGCATAACGCGGGAGGAGATGCAGCCACGTACACAACGGCAGATGGATTGAGCAACGGGAAGAAAAGAAGGCTGGATGCTAGGATGGTGGTGATGCTGATGACGATGACGATGATGCGAATGGGGACGGGGATGAGGAGAGTAAGACACCGGATGAAGAGGAAGATGTCCTTCGTCGGATTGTGCTGGAGCTGTCTGTCTATCGTCTATCCCCAAGACTGGCGGGTCCCTAGACAGGTAACTTAGGTCGATGATCTGAATAATCATCCACAATAGACCGTCTTAATAAAGCGAGATGTTGTTGTTTGGTGATCGTCTCATGCCTGCTTGGGGCTAGTCGATGATCTGATGAAATGGAGAAATGTCGTGATCGCCAACGCTGATTCGTCCGTGGAGAGCTACCTCGGAAATCAGGGCAGTCGACAGTCGCGCTGGCAAGATGCTTCAACTGGGACAACGGGTCAGAAGAGGATGAATGGACCAGAAATATGATAACGGATGATTCTTGAAGGTTGATGTTGAATCGGAAGAACAGGATGGGATGTCGAGGACGTATATAAACCGATGTTCTTCCATGTGCAACCGGCAGGAACTAGGTAGATAGCTGGAGCTGACGGAGGTCTGGAGATGGAGGCTTCAGGTTGTCCAATAAAGAAAGACTCAGGGGACCAATCGGAAATGCCAGCAACGGGACTGAAAATACTGTGCAAGGTACCTTTGTCTAGTGTTCCCATCATCATCATCATCATTATTATTATTATCACTGTTCGGATGGTCTGAGATTCGGTCAATCTCCACTTGAAAGACCGATCCATCATCCAGCGGGAGAGAAAAAGGAGATAATCATCCTGAGAAACGCGTTGCCCAATGACGTGGTCAGAAAGGCTGTTAATTCGAACTTGAAATTCAAGAGGATCAGGTAAAATGTGGAGAATCAGAGATACTCCTGAGTCCAGAGTGTCCTGTCTACCTGTGAAGGCTTGGTTTCTCCTGAATTCTATTATTCTATTTCCTGCGCTTCGTCTTTCCCCGCGCTAATCCACCACAGGATCACAACGGTAGATATCTACGAAGTACGGAGTATATAGTTCCCTTCTACATCAGTCAGCCACGATCCTGTGAAATACACTAAGCCAGAGTGCGGCAGCGGGATACTTCCAAGTCAGTCAATTCGACTATCCCTCCTTTCTAGACCGCATCTTTGACACAAGTCCCCCTCTGTGTCCTCCGAGCTCTTAACCCCGAGGCTTCACTATGCGAAGCTTGTCTGATTCCATGGACTTGATTGCCCGGTTGGCGGTTTCACTGCTCAGTAGTCCTAAGAGGTGACCGTTGAATGCTGTGTTGTTTGTAGGTACGTGCTCTGTGACGACCACTGCGCTGTAACATGGGCTGTGTACTCCGTCCTATGATTGTCACCGCCACTTGGGACAAGAGTCGAGATGCGGAGTAAGCCCGTTAGATAGTGAGGAGATCTCGCTACTCGGTACGGAGTAGATATCTAGACTGTTACTGGCAATCTCGAGTGACAAGGGCTCGTCTTGGCTATAGGCTGAAAAGTTTATGCTGCGTTTGGCCTCTGGTCAAATGGCTACAATGATATGAGGGCACAAGATGCGATCGACATCTGTATGCACAGTACAAATTGTTAGGTATAAGTGTCATCAATTTCATTCGATTGGACATTTTTCTCTATGCATCCGCCACGTTCTACACTAGACATAAGATCACATAGATATATTACCTACCCGGCACGATCAGCCGGGACAATCATGCTAGTTGATATCAAGACATCTAAAACTCCTGGTTTTCATCACCGGAAATGATGACGTTGTTGATCTGTTCTCAGTCAGTCTGAGAACACGCGCCAGTTACACATGGGTCCGAATCCATACCTTGAGAACCATGCGGCAGAGCTGAGTAGCGAGCAACAGTTGCTGGCGCTTGCCGATCAGAGGATCAATGACAAAGTGCTCTTTCATATCTGTTGCGCAGATGTAAGCATAGACCCTTTTCGCCAATCAAAACATCAAACCCATACCATTGTTGCCGGTCAACATGCAGTCGACACCCAACCGCGAGTTATTCTCCTTAACCTGGCGCGACTTGATCGCCGCAAGTGTCTCGATCGGGCTCAGACCCGAATTCTCGGCCAACGCCAAGGGCACCGCATCCAGCGCATCCGCAAAGGCACGCATAGCGTATTGTTCAATGCCGGGGCTCTGAAATTCTACGAGTCAGTTGCTGTGTTGAGACATGAGTCAAAGACTACCTACCTTCACAGCAGCTTCCTCCACCGCGAGGGAGCAAGCAATTTCAGCAGCACCACCACCATATACGACCCGGTTATCTCTGACGAGGTTTCGGACGACACAGATAGCATCGTGTAGCGAGCGCTTGGCTTCATCGATGATCTAGGAGACGGGTCAGTCATGTCTCTGTCTTCCGTACTGAACAAGCCCGACGAACCATCTTGTTGCTTCCTCGTACGAAAATTGTAACGGCACGGCTGTTGGCACACTCTTCAATGACAAGCATCTTCTCCCGGGTGGTACCGAATGTCATCTCCCGTACGCGACCTGCGGTTCCCAATTTCTCCGAGCTCAGGTCCTCAAACCGAGGAACAATTCGTCCATTCGTAGCAATGGCAATGAGTTCAATTTCGGGACCACCAACCCACCGGACGGCAGGAAGCTTGTTCTGGAGTAGAAGGTGGTTTGCCTCGTCGTCGAAACCCCACTGGCAGATCACCAGGTTTGCACCTGAGTCTTTCAAGTGCTGGATCATCTCTGTGAACTTCTCTCGTTCGTAGTCTTGCAGCTTCTTGAACTCTTCGACGGATGTGATGTCGAGCTTGTGCTTCGTCTTCGGCTTCGGAGGCTCGAACGGGCATGTCAAGATCGCCAGCTTGGCATCTGTAACCTCGTCGGGCATCTGGGGGTGAGAGAAATCTTTATCCACAATAACACCTTTGACGAGCAGCGAGTCCTCCAGAGCACCGCCAACCTTTCCGTCTACCTTGATCAGTTCGAAATCGACATCCTTGCGCTCGAGGTCCGCGACTGAAAGCACCGCATCGACGGCGATCTTGGCGAACTGGTCGTGAGATTTCGAGACACTAGAGAAGAGTCAGTTATCAATCATCCAAAATGTAACGAGGCGGTGTCAATGTACATTTTGCTACCAAGACTGGTCTTCGCAACCTTGAGTAGGTTCTCGGTATCATCTTTGGTGAACGGGATATCGTCGCTGATCTTGTCGAGCTGAGCAACAGCAATCTCACAAGCCTGGTCATAACCGTCTGCAATACGAATGGGGTGGATTCCCTTGTCAATCAGCTCGGCCGCCTGCTCGAGCATAGCCGCCGCCAGGACAACGACACCGGTTGTACCGTCACCGATCTCCTCATCCTGAGACTTTGAGAGCTCGACCAAGAGCTTGGCAACGTTGTTTGTGATTTCCATCTTTGGACAGTCCAACTAGTCAGTGACACTCCGAATCGATGATCGCCGAGGTGATTGAAGAACGGACCTGGGAGAGGATAGTTGCGCCATCATTGGTAACGGTGATATCACCGTCTGGGGAAATCAAAATCTTGTCAAGACCGCGGGGACCCTATAAGCATTCTTAGACGCCGTTCCGATTTTCATAAAACCTCCGGACCATACCAAAGAAGTCTTCACAATGTTGGCGACAGTCTTGGCAGCGACAATGTGTGATTTTACAGCCTCGGTGCCGTGCTGTCTCTTCTTCTTTCCCTGGCTATGCAAGTAGATTTTGTATCAGTGTCTGATCACCGCAAGAATTCACATTCCACAAAGGTCAAGATAAGCTAGGGTATGGGTCTCCCGCAACATACTCTCGGACAACGATGAACGGCCGACCCTGTTCATCTTTCATAACAGACGCTATTGTAGTTGTTAGTCACAACCCGGAGCGTAAGGAAACCGGAAGCAGAGGTGAAATCAACCTTGAGACAAATCAAGTTCTAAACAAAGGCAGCCGGAGTCAGTACATGGAGCGAATCTCGGTGAGGGGTCTCAGAACATACGCATCGCCATTTTGACGGTCTGCCACCTGGCAGGATTTTGCGGCTTATAGTTTCAACAAGAACACCCTGAGAGCAAGGTGAGATAATTCCAAAACAAGGCCCTGGAACAAGCAACGTCGAGGCGGGGGAGAGTTCAACAATCTGGACACAATCGGGTTCACTGATATTGAGGGCACTTGTAGAATTTCTGGAGATGTCCCAAGCAGACTAGTGAGCTGCTTTCCATATCCGGTATAGCGTGTTTGGTCCACCATGCGCCTTTCTGCGCAACTCGGCATTTCGCAAAGAGCCCAAAGGGCATCTCAAACCCCCAAGTCACCTCTTGTAAGGGTACACTTTGTCGCATCTCATCATTGTCACCCGTCAATTCTATCCTTGGGGTCAAGATTGCCCACCGTCGCCAAAACGTTTTCCAAACTTCTCAACCTTGCCAATCCTTTCAGGGCAATGCCTCGTGAGTGATGGATTGATTTCTGCGCCAGAACCCGCCATGTCCAGCTGACTTTGCCTGCAGCCCCCGTTGAAGATCTTTCGGACAGCGAGTCCACTGGCGAATCTATCCCCTACAACAACGTTGAGGATGAGAAGGATGTCGCTGGCGACGCCAAGGAGGAAGAGGAGGACGATGACGAGATTGAGGAAGAGGGAGTGTAAGTGCGACGACTCGCCGAGCTGGCGCGCGGTGCTCAGATGTGACAGGTACACCGTTGAAAAGATCATGGGTCATAAGTTCACAAAGGACGTATGTAATTGATCATCGCAATCCCTCCCCCGTCCACTACTTCCTTGCGCCCTCAATCGGCTTAATTGGCGACTCTGCGCTAACAAGCAGGCAGGGCAAACTTATGCTTCAGGTGAAGTGGCATGGCTACGAAGACCCAGCAGACCAGACATTGGAGCCAGAAGAGAACCTCTTGTAAGATATTCCTCGCCCCCTTTTCCCGCAGCCTTAATCTGGTGCTGACAGCCCTCAGGGAGGGCGCAAAGGATGTCCTAGATGAATACTACAAAGCTCAAGGTGGTCGGCCGGAGAAACCGGTTGCGGTCCGAAAGCGAAAGTCAATGGGAAGCATCAAGGCGGAGCCTGAAAAACCAGCAGAGCCTAAGCGACGCAGAAAGTCTAGGGCCGATGCAGATACCAGCACAGAGACGCCAGAGGCAGGCGAGGTACCCGATTGGGTGCCCCGATCAAAGAGCTGGGAGAACGACGTCGCGAGAGTCGATACCATCGTCCGTGACCCCAAGACTAACTCGCTGATCGCATTTTTGCACTGGACCAATGGCAAAACATCCAAGGTTTCTATTGAAACATGCTATGAAAAATGCCCCAGACAGGCAAGTTTCTGCTTGATGATTGATAATTCTTGAGCGCACGCTAACTACAAGACAGATGCTCAAGTTCTATGAGCAACATCTGTGAGTCATCTCTCCTTCACTTCGCAATTGGTATCGGTTTCTGACATTGCTTTAGGGTCTTCAAAGACTCTTGAAATTTTGGCGCCACGGTTTACAAGGCGACGCCTGGGTTTGTTTTTCTTGTTTCAGGGCTCAACGATGTTCCATTGAGAAGGATTCTTTTGACACATAATGTAAACCGATCATAGCGCATCAAGGGTTGCTTACCGGAGTTAATGGCCCTCAGCTATGGTTCTTTTGATTTGTAAAATATATTCCCTTGGGTATGGTGGCGTAATCCAACAATACTTTCGTCATAAAAAGTGACAAAGACAGAAGACAATAATGGAAGCGAGGGACCTATAAATTCCCACTCATACCGCTTTTTCTCGTCCCATTATTGGTCAAATTAGTCTGTAATTCATGCGACAATGTTGTCGTCTCTCGCCTGCACAATTGCAGCCATTCCTATCGTAGATCCCGCTTGCCATTTGGAAACCTCTCACACATGTATGTGACTATCAATCGCCCATACCTCCTCCAGAAAGGCCAGCGGCCCTGGCCATGCTAAGATAATTCCATCGCGCCTCGAAGGCTTCTGAACCATGCTTCTTCAAGACTCGTTCGACAGCGCGGCTGTTGCCCACTTCCACACATTCATCATCTTCGGGTGTCCAAACTCCAGGCATATTCTCAGGAATACCTTTTCCTGCAGCAAGGTATTCTAGAACCTTGTCGGCTAAGCGTGGGTCCATGCTGGTACACTGTAGAGCCTCAATCACTTGTTCCTCGTTATCTGCCTTGCCTGTTCGCAAACGATCATCGATCCATGTGTCGATGTCTTCCTCTTGAGACGGTTCCTCTTGAGACTCCGGACTTGAGGGAAAGAACGGCAGTTCTAAGAGGAAGTTGTCCGGGATACTATCTGGTTTCTCGGTTGGCAGTTGAGGTCTTTGGGAGTGTACCACAGTGGCACCTCCTGTATCTCTTAGTGTTGATTCTTCATTCCTTTGTTGATCGATATGTTTTGATACTGTAGTTACGAGTGGCTCGGTATGAGTGGGATGCTCCTCAAGTACTCTATGACGAGTAATAGAGATGCTGCTTTCCGGGAGAGTTGCCGGTGTTGCCTTTTTCTTTGGTCGATCATGTGTCGCTTGCCCTTCGATCCGGTCTGTTTCGCTGACCTCAGGACTTCTTTTTCTTTTTCTGGCTTCTATCTTTCCTGTAGCCTCAGGAGCCTTCTCAGAACGTCTCTCATGCGACTCTGCCGCGGCAGTGCTAGGGGCCTGGGACCGTCTGGTAGTGCTCTCCGGCGGAGCAGGAGCCTGACCCGTGGACTCCGGCATGCCACCAGGACGTGATCTTCCACGAAGTCTCTTCAAATATCGATCACGGTAAGATTGCCAAGTATGTCGCGGATGCTGAGAGTGACAAGAAACCGTAAGCAAATAACGTAGTGAAATTCGCATGGGCCAAGCTGAGGGGCCTGGGCTTACCTGCTCCGCTAATTGTTTGTAAATCAGGTTACCACTGATTGGGGCTCTTGGGTCTTTCTCATACGGTTGCAGCCAGTCCCATAGCAGCTGATCATCTTGTAGTGAATATGCGACCTTGTGAGCTCTGGTTGCGATATGTGTTGCTCCCACTGGCCGGGGTGCGGAAGGTCCAGCTCTGTAAGCTTCCAGATCTGCCAGTTCTCCTCTCCGGACAGAGTCTTCCACAAATTTGAAAGAGTATCTAAAGTTTTCAGCTTGCTTTCAAAAGAAACAAGGGACAGATGGTAAAACATACGTGTCGGACGGCAGATTCTTCCTTGTATGATCCACCAATTTGATATCTGCATCTTTCTCTTGAAGCCTTACAGTACCACCATTAGTCTAGAGTACCGTCAGCTTAGAGTAAAAGAGCGCAAGGGCAGAGAAAAATACCTCAATCAGCTCTTTGAATCTGCTCCTTTGAGGAATGTTCTGAGACAACCAGAACTGTTTCCCTTCGAAGAGAAGGCTGCCATTACTGCTCCCATTACTGCTCCCGCCGCCATCATCGCCCTCCACATTCCCTCCTGTCATGATCAATCTAGGCCATCTGCCTTTGAAAGATAGTTGGACCGATTTTCTTCCCTCTCCTTCTCTCAGTTGACGTCGCGGGACTTATACACAACGCGTAATCACGTGTTCGCGTGTCGAAAGTATAATTCTTGGTGCTGCAGGGACAATGCCTCCATTCACCTTGACGTTGATGCCAGGGGACGGTTTTGAAGAATTCAAATGCCGAGTTCCATCAGATTGTATCATTCATGGTAGCACCACAATCACGACCGCACTTCTTCATCCCTCTTCCGTGAAAGTCACGTGCTTTAGGTGATAACAATGACTTGGCGAGGTCATTAGAGGGTTCCTTGCAGGCAGGAGAAAAGTCGACAACCAGATCTTTCAAAACCGGAGTGTGAAAGATGTGTTTTGCACCCTAGTCTTGAAAGTATATCTTCGACAGTCATCCAAGCTTCAGGCAGTCCTGTCGGGCGTGCTGCTAGACGACAACGCGGGAGATCACTACCAAGATCCCCTGACGATCTAGGTCGACCATGGGGGTCCTGAGGACGGTGGCTATCGCCATTCTTGGAGTCTCTGCATTTACTTTTGTAGGCCTGTTTGGAAGGCTTCCTGCTCTTAGGTGAGGGAAAAAAATCATTTGTGCTTAACACCGCTGACGAGTATTTCGATAGGAAAACCCCCATTGGATTACTCCATAGGATCATTTGTATACACATTCCTAATGTGCTAATATATCTGGACTCTCATCTACTGGGCAGCAGACTGTCGTACTGCTGGAACCGGTCCGGTAGTTATATATTGCACGAAAACCATCCGCTTGTACTTGTGGGTATTGAGCTGTTGCAGACACTTTTCTTATCAATTAACCCGCATCGCAGATCTTCTTCCTTTCACTCCTCATCGCAGGAGAATGCATGTTTATTCCGAGCGCGTGGCCTAGAATCTCAATATTTCATCGGCTGTGCATCCCAGTCCTCACGCTTCTTCCATACATCTTTCTATACGCGAGCGTTGTCACCAAGTCGTACATCACCCATGAAAACCATGAGGAGGAGATGGCACGGTATCCGTATGACCGAGTGATTTTTCATCCGGGTCATCGTTGCCGTACGTGTGACTTCCTAAAACCGGCACGAAGTAAGCATTGCAGTTTCTGCAAAGCTTGTGTTTCGCGGCACGATCATCACTGTGTTTGGCTGACCAACTGCGTTGGTCGGAACAACTACCATTACTTCTTATCCTTGTTACTATCCTTATCAGTGATGTTGACATACGGGTCATGCCTTGGCTTCTCTCTTGTGTCGCAAACGCTAGAGGGACTCATACCGTCAAGCTCACCGTTACGATCGAAAACACAAGACTGGACTACCTGGATCAATGTCTGGGCGATAGCTATTGCTTCTGATATTCGTGCTGGTGCCATAGCCTTGCTAACAGCCATGACAGCACCATTGGCTATGGCCTTTCTACTGTATCACACCTACCTCATTTGGGCTGGCATGACCACAAATGAAAGTGCAAAATGGTCAGACTGGAAAGAGGATGTTGCAGATGGCTTGGTATTCAAGTCCACCAGAAGCAAGAATTGTGGGACTCCATTCTACTCGGATGAGGACACCCGGGCTCAAAGATCTTGGCCAGTGACCAGTGACCAGATCCTAATAATCACGGACGGTGAGCCCCCCAAGGAGGGCTTCGAGCTCTGCTCACGCTCGAATGAGATTCTTCAGAAGGATGATTCACAGGCGCCAGTTGACACAAGATGGATCGAAGTGAACAGTATGCGGGAGATTGACAATATCTATGACTTGGGATTTTGGGACAATCTACGGGAGGTTTTCAAAATGCCAATTAGACGACGCGTATGATTTCTCTTCTGTGGTCACTCTCAACCTCGTACATGCTCATAATATGATCGTTTATAATGCTACCAGCCCATTCTTGTATAGAAATACTCTCTTATGTGGGCTTACCAAAAAGGGTAGGCGGGACACTTGATCCTCGGAACCGGAAAAATTGCCTTTTGTCACTATTTCTTCTCCACCATTATCGTCGCCATCAACACTTCTACTACATCGATTTGGCAGTATTTCTTAGCAATATTCTCACATCGGTCCCGTCTCGCGTGATAGCTGCGGGCAATCGCCAAGATGGCAGACCGACCAGCGGCAGAAACTAAGCCAAAATGCACACCAGCTGAGCTCATGTTGAAGGTCATCTTGACGGGAACTTTGAGCCACTATGAGACGCGTGGGATGATTGATGATAAACGCTTGGAGCACATGCTTTCTGCTGGGAAACAGATTCTTTACAAAACACATCAGGAGAGCGACGTCAGGTATGAGCTTTTTTGGTAACCTTGAACTGCGAGATGTTTGTCTAACTGGTTTACTCCCAACAGACACAATTTGGGCCTATCGCCGGACATTTGGCAAGGCTTTACGGATGTACTGACGAAGGCGATCCCGGTTCTGGAATCGCAATCGTTTGCATGGAAGAGCCCTCCGTCCGCGAACTATGAACACTCCTCCTCAAACCTCATTGCATACAACTACTTCTCCCTCGTCAAAGACATCGAGCGCTTGAACGACTTGTGCACTATAGCTCGTAACCTTCTCGCCACAACGAAGAAAGCGCAGAATATTGCGGCGGAGAAAGGTTTTGATCAAAGGATTCTGGCACTGGTGGATACTTGTGTGAGAGTCACAGCGCGGGGGTTTGACGGAGAGACAAATGCGAGAAACGAGGAGCGCTGGCAGAAAGTGGTCAATCTATATAAGCGATTATTGATCACATGCCTTCAATTTCTGCACAATTTCATCATGCATAATGAGCAGCGGAAGATGGTCTTGTGGTTAGATCTGTTCGGCTACCATTCGACTGGCGATTCCAACATCATTCAACCTAGGGAGCCGCTTGACCAGGCTAGTGCTCAGGCAGAGGGGGTGGCACCAATTGTGAAGATTGGGGAGAGGATTGTCAACCCCCCGATCAGGGCTCTTTACGATCAGACCGCGGAAGATTTGTTACTGGAAACCATCTCGAATTTCCCACGGGAGCCCGCGACAATCAAAGAAGAAGCAGCCATGCTACTCCTTGCAAACATCAAAGACCACATGGAGAAACTACTCGGGCGAGATCTTACGGCCATCCAAGAGATGGGCAAGGACCCGGAGCAGGTGAAGGAGATCCGAGCCGCCTTGACTGCTATTCTTGGAGCCAAGGTGGATGGCTGGTCAGATCTCCAAGATAGAGCCAGAGACCTTCCACCTGCACTCCCCGAAGACGAACCGCCAAGGAAAAAGGCAATCCTGACGATTGACCGCAGCCAAACCGCCGGTTTCCCTCGAATTTGCTGGGCCGACTTGCCTGACCTCAACGAATACAGCGCACTTGCAGCAGGCGATGCGCCGATAACGGAGGAAGATACAAGCATGCCCCGATCTGCTCAATCTGCGGCCGAGACCTTGCAAGAAGCCAAGGATGAGCTGATGGCACGACTGCAAGAATCGTCACAGATTGCTGATCATGGCGATCAAGATTATGATGCTGGCGATGCAGGGACAGTTGGCGACGACGATTCGCACAGCTTGGAAGCTGTCGCTGACGGAAGCATGGAAGAGGAGGAGGAGGAAGACGACGAGGATGATGAAGACTACCGAGGCCGACCTGGCGATCAGCAGCGTGGCCTGCTGACCGACATTCCTCTCGTTCTAGGTCCCGCGGAAATTGAAGCTCTTCCTATGATCATTCAGGCCGGTATTGTGGACAGCTTCGGACTCAAGGGTGGCGAGCGCACAGGATCGAGGAACATGCAAGCTCTCAGGTGCCACATCCTTCTCACCCAGGAAACTGGTCGAAATCTCTTGCGGGAGCTATTAATTTTCATCGCCGCCTGGGACCTCCCTGATGATGAGCTATATTTCAAGATGATGGTGCAGATTATGGATGCAGTTCTGAAGAATGGGCTGATGTCTCACGCCTACTCCGACTTCGGGCAGCCAAAAGACATCATCTCTCCCGCGCAGGCAGTCGTGGTCAAGATCTTGACGCACATTTTCAGAGCAAAATACTCCCCTGCTTCGGTTACAGGCTCAACTCAGCAAAGCGCCACGAAGAACCCGGCACCTCTCTCTCGGGTTGATATTCTCACGGTTCGCTACATATTCACTATCTTCCGTGGAAACATCATCCCCGAGACCTGCGCCTTAATCTACCTCCAAGGGCAGATCAGGGCCGGACGTGCTTTGCCAGAAGATTTCCCGCTAAATTTGTGGGACATGGAACGGGTCTACGAGGGTGTCTACCAATTCTTGGAGTTCTTTGCTGTACTCACAGAAAATAATGACTGGAAGAACCTGCTTGTCAAGTGGGAGATTGTTTATGATATGGTGACGCTGATCAAGGAACTAGAAGCCAGCATCCCCAAGGGTCAACTGAGTTCGCTGTCTCTTGGCCGCAACAGCCCTCCCGGAGAAGCACATCAACAAGGCGCAGCTGCAGGGCCTGTGGCTGTTGAGAGACCCTATGACCCTGGTGACCCTGACCCGGCGGAAAACGGCGCTGGCAGTGCCGGGTCCAGGCCCGAATCGCCCCCTATCACCGAGGATCCTTCTGAATTTGAGTGGAGAAATCTCAAGAAACTCGTTGTGCTCGTCCTCTCGTCTCTGGTTTGGAAGTGCCCCGAGGTCCAGGATCAGATTCGCAGATACGGCGGTGTCGAGACTATCTTGTCTTGTACCAACTTTGATGCTCACAACCCGTACATCAAGGAACACGCTGTTATGTGTCTGAAGTTCCTGCTAGAAGGTAATCGGGAGAACCAAAAGCTGGTAGAAGCGCTCGAAGCCCGGGAGGTGGTCAGGGATGAGAATGGGCTGTTGGAGAGAAGTGGCTTTGAGGCCGTGATTGATAAGACCGGCAAGTTGGCCATTCGGCCCAAGGAGGGCCAGCCTTCAGAGAAAAAGTAGGACGAGATAGATACATTGCAAAGAGTCATAGAATGATGGTAGATATCTTTCCGAAGAGAATCCCCCACGCAGGGAATGACATGGCACATGAATACAATAATGAAACATGATGAATCCGCAACTAGCCATACATACCATCCCATTCCTCCTCCTCATCATCCTCGACAGGTTTCTTCCTACGCGCCTCTGCCTTCTCACGCTCTTGTTTGGCAAAATCCGTCCGATCAAGCGGACACGTCCCCCGCAACCGCAACCAGGGCCGGATACACTCCAAATCGAACAAATGCGTAGGATGACACGGCAACCGCACAACGAGCGGATACTCATCTTCCAAGAACGGGTTGTTGCAAATCGGACACGTCTGGTTCTCCTTCAACGACGTACGCGGGACCCGATCGAGCACTAATAACCCCCTGGTCAGTCGCCCTCCGAGCCTCGTGACAAACTCTCAAAACCTACCGTCGCAAAACTCCTCGCTCACACCCTCCACCTCCTTAGGCGGCATATCCGCCTCCCGCAACAACGTCTGGATCATCTGCGACACAAGATCGTCGCCGCCTTCGCCTTCTCCCCCAGCCGCGGCCGCGCCCGCACTGCCGCCCTCCGACTCCCGGCGCATAACATCCAACGCCTCAGCGAGAGAATAGAACGCCGCGCTTACGTCGCGCGGGACGGGGACGGCGTGCGGTCTGGAGCGGTGCTCATCAGGGCTGATTTGGGAAAGGGTCGAGAAGAAGGATGAGAGGTCGGGGCGGCGGCGGCGGGTGGGCTGTTGAGGTATCGAGGGGTCGGCTGTGTTGTGCTCGACTGGGGAAGTGTCTTAGCATGTTTGGCGTGTGGACTTGGGCAGGGGGGTGTGGTACCTTCGTAGGTGGACATTTTTGGTTGATTTCACTCGTGGGGAGTGAGGGTGCTGACCCGATTGACTCAATTATGTGGGGTGAGTATGTGGTTTCTTCCTGTGTTAATCAATTTCTGTTTATAGAGTTAACAGATTGCTGGGTTGAAATTTGTGTTCTTTATTGTGGACAGTGAAAGGAAGACGACGAAGAAGCTTGTGGAGTTGGAGGGGAAGCTCTTGTTATCTACCTATGTCGATGCGGAGGCAGAAATCGATGCGCGTCTGGGCTGATAGTTTGTGCCTCAGGCTCTATATACCCTCTTAAGCAGGATTCCTGAGGCATCAGCTCTACAAGGTAAGTGACATCGTTGTGTTTGATTTTATACAACAAGTACATGGAATGCATTATTCATATGGTCGCCTCAAGCCCTATACCACCAGACTAACGTTGTCCAATCTCATAAGTGCACCTAGTAGGTGAACTCCTCGTAGATAAGTCGCTTCCCTGCCAGCCAAGTCATGACGGAGCGCTTGAGTGAAGGGCTCCCGCAGAAATACCAGGCATCCCCCAAGGACGTATCCAAATCTTGGGCCTCCATCCTGCGATGCTCGATTCTCGCACCAGATAATACTACGGCATCAAGATGCTGAGATCCCTTCTCATCCTTTGGCTTAGGCCCAGTGAGAAATAGAGTGGTTGAACCTGGCAGTTGAGGGAAGCGCTGGAATGTGTCGAAGACAAGGCCTACATCAGTAATAGAAATGGACCACATGAGCCGTAGGCTCGACACATCGATGCCTGGCAGCTGTGCAATGACGGGTGTGATACCAATTCCGCCCGCTATAACTGGAATTGTGCAGCCACCTTCTTGATCGTCCAGCCTAAACTCGCCACCGAAGCCTTTGAGGGGGACCTCTAAACCGGCGCGTTCGCTCGTCCTGAAGAGGTGGTTGGTCACGTTGCCGTGCTTGCGAACTGTGATTTCAAATTCATCTGCTGGCAGTCCATGTCCTGGATATGAGGAAATAGTGAATGTCCTGACAAAGTCATCATTCAGACTCGAAGGATCGTCATCATGCATATGGCGATAGCCCAAGTCCAACTCCTCCTGAAATGAGAAGGTGGCATACTGGCCGGGAGTCCAGGTCCCGATTTTGGATGGATCTGAAATTCGAAAGCGAAACCGACCGATGCTCGGAGTAAGAACCTCCTTTGCAACCATGGTAGCAGTAACAGAGACATCATCACTAAGCTGAGCGACCGGATCGACCCTTTCTGTGGCCAGGTAACGTACACTTGGGTTGTATGGAGAGGGTGCGCCGGCAATTCCTCTAAAGGCAAGTGACTTCTCGACGTAACGAGCGGAAGTGACGGTCACTTTGACAGCTAGATTTGATCGTGGAAGCAACGCAGCCGCGTCCTTGCCAATCAAGACCTGGGTTCTTCCGGTGACATAGAGTGCGTTTCCTGTGTCAAAGTCTGGGAAAACGTATCCTGCCAGAGGAGTTGTCAGGAGGTTACCCAGCGTCTGATATAATCTATTGCCAGAGTATTCAGGATATACGAAAACAGAACCGCTAGGTCCGTTGCTCACGAGTCGTACAAAGCCTGGAGGCCCACCGCGGACATTGGTGTCCATGTCTGCTGTACCATGAGTCGAGGCGACAAACAGGCAGTCCGCTCGGTAGAGTAATTCAACTGCAGCTGGTGGTAGCTGAGGGCTGTTAGTGATCAGTTTCGGATCAGGTAGAGCTGGTATTATTTTCTTCTTATTCAGGTATTTGGGACAATTGCCTGTCCGTAGTTAGCAAAGACGTGTCATAGAACCATATATACGATCGAAAACCTACCGAGACTTCCCTGGATGAACACAGACGCGTGCGCCATTCCTCTTTCTCCTTGACCTTGGCAGTCTCGGCTAGATTCATGGCTATCAGCGCCCAGCGATCCAGTAATCTTCCTTCCATAAAGTTTCACCCTCCTACGATTCTCCAAATCAATCGCCAACCCGGAGACAGGCTTGCCAGAAGTCTCTGCGGAAACAAGTTTCTCATTCGTGGAGTCTCCTAGTAGCAACTCTGCGACAGGATCATATCGACTATCCACTGGAGTGTTAATATCGACAGTAGACTGAGAAGCAGGAGCGGCAAAGCCAGCCTCTCCTCCCCACACAGTTGCCCATGGTCGGCCTTCCTGATCTATTGTGCCCAAGGCCATTAAAGGAGACCTTTGTACCAGGAATGCGGCTCCTGGGCTGAGATAAGGTACAGTTGGATTGGTGTTAAACGGGACTTGAAGCAAAGTGTGCATCTTCCTCTCGCCATCGTGCCAGGGCAGTGTCCCAGCAAGGACCGGAGTCATCTTTGGTGCAAAGAATAGCAATCAGAATCTCAAGCGACGTGCAAGCGAGGCATCCTGGAAGAGACAGTAGCTAGAGGTGCAGGCATATTGTATCTCGAGAACTAAGTCGACTGATGTTAGCCACCGAAGATATGAGCACCATGCTGCTTGATTTCTAATCTCTGTCGCTTGGCTATAGGAGTTGTTAGTCACGAGGCGGAGGTAAAGTTTCGGGATAAATTCCTGAAGCGGACATGACTCTCTCGCAAACTTGAATCAAAGGAGAGAAGAATGTGGAAAGATGGAGGTTGATATTCTCGATGCTATCTAGATAGATACCAAGAGGTCATCGATGCTCCCTGGGGATTGTTTGATGAATGGAGCTGTGCCGCGTCGTCGTGGGGCGTCCAAGCAGATCATTTGGCTTGAAACACGCCACGAGAAGCGTCAGGAAACTTTAACAATCAACGCTCTGGTTCATCAAATTCAGAATCGTTTGAAATTGGCTGTCTGAGAATGACTGCCAAGTAAGAATCTGCTCCAAAATGGCATTAATGTGACAAAGAATGTTCCGTCCAATCTAGACTCCATATCCATAGTCCATGCTGGATGAAGAGACCTGACGATTGTTTACCTATCGATAACGTTTAGCGTGTTTTCTTTCTTTAGCAACACCCGCAGTGGATCATCGCCAAGGGAGGCATTGCAACATTGCACTACGTATCTGGACTTAAAGTTGGGGGAGTACGCAGCTTTCTTGTTCAGCTGAAATTCTTCTTAAAGATTATATTTCATCTCTCTGGCTGGCCCAGCAAATCTTATAAACCCTGCATTGTGGTCTGTCGACGTCTGTCACGGCAATCTCATATTTGTTTATCTCGGGATAGCCTCAATCGACGGTGGACAACACTTGGTATACTTCCCCACAGAGACTATCTCATACTCCGGCAAGTGATACGGAAGCGACTGGGTTTTGTCAAAGATTCCAGCGCTTCCATCTACAACCACGGAGATGCGTTCCAAATCCGTTAAACCGTCTCTCTACCCTCCCGTACCTTTTCATACTATCCGCGCAGTTTCCCTACTCTCCTCAGTAATTGTCGGCATCATACTCGCCGTCTTTATCTATCATCTCAAAACCGGCGGATACAAGCTTCCTTGGGCCTTCTTACTGGTAAGCACTTTGCTCTGCGCCTCCCAGACCATCTCAAAGCCAACGTCAGCATCATCTAGCTCGTCGTCTCCGCATTCCTCTCTATCCTCAATTACATCTTCACCAGCATCACCCACTGCTGCTATGGCCTCTCCCCACGCCTCTCCCTCCTCTCCAACACCATCCTCCTCATCCTCTGGCTCATCTCCCTTGGCCTTCTGAGCTGGAGCATGTCCCACACCATCCTCACCACCTGTAACGCAACCTACTGGGCCACCTCAACCGGCATCACCGTCTGCCGCACCTACAAGGCTCTCTTCACCTTCACCTGCACCGGCGCATGCGCCGCCGTCGCGGCCGTCGCGCTCGACATCATCATCCACAAGCGCCAGACCCGACTAGGCACATACGACCCCATGACCAGCAACCCAGACATCAAGCTGCATGAGCGCAACACCAGCGTCATGTCAGGCGCCAACGTCGGCGTCCCTCTCGACGACGAGCGGCACCCGCTCCAGCATCAGCATCCGCATCATGAGAGCCCCTACGCAGATCATCACGGAATCTCCGATATCCCGGGCCCGGATTATGCGAATCACCCGGCCTACCGGGTGCCGCCCCCTGTGTACGGGCCGAATGCGTCGGCGGAGCACTACCATGCGGGCGAGGCGCAAGAGTTCTCGGAGACTGCGCCGGCGAGAAGTCAGCGGGGTGGGCCGCGCGTTCGGTTTAGTGGTGTTGGGCATCCGGGGTATGGCCATCCTGCGGAGCAGACGGCTTATGACCCCGGGGCTTATCGGTGATTTGGTTATCGTGGACAAGCAGTATCTGACGGCTGGGCTGGAATACTGTATGTTCTAGCGGGGTTTACGATTTCTACCATTCTTTGATGTGTTATGACTTGGATATATACATGGTTCATTATGCAATGGGACAAATATCATTGAACAGCGAGCTGTCATTCGAGGCAAGCGAAAAACATCGCTTACTTGAGCACTTTTATCACTTCATGATCTGTCTAACATCGAATTATACCAAAATTACCACCGTCGTTTGGCCCAGACGGTCAACCTTTTGTCTAAGGTCCAAGCAAATGGCTTAGAGAAGCAAAGAGTATTGATAGAAGAGTCGAACAAATTAGTGGTAACGAGCAATATGTATAATCCATCGAATAGATCCAAAACAGCCGATCCTGAATATGTCTCTACATGATAACCTCGTTGGCAACATCCTGTATAACCATGTTAGCGTTATTAAGTAATGAATAAGAGTCAATAAACATACCCTCTTGAGTTCCTTGTATGGCAGACACACACAATTCTGCACCCGCACCTCGTCGCCGACAGCGCACTCCTTACCCAGGATGGTGATGCTCTGCACCTTGATGCCATGCTTGATAATGCTGGTGGAGTGGCTTGCCATCGGGATTGGGGTGCCCTCGACACGAGCCCAGGCGCCCACCCGGCTGCTCCAGCCGATAATTGAGTGCATCACGCACGCATCGTGCTTGATCTCTGCATCCTCCAGCACGATCGAGTCCTTGATACGAGCTCCAGCGCCGACGACAACACGGGCACCAATGGAGACGTTGGGGCCCAACTTGGCAGTCGGGTCAACGGTTGCGGTGGGGTGGATGTAGACGGGGGGCACGATCGTGGCGGAGGGAGGGGTGAGTTCATCGGATTGCGCCTGGAAGGCCTTTTGCAGGTACAGCGCATTGGCGGGGACGGCCGAACCAGCGGTCTTGATCTGTCGCCAGAAATCCTTAGTCTCGTGGACGAAGAACCGGTTGCTGTCCGCCAAGTCGGAGAGGATATCCTGCTCCAGACGGAGGACCTCGCTCTTCTCCGACTCCTCGTCGGCGGCAACGAAGGAGGACTCCAGGTTTTCGGAGGAAGGGTATGAGAGGAGGCGGGGGCGGGTGGTGCGGCGCTTGATGGCACTGCGGATGGAAGGGAAGATACACTCGGTAGCAAAGAGGTAGACACCGCAGTTGATGAGGTTGGAGATGTGCGATTCCGGCTTTTCGACGTAGTGCAGCACGCGCTTGGTGTGAGAATCGGAGACGATACATCCGAAGTTGGTGGCGGCCTCGTTGCTGACCCGGGTTCCCAGAATCACCGCCTCTGCGTCTTTCTCCTCGAACAGCTTCAGCATCTCACCAAGAGGGAAGGAGCAGCAGACGTCGGCGTTGAGGACGAAAATGCGCTCTGGCTTGCCCTTGAGGATGGCGTCACGGAAATGATAGAGACCTCCTGCTGTGCCAAGCGCCGTATATTCACGCAAGTATTGGATTCGGAACTGGGGGAACTCCTTGCTGGAGTCTTTGATGAAGTCACGGAAGACCGATTCATCGTAGTAGCCGACCAGGATGACTTCACGGATATCGGGGATCTTGGCGAGAGCCTTGAGGCAGTGGTTGATAATGGGGTGACCGGCAACTTCGAAAAGGGGCTGATCGAATTCAATGGCCCTTGAGTTAGCTACACTCTCAGGACTGTGGAATCTGAGTGAGGGGAAGAGTTCGAACGAGGGGTAACCCACCTTGGGCACATCAAGAGACAGAGGTCTGAACCGAGTACCTCTGGAAGGACCTCCGACCTGATAATGAGATCGTTAGCCGGATACTAATCATTTGCGACAATGAGGCGCTGTTCTCTCTGCTTCACTTACCAAGATTACAGCCTTGGTGGAGGCCACGGTGGAATGTTCCCGCACTGGAACTTGAAGCATTGAGAGTAGCTGAAATGACGGATTGGCGGTATTATTATATGAATTGGACTATGGTGATCAGAGACTGAGAGAAGATTTGGAGTATGGATAAGTAGGTTTTTGATAATAATAGGAGAACAGATAATATTAATGTTATTATGCTTGAACTTCGCCGATGCCCCCAGATGACCACGCAGTCTGTTCCAGGCCCACCACAGGTACCACCTCTTTTGGTACCTTAGGCACTAACTTTAGGATGACTAGAGCAAATCCAGATTAGCACGACTCTCCAGGGGGAAAAGAGGGTCCGCACTTGGTGAACCACGGGTCACGAGATGGCGCAGAGCCATTTGACCGCTTTCGTCCAACTGAAGACAGATGAGATTCGAGGTCTTTCAGAGCCAGGAACCAGCACCTTCGCCCCCTGAAGATATGTCTCTTTGAAAAAGCTCCGGGTGATATTTTGCAAGTTAATGAGCATAAAGTAATATGGCAGGACATCAAGTGCAGAGCCGAATATGTGCTTCAAGTGATTGCTAGCAAAGGCTCAGAAACATCAACTTTCGACTCTCAAAAATGCTTCAATTAGACTGATGAACACAGTAAAGTCATATCAAGCTTTTACTCTATCATTTTACCCTCATCACCTGTAACTTGACATGTGAAGTATTTCCAGTTGGACATGGCTGTTAGTCCATCCACCTTGGCAACAAAAAGTTGTATATGCCGCACCAAATTTGGCAGGGCAGTATACACTCATTTGGACAGTGAGATTTCGAAGCCTACAACAACAACCAACCTCTTTATACAGACATGGCTGTCAAGGCTTTTAATGTGTTTTGCTCCTTGCTTTATCAATATAAATCAAACATCTATGCTAGATTTACAGTACTCAACTTTCATCCTCCATTCACTTATTACTTCACTGAGAGGCAACAACTGCCACCTCAAGTGTTACTCTCTCAGTCGTCACAATATTTCTTTCATATTCCGCAGGCTTGAGTATATGTGTTTGTCTATCTAAGTGAACACAATACCACCTTACTTTTTGTTCCTCACCTCCTCCACCCTCCTCCTTCATGCTCTGCAACATCATTAAACAACAGCACTTCTCTGCCTCAGTTGCTGATATCACCATGTCAGAACAACCCAGCACAGGAACAGGTGAGTAAGGGAACTCTAGCACCTCTTTCAACTCTGACCCGCTGCAGCCACAGGAAGCAACACGCCAGTCGTCATGTCCGGCCTACCCTCCGCAGAAACAGACGCAATCAATCTCATTGCCCGGGATATGAAGTCCCTCGTCAAAAAGATACAGGACCTCCGGCACATAGGGATTGAAGACAGCCGAATTGCTCTTCCAAAACTATGCGTCATAGGGGATCAGAGCACGGGAAAAAGCTCTCTGATCGAAGGCATGAGCGAGATCAAGGTGCCTCGCAGTGCTGGAACATGCACCCGTTGCCCCATGGAAATAAATCTCTCAGAAAGCGAGCCAGGCCAGGATTGGAATTGTCGTATCTTTCTATCACGAAAATACATCTTCGACGGCTCTCGGAAGGTCACCAAACTTCCCAAAAAGTCGCAGCCTCTGGGACCATGGATCGAGCAGGATCAGGAAGATGAGTACTTTACCGATGTCAAAGATAAAGATGCTGTACAAGAGGCGATCAAGTGGGCCCAGCTCGCCATTTTGAACCCAGGAAGACCTTCTACTGACTATCAACCCGGCAATAACGCCGACACCGACGAGTCCTACTGCCAGGTGAAGTTCTCCCCAAATGTGGTTCGGTTGGACATTTCGGCGCCCAGCTTCCCTAATCTCTCCTTCTACGATCTACCTGGTGTCATCAGCCAGGCGGAACACGATCATGAGCGTTACCTCGTTTCACTGGTGGAAAACCTCGTGAAAGAGTACATCTCCCACGAGAATTGCATTGTCCTGCTCGCACTGCCCATGACTGATGATGCGACAAACTCAAGCGCTGCACGTATCATGCGGGATGTCCGTGGTGCCAAAGCAAGAACCCTCGGTGTCCTTACGAAACCTGATCGTATCCAGACGGGCGAGTCGTATGCTCAGTGGATCGAGATCCTGGAAGGAGACAAATTCGCACTCGGCCATGGCTACTATGTCGTCCGCAACAATCCTGACCCGGCCATCGAGCATTCTCGCGCGAGAGAGGAGGAGGCAGTCTTCTTCGCACAGAGTCCCTGGGCAACAGAACTATCTGCCTACCAGGACAGATTCGGGACCAGACACCTACAAGCAGCGCTTTCAAGTCTTCTTCTGGAGCAGATTCAGGGTTGTCTTCCGAGGATCATTGAACAAATAGATGAAAAGGCCGCACGAATCGACGCTGAACTGCAGACTCTTCCAGATCCCCCGTCTGCGAACGTCCCATACATCCTTTGCGGCAAATTGAACCATCTCAAAGATCAGATCCGTGCCCATATTGATGGCGGCTCGTCTCAGTACCCCCTCCAGAAGATATGGGGCAACATTGCAAAGGACTTTAAAAGAGCTCTGCTGAAAACCAGGCCGACTGTTCAGCTCCTTGCGAGTTCAGACAAGATGGTCATTCCCATTGCGCGTGACGACGCCGACTCTGACTGCGAAATGACCTCGGTGCAGCGATCAGTGAACGTGAACATGAACGTGAAACGAAAGACCCCATGCGACAGACCTCCAACTCCAGCGGAGCCCAAGTCAGAACAGCCCTCAACCCCGAAGCCCTTAGGTTACTATACAGAGCACTTTAATCGATTTGATCGTCCTGCACGAATGTTCACTTGGGAGGAAATCAGAGAAATCAACGAGGACTCTTATCGTGCCGGCATTCCCGATCAGACGGACCCCAAGGCCGTGGAGGTCATGAACCAGCTGAGTGTTGAGCACTGGGACGAACCAATGCAAGTATTCTTGGGAGCAACTCATCAGTTAGTGAGGGACATGTTGATGAAACAACTCAGAGAAGTCTTCACTCAGTACTACCAGACCAGTCTCTACCGGGAGCTTAAACGCATCATCGACAACTACCTCCAAACGCTTCGCAAGGAGCACTTGAGACACGCGCAAGAGAACTACAATATTGAGCATAACAAGCCTTTTACCATGGCGATTTCGGCCCTGGAACAAGCCACGGAGAACGCCTACAAGTATCTGAAAGCTCGCCGACATGAAGCAAGGTCGCACTGCTTTCTCGATCTTCAAGGCAAAATCCCTCGGGGAGACCCACGCCGCGACGCTGAGATTAAGAAACTCACTGCTGCGGAGCTAGGCCCTGACAGATTCGTTCAGGAACTCAAGATGATGGCGGTGAGTTTTCCCAACCCGGGCGAGTATCATGCTAATAGTCCTCAGACAACTCGTGGCTACTATGAAGTAGCGAGTTCCCGGTTCATCGACTCGATCTGTCAGAGCGTCCATACGAAATTGTTCTCCAAATGCCGTGAAGAGCTCATTACAGTCATTGAGAACGAACTACGCATCTTCGATGGAAATGGTGCGTTCCCCATTTAAGAGAATTTTGGTGGCAACCAACTGACAGAACCCAGCCGTCGAACGCTGCATGGAGTTGATGGCGGAGGATCCCGAACGCCAGCGACGAAGACAGTATCTGTTGAAGGAGAAAGAGAAAGTCGCCAAAGCGCAAGAATGGCTCGTTACCGCTAAGAAGGAAGACGATGCTGCCCAAGCCGCCGAGACCGATCCGACTATTAAGTCTCAGCCGCCTGAAGACTGGCCCAGCTTTCCCGGATTCGGGCCGGTAGCTGGCTGATTGTCATAGGTAGAGGTGATCATGTTTGTTGGTTGTTGGCCTCAGACTGGAATGAACGTATCATGTTGGGTTCATGCTAAGGTATGCATTTTGTTGGTGATGTCGACGCTTCATTTAGATCGAACGCATTATCGTCTTGATCTTGGTTTGAAGTTGAGGCTGGCTTTGAACTGGTGATAAGGCGGGATGGTTGAGACTTGAGAGCCTCGAGGGCGGGGTAATCGAGCCCCACCTCAAAGCCCTATGCCCTAAGCCCCAAATCGAGGAAAACATCACGTTTTAAGCAATCCTTTATGGCCTGCAAGAAACAAAGTGTTTTCAAAATACAATGAGCTTCTTCAGGGTGTTTATGTGTGATTAACGTAGAAAGATGTAGTATCAAAATAGCCGTTATCGGCCGCTCCATTTACTGTGGTAGTGGTTCAGAGCAACAGCCAATGACAATCGCCCATTCATGAGTCAGGCCCAAAATTCTCTGGCATCCCTCCTCTACCTAACCCACCAAACCCGCCTCTCCTCCTTGATTTCTTGCCATCGGACTTCTCCTGGCTGTGTTTTCTTGAACGAGAGAGATCAAAGCTCTATTGATTCAACATGGCGGATTCCGACGCAGTCAAGGAGGTTGAGACCTCTGTGGCCAACCTTTTGCTCGATGAGGTCACCGGCGAGAGAGTCTCCAAGACCGAATTGAAGAAGCGCCAGAAGTTGCGCGAGAAGGAGGCTAAGAAGAAGGAGAAGGAGGCCAATGCTCCTCCTAAGCCTGAGAAGAAGGTCTCCGCTGAGGAGGAAGAGGCCACCCTGACTCCTAACGTATGTTGATTTGCACTCTTTGAAATCCCCGCGGTTGAAGCTGTCAGGAATTTGTCGCTAACATATTTGGTCTTGAATATAGCAATACTTCGAGATCCGTAGCAAGAGAATCAACAAGCTGCGCGAGACCAAGCAGCCCGACCCTTACCCTCACAAGTTCCAGGTCACCGATGACCTGCGCGAATACCTCAAGACCTACGAAGGTCTCGCCAAGGGCGAGCAGAAGCCCGATGTCACCGTCCGTATCGCTGGTAGAATCTACACCAAGCGTTCTTCAGGTTCCAAGCTCTTCTTCTACGATATCCGTGCCGAGGGCGTCAAGGTGCAGGTCGTGTGCCAGGCCCAGAACGCCACTGGCGATGTCGCCTTCGAGGCTCAGCACGAGCACCTGCGCAGAGGAGATATCGTTGGTATCGTCGGTTTCCCTGGCCGTACCAGCCCCAAGAACCGCGCCGACGGTGAACTTTCTATCTTCGCTACCGAGGTCATTCTCCTGGCGCCCTGCTTGCACGCCATTCCTTCGGAGCACTACGGTTTCCAGGATAAGGAGCAGCGCTTCCGCCAGCGTTACCTGGATCTGATCATGAACGAGAGATCCCGCAATGTCTTCGTCACACGCTCCAAGATTGTTAGCTATGTGCGCAACTTCTTCGATAGCCGGGACTTCATCGAGGTCGAGACCCCCATGATGAACGCCATCGCCGGTGGTGCTACCGCCAAGCCCTTCATTACCCACCACAACGATCTCGACATGAACCTGTTCATGCGTGTCGCCCCCGAGCTGTACCTGAAGATGCTGATTGTCGGTGGTCTGGAGCGTGTATATGAGCTTGGTCGTCAATTCCGTAATGAGGGCATTGATCTGACGCACAACCCTGAGTTCACCACTTGCGAGTTCTACTGGGCCTATGCTGATGTCTACGATGTCATGAACCTGACCGAGGAGCTTATCTCTGGTCTGGTCAAGCACGTTACCGGTGGGTATGAGACCACCTTCCACACTCAGTCCGGTGAGGTCTACAACGTCAACTGGAAGGCACCCTGGAGGCGGGTAGAGATGATCCCTGCGTTGGAGGAGGCCACTGGCGAGAAGTTCCCTCCTGGAGATCAGCTGCACACCGCTGAGACTGGCGAGTTCCTCAAGCGTGTGCTCAAGAAGACTGGCGTTGAATGCTCGCCTCCTCTGACGAACGCCCGCATGCTCGACAAGCTCGTCGGCGAGTTCATCGAAGAGACCTGCGTCAACCCTACCTTCATCACCGGCCACCCTCAGATGATGTCGCCCCTTGCCAAGTACCACCGCCAGAACGCCGGTCTCTGCGAGCGTTTCGAGGCTTTCGTCTGCAAGAAGGAGATCGTTAACGCATACACCGAGTTGAACGATCCCTTCGACCAACGTCTCCGTTTCGAGGAGCAAGCTAGACAGAAGGACCAGGGTGATGACGAGGCCCAGCTCATTGACGAGAACTTCTGTACAAGTTTGGAGTATGGTCTGCCTCCTACCGGTGGCTGGGGTATGGGTATCGACCGTCTGGTCATGTTCCTCACGGACAACTACAGCATCAAGGAGGTTCTTGCCTTTCCCTTCATGAAGGAAGACAAGACGGCGGCAGAGGTCAAGACTGCTGCCGAGGTTGCTGGCATTGAGCCCAGGCCCGAAGAGGGAATTCGTAAGTTGCACTATTCATATTTTAGTTGAACCGAGATGGCTAACCTGGTTGTTTCACACAGCTCATAAATAATCGCATGATACTGAAACGGGATGATGGATCTTTGTTGATGACTATGGCTGCATGCTTTGATATGACTGTCAATGAGGATACACTAAGAGTGAAATAAAATTCATACAGTAGATCCCATTTCGCACTCTTGACTAGTAGTGAGTGTCTTGACAAGCATCATGTAGGGCGAGCGTCTCGTGCTATGCTTTTATTGGGAGTGATGCTCTAAGGATGACTGCTGGTGGTGTCTATCTCCAATTTCACATGTCGATTCTTCTCATTGCGTTAAAAGCATCTCGTGTCCATTACTTATTGATAGGAGACTCCGACGGACTAATATCGAGGTCAATCAATGATACTGTCGAAAGAAATGCCAAAACCTAGGTTACGAATCGTCTGATACTACTCCGTCGCCACGATATTGCTATAGACATCATTGAACTACACATCGCCACACAACGATGACCGATTCAGCCTCTGTGCTCATCCCGTACATGGTCTTTGCAACTCTGACTGCCCTTAATGCGTCGTCTCTGCGAATCGATCCGCCATGTCAGATGGATCAGGATAAAAGTCACGTAATGGACATAGCATCCTAGACAATGTACCCAATCGAACAAGCAGCGCATGCAGGTCTTCTTAAGCATCATGCAGTCGTCTGGTCTGGTTTATACCATTTTAACCCATCATGAGACACGAGGCAGGGAGTTTGTCAAGAGCCCTGACATAAAGTCAATCCTACTTGAAGGCTCTCGAGGGAAGCTCCGTTCCCTGTTCACTTCCTGGCTTCATGGGGATGGCCTTTACCTCATGTCCCAGCCACATCCAGATGGCTCTGTGAAGTTCGTTTCTCTTTTCCTTTACAACCTGCTTTGTCTGATGTATGACACAGAGAAGATAGCTCTCTTTCTAAGCAAACATTGAATCGCTTCTCCTTTGCCCTTTCAGAATTGAATGCCCCCTACTGAGGTCATCAGGCAACACATTGATTTTAAGCAGTTGTGAAGGTGTAGGGACTATTCACCATGCTCGCTTAAGGGCCTGCCACAGCTCACAGCCCACACACAGTGAAGAAAGAAACGAGATAAATACCTCGCGAGTAAGTGTTCTTCTTCTCACCTCACCTTCTTCTCTTCTCGCGAGACCATCACTTCTCTTATACCAAGTGCTCGTAGCCTTCTGTGATCTCAGCTCTCTTCTTTGCTCTTTGCAATCTCCCTCTAAGAAAGATACAAGTGAAAGGAATTGTTTTTCTTTCGAAATCAGTCCTGTAACCTCATCTCATCAGAGAGACATAGCTATTTAAAATGGCGGCCATCTCCAAGATGTCAGAGGGAGGCAACGAACCTCAGGAAGATCTCATAACTGAGGAACTTGACCAGCCTGAGAGAGGACACGACCAGGAGGAACGTAACCAGGACCTCGGTGAGACTCAGAATCTTTCCAATCACCCCCGGTCTGCAGTTCCTCGCCAGCCCATTTCTGCCGAAGAGTACGAGGCCTGGCGGAGACGTTCCCTCGATCATCAGCGCTCTGGATTCAATCTTTACTCGGTCACGGAACCGGACCCAGTTCGAGGACCCCCTCCGCCATATCCTTACGAGGAGGCAGCTGAGCCTAGTATCAGAGCGCTCGCGCGTGATCCGAACTTGAACGGAGAAACCTCTGGCAGGCACTTTCTGTATCATCATCTTCGAACTCGGCGCAGAGTTCCACTTGTGGTACGTTTGCTGTTCTCTCCATCTGCAACTTGACCTTCAGTCATTGACAGGGCTCTCTTCTTAGAACGGCGTCCCACGTCTGACCGAACATCAGGCTCGTGCCACTAGTGACGCCCGTGATCCTCCCCCATACTCTCGATTTGAAAGCTCTGAACAGCATCCGAGACGCTATCAGCCAGGAGTAGTGCGGAGCCTTACAGGCATCGATCGTGACCTCGCTCGATTCCCTCAATTTACTCAATTTATGCGCGCTCAACGGCGTCTGGACCGCAATCAGCCAAGTGCAAGTGCAATACAGGATCTTTCAGGAGACCCTGAGCTCCCCCCCTACTCTTCACCCGAGGACTTCGCACAACAGCTGAGAGGCAACCTGAGAGGCCGCCTGTCAGAGAGAGACTACCTGTGGAGAGCATTCGTAACTGTTTACGAAGCAGCTGAGCACGATCTGGAGGAGGGCCAGCCAGGACCCGTCCGAACTCTTCCTGAGCTGTACAGACTGTTCGAACTCCTCTTTGCCATGCCCGCTCCGAGAGGCAACCCCAGACCCTGATTGTGTGTAGTTCATAGTCCCTTTTCAGAGCGCTGAAACTTTGTACCTCCGAGCACATTCTCGGAACTCAGCTGCTACTTGACAACAAACCCCAATCTTGTCAATTTGTCACTATCCCTCTGCTGCTTTGAGCATTTACCGTTGTACCATAGGGAAGAATAAAGCCAAGTCTCCTTTCCAATTCCTTCTCACTCAGGCTATCAGCCATCCTGATATCCCCTTCAAACGGCCACACAGATTGGCACCATACCACGCCGCGTAGAAGCAATGGCGAGAACTTCGTCTTTCAGACGTGGGGGGGATTCGTCGTCTCCTCACACCAGGCCCCCTCTCCCTCCACCGTCCAGTGGGTCTGAACAATCGGTCGAGACAGAATGGAAGGAGATAGGCTGTCACACCGCGAAATGCGATATGTGCAACACACGCAATGGAACGGGCATGTCCCGCTGCGAGGGGTGCGGCTGGCAGGCGTGCTACAGATGTATTCTTGCGAACGGGTGCAGCCGCACGCACCGGGGAAACGGGCGCGTCCATACGGGGGCTATCGACCACACTCTCATTGCCCGTATGAGGCGTGGCAGGGTGTCGGTCAAGAGGGAGGGGGGTGACGCCGGGGGCGAGCAGTGCGCCGGTCAGTTGAGGGGAGAGTCGAGAGAACCAACGAAAATGAAGGGTGAGGAATCTTCTTCGAAGACATCAAGCTCCGCGGACGATGAGATCCTGAGCGCGGCTCGGAATTTTTTGGCTTTTAGTATTGAAGCCGTCGGTTTAGCCATCCGTGAAGACGGTCTTGACCGAGAACATTTAGCTGGTGTGGCTGCGCCTCGAGACGAAGATGTTGCGAAGTTCGTGAATATGACTAGTCGAGAATTGCATGACTACGCCCAGCAACAAGCCAGTCACGCCCTTCAGGCATACCTTGAGCGCAGAGCCAGAGAGACGGATGCTCAGGGGATTGTCACCTTCTCTATGGCTCAAGAAAATGTCGATGAAGATACCACCTCATCGAACAAAGCTCGAAGGGCTGAGAGCAAGCGGGCTGGGAGATACGATTCTCAATTACTTTGAGATACTGGATGAATCACAATTGGCTATTCAATAATCCTGCTGGATAGCATTTGCCATCTCGTCCTCCTAGATCACCCTTTGGAGGTCTAATAAGAGTATCTAGATGGCACTCAGCTTCCCATGGATACTTCGAGTGGATACTGAGGGTAGGTGGGATTCTTTGCGGACTGTGACGATCACTTCAGAATAAGAAAATGTAAAGTATGCTGAAACACGGGGGATATCTGCTGTAACCAGTCTCGGATTTTGGCCTAGACAACTTGCCTGTCATAAAAATCGATACAGAGTAACTCCCAAACTTCGAAGGGCGTATCAACGACAAAGTATTTCCAATCGATGGACTAACACTATTATACATTTTTGAAAAGGAGAGGTATCCATAGTATACAGAAAAATCTAAATGTTCGTAAGCTACATGAGCAGATGCCTCATAAGCATGTGATCAGTAGCAGCTTCACAGCTTGTGGGCAGCTTGAGTAGCAGCATTGTGTACCGCGTGGCCACGAGCCTTTGCAGCCATCTGGAGCAACTTCGCCGTCCTAGACGGGTGCCAGATACGGCTGCCCAAGACAAGCACCCAGGTCAAAAGGAAGAGACTGCCTGCTTGGTGAGCAGAGGCAAGAGGAGTAGGGACAAGGTAGAGAAGGGTTGAAATGCCTAGACCGACTTGGACCCAAGCAAATGCAACCACACCGTGTAGGCCCTTCCTGGCGGCAGGTGGAAGCAAGCGCTTCATGGTTGGAGATCGGCGAGAATAAGCCCACAGAGCCATAATGCTGGTGAACGTGGTCATAGCCATGATACGATGGTCCAGTTGCACAAGAGAAGGATTCTCCAGCATGTTGCGCCACCAGAGGTCAGACCGGTCCTCGTGTCGTGAATAACGCTCGTCAAACAACTCCGACTTGGGAGGAGCCAGACCATTGCCCATGAATGGGAACTCGTTGTAGATCAGACCGGCATCCAGACCGGCAACCAGGGCACCGGACATGGCAGTAGCAAAGACCAGAAGGGCCAGACCGGCAACAGATCGACGGAAGATGTTAAGTTTGGGGTCACGCAGCGAGTCCAGCAGCTTAATTCCAGCTTCGGGGTCAGCCAGGAGCCGATGAGACCGCAGGATAGCAAGACCGTTCCAGAGCATGGCAGTGTAGCAGACAAAGGCGGTCGCAAGATGAGCCGTCAAACGATACTGACTCACGCGGGGGTGGCTGCCTTGCGCAAAGAGGTCTTCCTTGAGTCCGGACTTAACCATCCACCAACCGATGAAGCCTTGGAAGCCGATCAGACCCGCAATGCCTGCTAGACGTAGCGACATGGGTTTTGTGACCTTCTTCTTTGCGACGAAATAGATAGCGGGAAGCACAAATGACAGGCCAACAAAACGACCCCAGAGACGGTGAATCCATTCCATGTAGTAGATCGACTTGAACTCGGAGAGGCTCATATTCGGGTTCAGCAGCTGAAATTCCGGGGAGGCACGGTACTTTGCAAACTCGGACTCCCAGTCTTCTGCGTTCATGGGAGGGAGGGATCCGGTGACGGGACGCCATTCTGTAATACTCAAACTATCGACAAATAAGGTCAGCAAGTGTCCCTCAAATTGCGATGCATAAAGCGGGACGTACCCTGACTCTGTTAATCTTGTAAGTCCACCAAAGACGACAATACCGAACACACTGGCCGCACTCCCCAGCAGCCAGTAAGCTACAATCTTGTCAGACACTTTGGGAAAGCTAGACTTGGCTTTAGAAGCTCCGTCCTCCAGCGCACCAGCCACGGCTGACCCAGAGACGGATCTACGCAGGATAGGCGAGAACCACTTTGTCGCCGTCATGCGGAGTGCGTTCGGACTTGCATTGTGGGACTTCTGGCCGAAGGACAGGCCAGCAAACTGCTTGCGAAGTGCGGATATAGTCGCATAACTCTGGCTCTGTCCGAGGCATTGACGACAAGTGAAGAATTCCTTGGAGAACCGGGGCGCGAGGCTCCGGAACATAGGCACCGAGCCTCCCAAAGAAGCCATGTTGATGCCAATAGCAAGGGGAGTCAATGCATGAACTCTCTATATCTTGAACGAAAGGAAGCTGAGAAGAAGAAGGGAAGATGAGCTTTCGAGACCCTCGAATGATCGTAGTGGACGGAGATCGGAACGGCCGAGACGCCGAAGGGCCAATCAGTATTGCATGATTTGATGCTCAGATCTCACTGAAGTCAAGCCATCGAGGATTCTTACTCATCTCGATCATACAGATCTCGATCGATGCACCTTTTGTGAGGGCAATACTCGTTGAAATGTGCTTATTTACACCATTGTATGCGTCCAAGCCTTGTGTGCAGTGCTTGCTTGGGGAATGCCTGCAGTTTGCTTGCTATCCATTGTTTATCGGGTTGCCGAGCGAGGAATACTTCAATATAGCATAACAGTGCTGGTTCAATGGTCAATAAGGATCTCATGAAAGTGATACCATATATCAGCGTTTAAAATAAGTCCAAATGAATTCCAATTTGCTTCGTCAATGCCCGTCGAGAAATGAAACTGTCGACACCTGACTTTCCAGGAATTCATGGTCGGCGAGCAACGAGACCATTGCCGTCTTGGGTTTAGCGTCGTTTCGATAATATCATCATCGCAACTCAATCTCCATAGTTCAAGAGCTTCAGGTTTGTTCTCAAGCTGGATACAGCTCAGTCCCAGTTCAGAAATGTCCTACGCGGTCGAGACCAAAAAGCGAAAGTTTCATCGAGTGCTGGAATCTTTGACCAAGCCATCGACCGCTGAACCGTCGTCCAAAAAAACACCCGCAACTCCAACAACAGCTCGCGAGCGTTTTCCCGCAGATCTATCCATCAAGAAGGTCCGACTGAGCAGTCAAGATGAAAGCGACTTTGCAGCAGCCCGAAGATCGATGCTAAAAGTAGCTCGACCTAGCTCCAGGGATTCTTCAGTTTCGTCAACAACACGTCCTAGCTTCGTCCCGTGGGACCGCGAACGCTTTTTGGAGAGATTAGAGACCTTTCGCCGCGTCGATCGATGGTCTCCCAAACCGGCTGCAATAAGTGAGGTTGAATGGGCCAAAAGAGGGTGGATCTGTACAGATGTTTCGCGGGTGACGTGTGTGGGCGGCTGTGGCGGCTCAGTGGTCGTCAAATTACCGGACGAACTTGACGAGTTGGATGGCTATGATCTCGAGAAAGTCCAGGAGAGGAAGGAAGTCCGTAAGTGCATTGCTACATTTCTGGCTTCAGCGGCCGTCAAACTGACCATACGAAGGTGCCAAGCTGGTAGAAGAGTATGTGAGTCTGCTGGTCAAAGGGCATGGTGAACATTGTCCTTGGAGAAACAAAGGCTGTGATGGTTGGTCAAGCACATGCTTTCTGAGAATTTTATGGTTTATCACTGATGAATCAAGCCACGATCCATCGACTACCACTCACCAACACCGATACGGCAATCGCTAGTCTTCAGAAACGGTATTCAAATATTACAAAAATTGCCGATAAGCTACCGGCTGGGGATATTATTCAAACACCCGAGTCATTCAATCTAGATGATGTTCTCAAGATATTGCCCCGAGAAGGCTTCGAAACCGGCGGCGGGTTGCAATCCACTGAGTCTCAAGATCGGCAGCAGGACCAGTCGCAGGCCCAGTCGCAGGACCAGTTGCTTGAGCAAGATTCAAACGAACAAACTCGCGAAGAGAGCTCTCAAGTGGTTCTTCAAGAATCAAAGCCTATCAACAGAACTGCCTTTGCGCTGGCATTCTTCGGCTGGGATGCAGTTTCGAATGAAACGGCCGGCCTGGTAGGCTGCAGTGCATGTTTTCGACGATTGGGCCTGTGGATGTACAAGCCGAAGGATAACGGGGATGCCACAGTCTACGATGCATTGGATGTTGCCAACGAGCATATGGAGTACTGTCCTTGGATCAGCGGAAAGGCTCAAAGCGGGACAGGCAAGTCAACCGAGAAACAAGCTGAGCTGCGAATCGGATGGGAACTACTTGTTCAGGCACTCAAAGTCAAACACCGCCGACAGGTCAGGTCAACAGCCTCCATGGATACCCTTCGTGCTGTCTCAGAAACACCCTCAGGTGACTTTCCGGCGGTGGACGAGGTGAACGAGGAACAAAAGAAGGCCAGTGATCGAGAATGGTGGGCGAAACTTCGGCGGATGCGACAGGTGCTGAACGTCAAGTCTCAGACTAAAAAGTCGGTTGTTCCATAATGGTCGGAATCAATTCTTCCGCTTGAGCATATGATCTGCTGGCGTTTGTGCATTTTCTCTTTCTTTTGGGGGCTCAAATTTGGCTATGCAAGCACGGTGCCATTGGTTCGTATTTCTACTTTGTCCATGTGTATACCCCAGTTTGTCTTTACTGTACATATTCAATCAAGGTCTTCGCATCTATCCCAATAACTTTTAGATGAGTTATCAGCTATTCAAAGGCAGAATAGAGATCCTATCATGCATTCTGATATTGAACCAGGCCTACTGCGCAGACGATCGCTCCGGATGCGGTAAGGGGAACAGGGCAGACGCTAAACTCAACCAGGGATACCAGAACAATGAACAGGACCATCATCGCACGCAGAAAGAGCCATCTTCTCGTCCTTTATCTCTTCAAAATGTTCTTGATTATTGTTTTAAACTCTCCAAAATCCCCCAGCCGACGAGAATCAGTAAGCGTGGTGCATCTCCGGTGGCAGCATGTATGATCCAGCACGGGACACTTGGGAGGACGGTGATGGAGACGAAGCTCGGTCTCGCCGGCGTCGCCTCGCCTCCGACCAGCCCCATACCGGCTTCTCATCTTCGGAGCAAATTCACCGTGTGACTTGGGAAAATAACAATACTTCTGATCTGGTGAGTATTCTTTCTGGTTCCTACTTGCTGTGAATGCTTTACTCGTTGAATCCGCGGACTGTTATTCTGGTACACGATTTCGACAGATTCTGTAGTCAGCACTGCCATTATCGTTCAATTCTTGATTTCAAGTGCAGCTCACTGTAGCGTTAACCTCTTCTGTCGCGGACTTCATTTGGAATAACAGCAACATCCTGACCCCGATTCAAAGACCACAGCATCCGCGGGAATTCTATCTGCAGAGTCACAGCCAGCACAATTAACTACGCGAACTCCTCTCTCCATCCCAACTCACTTACAGTCGCCGGCAAATTTCGCAGCGCAAGAGGCTTCGCATACACAAACTTTGACATCTACAGCACAGAATCATTCGAACAAAGCAACTACAATCATGGAACCCCGTTCCGATTCGGCGACACCTAAGCCCAGAGCAGATCTCTCGCCTACCGACCAGAATGGATCTCAAAGTGATAAAAAGAGGAAGTTACCTGGGGAGGAGAATGCGTCCGAGAAATCACAGCCTGCTCCAGACCGCCCCCTGTCCAAGCGGAAGCGCATGGAAGAACGACACCAGAAGCTGCGAAAGCGCGGTAGAACACCTCCTTCGGCGTATTCTCGCCGTGATGCAGATGAGACGGCATCAGCTGCCAATCGCAACGGTTCAACTTACCGATCCACCTCACCCCTACCACCTCAACGGTCTCCTACTCCAGAGGAACAACCCCGGCAGCGCAAACGGCCCGGTGGTGGTGCTCGAATGGGACTTGTAGATCGGGAGACTTTGCGCCGGAGACAGGAAGAAAGAGATCGTGCCCAGGTTGAAGAGGCGATGCGGGCTTCCCAGGTCCGCGGCGTGGCAGATGTTGTTCGTCAGCACTACAACGCAGTGCCGCAGCGCGGAAGGGAGTGGCGGAAGACGGAAAGCAAGATCAAGGGCCTGCGGAGCTTCAACAACTGGATCAAGAGTACACTGATCCAGAAGTTTTCTCCGGACGAGGAATTTCTTGCGCGATTCAACGGCACCAAGGACTGGGCTGAAGACGGCGGCCTGCCTCCGGTAGAGGAAAAGCGGCTTCTTGTGGTCGACTTGGGCTGTGGCAAGGGTGGTGATCTTGGGAAGTGGCAGCTTGCTCCTCAGCCAGTTGATTTGTATGTCGGTCTTGATCCGGCAGAGGTGTCAATCGTCCAAGCTCGCGAACGCTACAACGGGATGAAGTCCGGACGTGGCAATCGCGGCCGGCGTAACCCCATCTTTCATGCCGAATTCCATCCCAAGGACTGCTTTGGAGAATGGCTGGGCGATGTCGGCATTGTCCAGCAGGTTGGCATTGATCCAAACGTGGGCCCAGGGGGTTCTATCATGAGCTCGCGGTGGGGCGGAGGCGGATTTGACGTGGTAGCATCCATGTTCACGATCCACTACGCCTTTGAAAGTGAAGAAAAAGCGAGGCAGATGCTGCGCAATGTTGCAGGATGTCTGAAGAAAGGAGGCCGATTCCTCGGTGTTTGCCCGAACTCGGACGTGATCAGCGCGCGAGTAGCAGAAATCAACGCGAAGAAAAAGGAGCAGGAGGCGCAAGCCAAGAAGGAAAAGACAGACGAGGCTCCTGAGGATGGGGAGGTGGAAGAGGAAGACAACAAGGTAGAATGGGGGAACCAGATCTACCGGGTCCGTTTTCCCGTTGCGACTCCTGAGGATGGTGTTTTCCGTCCCCCTTTCGGATGGAAGTACAGCTACTTCATGGAAGAGGCCGTTGAAGAGGTCCCGGAATACGTCGTTCCCTGGGAAGCTTTTCGAGCGTGAGTCTTCGACAAACTACTTTTGAGGTGCGAGGCTAATTCCCGGCAGTCTTACGGAGGATTACAACCTCGAGTTGCAATACCGCAAGCCGTTCCTGGATATTTGGCGTGAAGAAAAGGACGATCCGGAGCTGGGCCCCTTGAGCGAGCGCATGGGTGTCCGTGATCGAGCCACTGGCGAACTACTCATGACGGAGGAGGAACAGGAAGCGGCCAGTGAGTTATTGTAATCGAGTTGTCTGCGTGGCATGAGCTGACTTGATCTAGGTTTCTATCATGCATTCTGTTTCTACAAGGTCTAGTCTGCACATTGCTCCATGAAACTTTTGGGGGACTATTAAATATTCTATTCGCAAGCTGTAAACTATTACCCTTGACGGGGAGGAATTTTTAGCTGCCCAGAATTTCAGGCACTAAAGAAGTATGTCCTAAAGAGGACTAGCGCCGGCGCGTCGCGTCCCTCGTAGGATGACTTCGGTCTTATCAGTATGAAATAATCGCATAAGCCACTACGACTCTTTCACTACCATACTTGACAAGCACCTCGCTCATTACAACCTCATCCACCACCAACGCCATAGCAACTCACACTCTTTTCACCGACAACCCGCCCAAAACAAGAACACACCACCCTTCCCTTCCCACAGTCAAAATGTCAGCAACACCCGACACAAGACGACACCGACACGCACCGCGCAGCGACCGCACAGGCACAAACGCAAGCGCCAGCGCCAGCGCCAGCGGAAACCGACACGCTCACACTCGAGCCTCAACCCCTCCCCTCCCAGCCTACGAGCCGCCCATCGCGCCCCTAAACGCCGCGGGCCACAATGCGATCATCGCCCTCCTCAACTCGCAATCCCTCCGACAGCTGACAACGCACGTCCAGCGCGCGGAGGAGAAGCTCACTGATTCCGCGGGGGAAGTCAACGAGCGGCTTACCGATGCGCGGGTGCGGTATCAGAAGGAGAGGGCGCGGAAGCGGAGAAGGGCGAATGGGGATTTGAAGACGGAGACGCCTGCTGCGGATGGTGTGGGAGAGAAGGAGGAGGAGGAGGGTGATGATGATGATGATGGGGAGGAGATAAACCGGCTTGCGCAGTTGGAGGAGCAGGTTAAGAGTATTACGGAGGAATTGGAGGCACGGATGCGGCAGACGATCGATGCGGAGGTGAAGCTGGAGGGGTTGAGGGGGGTGCTGGCGGATATGGCGAAGGAGGCGGAGGAGGCTACCGCTGCGGGCGCTGGGGCTGGGGGACGACGGAGCCGGCGGCCGAGGCGAAGACGCGACGATGACGAGGAGGGCCCCGAAGATGGTGGTGATGAGGACTACGAAGCGACGCCTGAGCGGGAGATGACCGGTGTCCCGCCTAGCCGGCGGCTAGGGCAGAAGCTGGGCGAGGAGTCGGCGCGGTGGACTGGTCAATCCTTGACGCAGAGGTACGTACTCATTGCCCAGGGCTGGTCGAAGCATGAAGGACAGAAGTAACGGATACAGATACTCCACAAACAACGCCTACGTCGGCTTCTACCGCATCGTCCACGACGCCAGACACCCCGGCGATGACATCCCGCCCCTCCCACACGCCTCCACTTGGTTCGCCCACATGGAAGACCCCAGCGTAGCTTCCACGGCCGACCAGACATCGTCCCGACGCACCCGCCAACGCCGGAGCCCCTCGCCCGCAGACTCGGACGAGATCGCCATCGAGCGCGAGCGCATCTCTCTCAAATGCCCCCTCACCCTCCTCCCCTTCCGGGACCCCGTCACCAGCACCAAATGTCCGCATAGTTTTGAGCGCGAGGCTATCACCGATATGATCGCGCACAGTTCCACAAGCGTGCCTGGGGCCCCGTCAGGCGGCCGGAGAAGCCGTATTCGCTCCGTCAAGTGTCCTGTCTGCTCGGTTGTGTTGACCGCGGAAGATCTGCGCAGTGATCCTGTCCTGCTGCGTAGAGTGCGTCGCGCCGAAGCAGCGTCACAGCGGGAAGCGGAGGATGAGGAGCTGGCTGCTGATGGGAATCGCAGGAGGCGGCCTCGGGAAGGGCGCAAGAGTGGTATCACTGTTGCAAGCGATGATGGAGACTCGGAAGATCAGGGGGATAGCAGGCATCAGGAGACAGCCGGTGATGCTGTTCGGATCAAGCAGGAAAGAGCCTTGTTGCAGGCTCAAAGTATGCTGTCAGATGACATGGATGACGACGAGTAGTGCTATGGCTTGCTCTTTGGCGCAGAGCATCTGCTATCATAGTCATCAATATGATCTACCTATATATTACTTTGCCGGTTCTACGGTAGCGCGCGTACCCTTTTTTGAATGATTTTGAGACTTGAAAGTCATAACGCATAAATAGGAGAACACCTTGCAACCACGAATGCACGGATGCAACAGTCCTGCGACGTGTCATGGGGTATATAAATAAGGTACATGCAGAACAATGCAAAGAAAACAAGTAAGCGTGGGCAAGCATCGCAAATCCCCCCCATCGCATCTCATAAGATGACCGGAAAAAGCATGCAACGCAAACTGATTAGACATGAGGCGCAGAGGTTTCGAACAAACATAGGCCAGTTGATCGTCACATATAATCCAGCAGGGCATACACCGATGAGTGAATAAAACATCATTATGGAATAGTTGTACCTCTGTTGTCAGAGTAAGAGAACTCACTTTTGTCGACCATGCTCTCTCACTTACATCAAGGAATGTCGTCTGTGCCTGGTAGTGCGAACACCACCCTTGGCGTATTTTCCGGTCAAGCATCTCTGACGAATTCGCATAAAGATACGATAAGAAACAGGCCAAGTGACGATATGTTGCATGCCTGGAAGCCGCGTTTTACAAGATTTTCACCGATGGAACCGGCCTCTCAAGTGTCAGATCCTGCGACTTTGCGAAGACAACGTATAAAAAGCAGCCGATTGGTTTACTTGGTGATGAGGTTGAGATAATCGGCCACGATAAGTGTCACCATGCTAGAGTCGATCAGTGGGGTTAAGCTTATAAGCGAGCCGGAGTGGGGAAGACTAACGCATGGGGCGCGATCCGCACATAGTAAGTGCCAAATCCGCGGTAGAACCTCAACCAACCCTCCTCACGAGCAACCTTGCGAGCGCAGTCGAACAAACCCTTATACGGAAGCTGGCCCGTCTTGGGGTCCTTTTGTTGCTTCTGCAGACGAGTCTTGACAAAGTCGAAGGGCAACGAAAGGAAACTGGCAAAGAAACCAGCGATGGCAGAGGCGGCGAAGGTTTGGTTCTGAGGAGAAAGTTGCGTGTGCACCTTCAACTGGGCCTTCGATTCGGCGAAGAAGGCCAACTGTCCCAGGTTGAGGGCCATGGCACGCACCACGGTCGGGAAAGCACCCGCCCACAGAGCGGTGACACCCTCGTGCTTCGAGATACGGACCAAAGCGTCAACGACGGAACGGTAGTTGGCACGGGCCTCTGGTGGTTTCAGACCATCGGCTTGCATACGGACGAGTGCCAGATCTGCAGGGTTTCCAATCATGGCGGCAATGCCACCGGCAGCCAAGCCGGCTCCTGCGCGCTCGGCGAATCCGACCTTTTTACCGGCAGCTTCAGCACGCTTGTTCAGGGTCTTGCTGAAGGTGTCAAAGAAACCCAGACGGGCAGTGGTGTAGACAGCCTGCCGCAGCAGACCAGCAGACAGACCGGTGTAGAGGTCGAGGACTTTTCCCGAGGCAATGATGTCGCGCGCAACGCCAAATGCAGAGGGACGAGGACCGGTCCGAACACCCTCACCGGCCAGTTGCAAGCGGACCTTGATCATGTCGATGGGCTGAATGACGACAGTCGCAGTCATGCCGGCGAGACCACCATTGACGAAGGGCAGCGCGGCACGTGTGTAGGGTTGGTGCAAGAAATCGACGGTTGGTTGCGCAGCGGGCTCCTTGACAGTAGTGGAGGCCATGTTGATAGTAAAGCAAGATTCGCACCAAAGCTGTGATATAATCCAGTCAGTTCGTATTGATCTGACACGCGTTGCGATAGTTTTTGGCAAGACAGCAAGGCAGAGGAATTTTAGGAAAGGAAGTATGACCATCCACTGACCGCAAGAGTTTGGGGAAAAGTATCTATTCAGTACAAATTCAAAGTCAATATAACAATGAACTCAACCCAAGCAGGATAACAAAGACACGCTGGTCTACAGAACGACGGCGTCTGTGAGGAGAGGGGAATGTCTCACAGATGACGTATACTCCACCAGACGAAAAAGTAGATGATACGCTCACCACAAGCAGAAGCTATTGTATATAGAAGACACGAACCAGCAAATGCCGTTGGAGATCGGAGGTTCGACGAGAATAAACAGGGACAGCAAAGAGGGGAAGACGATGAGAAGTGTCGAAGCAGCTTGTTGGGCAAGACCCAGTGGAGAGTTTGGGTTGACTGAGGGGAAGGAGAAGAGCAGGCAGAAGAAGCTTCCCGGGAGTCACAAGTCAGATGACAATGAGGTTACCCGACGGATTGCGAGGGATAACAAATCCAATTTGCTCGAGCAGTAGAAGAGTCAAGAGCAAGGGATATATCTTTCAAGTCAGAGAAACCGAGAAATGGTTCTGAAGTACACCACCAGAAACTGAAGATCAGAGAAGACGATATTATCTTGATGGGCTTGAGAGGTCCGTGAGCTCAAAAGGCACGGAAGATAGGCACGGGTTGGAGCTCTAGGCATATATATGGCTATGGCTATGGCTATGGTCATGATACTGTCCACTGCGTATAGTTGATAATGGATTCTGGAGAAATTGCTGCGATCTTCGCTAGAAAGGCGTCCCCACATGGCTTAATCGCGGATACCGAAGGATGCTATCCTGCTATTGCTCTGGGGAGTGTACTATCAGAACGTTTCTGATTTGATCATTTCAGCTCATGTCACACCACTACCTTACGACCTCGGGTAGTTCTACTGTCACTCTACTTAGTACCTACTGTATATTGCCATGGACCTTTTGGTAGTTGTAAGCTGCATGATGTCGCAGCGAAGCTCGTAAAATGCGGGGTATGGCTTGTGGATCATACACTATCCTTATCCTCGCATTCTCATCGCGTTTTCATCGCATCCTCAAGACATTCATTCAATCATGATATATCGAAGATTGAGCGTGATCTGTCCTCATTCAGACGATACACTTCCCCAATGCATCACGACGTTGCAGTTTACAGAGTGTACCTTATGCAGCTTATACATACCTTACACTCCACGTCATGGACAAGAGCGGGGCATTGGGTAATCTTACAATATGACGGTAAGACTAGTACGACCCACAGACCTGCCTGAGGGAAGTACACTATCCCGCTTTTGGTCACACGAGAACCACCCGGGAACCCGTGTTGTTTCCCGAGGCATCCCGATAACCGGTTGCTGGAGTCTGGACGGACTATCGAGTTCAGAACAAGGGCAGGATGGCTACCACGGTCGAGAGAACGTCAACATAAGCGGACGATAAGAGAGAGGATGTGCGCAATATCATCGAAATCCGCCTGAGCGAGTGAACCTCAGGATGGATTAAACGGTATACGCCTCCCTCCGCCCGATATCCCGAGGATAACAGGGTCAATGCTCCGGCTATCTCAATGAAAGGATGAATATTCTTGCCTGGCGCTTAATCTTGTCAGGTCAAGCAGCTTGACGGACGGCTCCGCTCCACACGGCCCACGGAGAACTCTACTTCATGACGACTATGGTATCGTTGGCCTGCCACTGCCAGGCTCCGTTGATGCGGTCCAGATCGGCTATTCCGCTGACTGAGCTTCAGCTAGGGAGGATGTGGTCTAGCGGTTTGGTTTTCAGGAGTCTGAAAGTCAGTTAGTCAGGGCTCAGCATGACTGCTAGAGTGCTAGTTCACTTCGAATCAGTTGAGGATCTGGAGTATATTCTTCCGTCGGGTTCGGATGAGATTCCGGGACCCAATTGCGGGTTGAGAATTACTACAGTTTGATATCAAGTACCTCATTTTCGCATTTTCTGAGGAAGCAGATGAATACATGCTACTAAGTAGCTCTGTGCACTACTACAGGTGCCGTACAGAGTAGCGATGCAGTATGCATCCATACTAGGGAACAACATCTACGATCTCCAGACCCAATGTTCAACGAAGCAACCGAGCGAATACATAGAACGCAATCAATACAATCAACCTAGCCATCCATATGACGCCATTCATCATATCTTCACCTGAAGGCACATTGTTCTTCCATCCACACAAAACATCAGGAGTGCTGTGCTCCGGGGATTCCTCCGAATTCCGGCACTTCCAAGATGAGATAACCATCAGCAATTCAAGGCACGTTGTCTGTCAGTTGGCCAAAATGAACGCCATGAGAAACAAGATAGAGACACTGAAACTGTTCGTCGAACCAATACAGTTGGGCAATCACGACCACTTGATCCGGAGTCAATGTCTTTCTCCGAGTATAGTATCCTGCCCAACATCTACACGAAGTATACACTCCTATTCGCTGTACTGTGAACTACTCCTACCTCAACACCAAACAACAATATTAACATATCTTGGCCATTAGCATATCATCTAGTATTACCACCCACTAAGGCCACCATCTATCCCACCCAGCGGAAACAGACTCGGCAAAGTGCCACCCCAGCACAACCCTCAGATTCCCCTGTAGAGAGCAACACACCAAGCCCAAACTATCTCGCGAGTATCTACCAGGGGCAGCCGGGACGGAACCGGGAAAGGAACGCGGCAAGACAAGCGGAATCCACCTCGGCAGTCAGTTACGCACAACTCACAACGTACTCGTCAACCCCTTGACGGAATAGCAGGCAGCCAGGTGGCTTCGCTACTGAGTTCTTCCTTTCATAACTCCATGCGACTATGCATTTAGTACCTAGTCTAGTCCAGACGCAGGAAGGACGAATCAACGAATGGCCGATCATCACTATAGGGGTTGTCAAGTGATTTATTGTTAAGACATAGGAACTATTGGATCAGTACGTGCTCAGGCAGGTGAGCAGAAGGCGAGGACTATGCGCGCAGTTACTTATGACGGGCAATGAGTTGCTCAAGGTCAAGGTAGGTAGGCTACGCTCGTGGCTGGTCTCTTTGGTTGCTGTTTAGGGAAACGAGGAACGGTGTCTTTACGTTCTGGATTGCCTTGATCCATGGAGATGGATCTTCACAATGTGGATACTCTCCTAGTATGGGCGGAATGCTCAATTGATGTGCCAGATCGGGCTAAGACAACTTGTAAGGTCGGTGTTTTTGTTGGGAGCCGGAGTACAATGCTCCTGGGCAGTTGAGCAGAGTTGATGATTTATTTGGGACCTTCTTCCACCTCCTTCCACTACTGGACCTCTTTATATTACAGCTACACTGCACTTCCACTACAATTACAATGGCCGATCAGTTGAACTCAACTTTTGCATTCTAGATAGTACGATAAAAGGTATAATCTCTCCAAGAGCAAGTCAATCACAGGATTCGAGCAAAAAGGAAATTGCAAAAGGTTTGAGTACCCTTGCTTGCGTCTTGCAAGCACGCACATGATCAAGCCAATTCATGTCCCAAAAATAAGCAACGCAGCACGCCATGCAATATATTGACAAAGGAAAGCAATGAAACGAGATCAAACAGGCTACTGGGAGGGAACGGGACCAGCCGCAATAACCTCCTTGGTGGCTTCGTCTGCGTACTTGGAAAAGTTCTCGTTGAACAGCTTGGCCAGCTTATTAACCTCGTCGGTGAAGCTCGTCGAGGCGGTCCAGCTGTTCTTGGGGTTGAGCAGCTCAGAGGGCACACCAGGGCAGGTCTTGGGCACGTGGAGGTTGAACACGTCGTAGGTCTCGTACTCAACGTTGGCGAGCTCACCGCTGTGGATGGCGTCCAGAATGGCACGGGTGTACTTGAGAGGGCAACGCTTTCCACCAGTAGTGGCGCCGGCACCGACCCAACCGGTGTTCAGCAGCCAGGCGTTGGTCTTGTGCTCGGAGATCTTGTCAGCAAGCATGCGGGCGTAGCGCATGGGGTGCAGGGCGAGGAAGGGCTGGGCGAAGCAAGACGAGAAGGTGGCCTGGGGCTCGGTCACGCCGTCTTCAGTACCGGCCATCTTGGAGGTGTAACCCGAGATGAAGTGGAACATGGTCTGCTCGGTGGTGAGCTTGGAAATGGGAGGCAGGACACCGCGGGCATCGCAGGTGAGGAGGATGATGTTCGAGGGGTGCTTGTCCGCGATGCAGGGGATCTTGGCGTTCTCGATGTACTCGATGGGGTAGGCGCAGCGGGTGTTCTCGGTGAGGGTGGAATCATCGTAGTTGACAACACGGGTAATGGGGTCGAAGACGACGTTCTCGAGGACGGATCCGAAGCGGATGGCGTTGAAAATATCGGGCTCCTTCTCGGCGGAGAGGCCAATGCACTTGGCGTAGCAACCACCCTCGATGTTGAAGACACCGCGGTCGGTCCAGCAGTGCTCATCGTCACCAATCAGTGCACGCTTGGGGTCAGCGGACAGAGTCGTCTTGCCAGTACCGGACAGACCGAAGAAGACGGTGACATCGCCGTTCTCACCCTCGTTGGCCGAGGAGTGCAGGGTCAGGACGTTGTGCTTCACAGGCATCTCGTAGAAGAGAATGGTGAAAACACCCTTCTTCATCTCACCGGCGTACTCCGTACCCAGGATAACCATCTCCTTCTCGGCGAAGTTGATAGCCACCGATGTGGCCGAGGTCATGCCTTCGGTGAAACGGTTGGCAGGGAAAGAACCGGCGTTGTAGATAACGTAGTCGGGGTGGAAGTGCTCCAATTCCTCGCGGGAGGGGCGGATGAGCATGTTGCGCATGAAGAGAGCATGGTAGGCACGTGCGCAGACGACACGGACGCTGATACGGTATCTCTCATCCCAGCCGGCATAGCCATCGATAACGTAGATGCGGTTACGGGTGTTGAGGTAGTCAACAGCACGTTCACGGTTGATACGCCAGACCTAACAGCAGTGGGTTAGTAATCAGCCCTATCGATATGAAATGTGGTGATGTAATGCACGTGATGCAAGTAAGGTTGAGCCGAGGGCGGGGGGAATGCGGAGAAGCCGAAAAATAGGCCAGGTCTCCGAAGACAGCAAGCTGCAGTTTCCTGTTTCACAACGCCTGTGAAATAAATGCCTCATATACATCCACAAAGGGATATTATGAGGCATTTGAGGCATTTCCCAGAAAATGATATGCTGTCACACCTGTGCTGCCAAAAAAGCTTGACCCCTTCGGTATGCATGTGCAGGGGGTCCCCGGGAGTGCTGCAAGAAATCCACTGCAAGGGGCAACCGAAAAAAATGCGCGATATACTGGACTATGCGCGATTTGAATTGAGAAGATGGCACTTACATCAGGGGTCATAGGCTTGTTAACAGGTCCCCACCAAACGTCCTTTTCTGACGACTCCTCCTTGACGATACGCTTATCTGAAGGAGAACGGCCAGTCTTGGCACCAGAGTATGCTGTCAAGGCACCACTCGATGTGATGGCGGTACCGGTTTCGTAGACGAGGGCATCTTCGTAGAGTGCAGCGACGGAGGGGTTGGCAATCTAGGACGGTTAGTACATCGCAAACTTGAATGCAACTAGGCCTGAGGGTAGTCTTACAATTGCGACACGCTCGTAGTCAATGTGGGCGTGCTCGTGGAGCTCTTCCTCGAGTTCGGTGTGGCTCTTGCCCGGTCTGTTCGAAGTATATGTTAGCGAGGGATTGTCACTTTGTTTGTGTCGAAGTGTGGCTCATGAGGGGGCAGGAAGGCAACATGAAGGAGAGCGACAAGGGCACTTGATGGTATTCACAAGGCAGCAAGGTCGATAAGGGAAGACATACTGAACACCACCGGGGTGCAGAGCAGTGCGATTAACTGATGTGGCAACCATGTTTCTTAGAGAAGTCGAATGATAATTATTATTACGCTGCTTCGCGACTTGTTGTTGGAAGAAATCAGAGTAGAGAGGACCTGGTTCCGGGTGGGAAGCAGGGGGTATATGAATGTTCTCAGCAGGGGCCATGTTCACGATGATACAGGTCTCCGAGGACAGTTTCAAGGCTACTGTCCGATATGCTTCTCCACAGTTCCACGGGTGATGTCGGGGTTGAGGAACGAGACTGCAGCGATGATGGTTAGCCGTGGACTGAACAAAAATGCCTCTCATGGAGTGCCCGAGATGACCCGAACCCCAGATGTGGGCACGAAATGGTTACGGAACAACTGGTCGGGACCACCAACCAACAAGAGTAAGAGAAAATCAAAAGGCGACGTACTTAGCGCTGCAAGGAGGACTGATCGGGAAAGGGATAAATTATTCTTGATGACTCGTGGATAATGGATGATAACGCACGGGAAGATGCGTCGGGTTGAGATTCAGCGAGGCTACAGGAAGATGTTGTAAGAGGGAAAAAAGTGACGAGGCGAGAGTAATCGAGGCAATCCGTAGTAGGTCAGTGTATTGTAAAGGTACCTCAGGCTGCCAATGTGTACTGCAGAGTGCAGCTCTTGACTACATTCCAGCAGCCTAACGCAGCAAATTTATTTGAAGTCTTCACATGCAGAACCATTCTTACAAGTATTACGGATTTACGGCACCTCATACCATTCCAGCTTCTTGGAAAAGTCTATTCCCTCCGCTATTTGCTGTCTCTACACAGTACAGAACTTGAGTCCTTTGACGGTCAAATGGAGTTATGACGTTGAATGATGATCTCAACAGCCAGGCGAGCCCCGTCGTTGGCAAAGGAGGCCTGCTGGGTCAAGAGGCAAAAGATCAGGGGCTAATAAGGCCCAGATTGCGGGGAGTGCAGAGTTATCGGCTAGTTCTAGTCCTGGATAGGATACTTGTATAGATTTGTATTAGCATTGTGGTTGTTATTAATGTTGAAGTCATCCAGAACAACGAAAGCGACAAAGCCATTCCGAAAACAACATAGAAATTCTTCTTTCTTCGTACAGTCAGGCTCGACTAATTCTTCTATCGGTATCTCTCTCGTAATCATCCAAAATACCAGCCATAACTCAAGAACAGTATAGAAATTTGATTTGAATTTGTGTCTCTGATCCGACGGCTGACGGCCAGAATAATGATAATCATGACGAAATCCCCGGCTGGCAGTTCGGAGGTCACGATGCCAATCCTGGAAGGAGGCAAATCCCTTAGTCATCGCGTGCCGAGGGAAAGCGTTGTAGTAACCAATCACAAGCCTGGATTTGATGTCCAACGTCACAGCATGGGCAGAAGATATTGCCGCTTGCTCATTTTGGTTTTCGCTTCAAGGGAACTAAATTTCAAAAGGGAACCGCCTTCGTTCTCGTTGGTTCTTGGGCATGCAACTGCAAGGAATTTGCATCTACAAGGGTTGCCAATATTGACGTATCCAGCGACTCTCACTTTTTTACTGACGATTTGATCCGATTCATTTTGCTTGCTTCAGTCCCAAATGCTACCTAGCTATGCAAAAGGCAAAAACACTGAACCCGAAAATTCGGAATGAAAAGCAATAGTCTCACAATTACAAATGGACACAGTCCAGATGATTGTGGAGCAGAAAATGCATAGCACCACGTGAGGGACAGAGGCTTCCCTACTATGATCGACCAAGCCTTCCCGAAGACCCCATGATGTTCTCCTCCCCTTCGGGTTAGGCCTAGGAACCTGAGACCGACCTGCTACAAGGCTACAATTCACTCTTGACTCTTGAGGTATCAGGTAAGATACTTTAAGGTTTGTAGGAGTCAGCTCTCACTCAGCTGGTCACAGCCAAGAGCTGCGTAGTGAAATCCACGGAGACCGAGTCACTGATACGAAAGCTGAGCTCCAATGGCAATGCTTATACAGTTGTTCTGGCGAGTCAGCTCGGCAGCCTAAGGCAGGAAATCCTGCTGTACCCCGCATCCGCAGAAGACGCCTGGGCCACGCGGGCCTTTCCCCGGACCTCTGAGAGACTTAAAAGAAATCTTAGACTCTTGGGCTGTTATCTGGTGATCTAGTCCGAAAGGTGGCTAGTTTACAGTGTTTGCGCCATGACTGTAATAGTTATTTGCCCCTGAATTTGAGGCTGCTACGACGATGATAAGTGCAGACTGCAGACCTCAGATCTTTTTGAGTTGTTTTGTTTGACTGCGAGACAGATAGGGTCTATTCATCACATCATGCGCACCATGTCGGAGAATATAGGGATACTCTGAGATCAAAAGAGCCAAAGCAGAGTCTAGAAGCGCTCAAAACCCCTGACCCCAAACAATCGAGGTATCTATCAATAATCTCGAACAAGCAGGCTGTGCAGTTGGGCAGGCATGCCAAGTGGAGACACCCTGTTCCCAATGCGGAAGATTTAGGAAGCGATTTGATAACAAGAAACAAATGCAGAATGTTCCCATCGAAAAATGCCTCATGTCGCACGTAATAGTGCGCAAATAGAAAGCTATCACATCTCATTTGGTTTTTCTCTGATTTTTCGGTTCGTTAGTAATTCGTCAGGAATTATTACAGGCTTACAGCAGAGCTGAGAGACTCGCCAGCTCCGATGAAATCCGATGCTTCGGCATCTAAGAATAGACTCGACTATCTATCAACTATCAAAGGCCGGAGTCATCCTTTTCTATCACGGGATCGAATGAATAGACTCAACTCGGTCATTCCGAGTATTTGGTGCTTGGTTATCCCCTTTTGACCTACCAACCCGCTGTCCATCCTTCATGTTAGGTTTTTTGGAAGAAAAATGGCTTGCAGCTCGTGACTGCAGTTCTTGTTTGGAGTCACCAGACCAGTCTCCAGAACAGCACTATTTCAGCTCCCTTGCTCCTTGCTCGTCTGCAAACACCTCAACCCTCCAACCGAGTTCTATTGACGTTTTCGAGTTTCGACAGTTGTTATCCTTCAAAGCAAACCCGATACTCGCCGAAGGGTAAATCCCCAGCTGAATCGAGAACGCCAAGCTCCAGCATCTCTGCAGAGTGAAAAGAAATCCACCCGTATCCCCATGTAGCATAATCCAATAGTAGCAATGGCATCCTCCCGATCCCGAAGTCCAACCGGGTGGAAGTATCCACTGAATGTCGAGACTATTTGACACTTTGACTTTGTCTTCGGGTGACCGATCATAGAGCAGCACCTTTCTGATCCGAGGACTGTGCTCCCCGAGTATGAGATCGGGTCGTAGGACTGGACACATTGGGATGGCTAAGATTCCTTCGAATAGCTCTCACAGATTGGTTTCACCTACGTCTAAGCTAGATTAGAACTATGAAGCACTACTGTCTCGCAAAAATGCTATGCTTGTGTATATGTGGGGAGAGTGATACCAAACAGATTTCCTAAATAGGCAATTTAGAGTGAATTCAATTGCATTGGGATGGCAGTGACTAATGGGCTCTGGCTAAGATAGAATTTTGACTCGCTACATGTCAAGAAGATGTTGGGTCGGACATGTACATTTCTATCTGTTCACATACTAGTTGCTGTCGATTTCAGCTCCTCACCACCGAAGGATATATATTCAGAGAACCTCCACCCATCCAACACCTAGGTACACAACTGAATTAGAAATGAGTGAAGCTCACTATCTGCACACGAACCAGCCTCATCTAATTCCTGAATACCGTAGTCACCTGCTCATCCTCACCTCTATTTACTCACCCTGTTAGATACCTAGTTAGTTAGAAACAATCAGCTGCCTGTTGGACAACCTACTACAAACCAATCACCAAGCAACCAAGGCGGGGCACTCACTGACAGCCGGCGGGGTACAAGCAAAACAAACCATCCTACCTTCGCTTATTTACTAAATATTCTCTGATTCCTCTCTACCTGACTCATCTTCGCCCACAAAGGTACTCAAACCACTCATACATCTGTCCCATTTATCAACAAGGTATATCTCTATATTTGCTGTATTGACGACCCAAACGAGCTAATCCTCATCGGCGGTTTAGATCTACATCCCCCGCAACTCAAAATGGCCGGTCACAACGCTTGTCCCTCCTGCGGTGCTTCCATCTCGGGCGAGAAGAAGACTTGCTCTTCTTGTGGAAAGGTAGCTCTCTTGCAATCTGTACGGTTGAGTGGTATGGCTGACGGTGATAGACTTGCCCCGTTTGAACCCCTGGAGCGAACTCGCTGAGGTGGTGGGGTTTGTTTCCAGATGGGAGAGAGGGGGCTCTGCTTCACAATGCATGATGTTATGATGAATGATAGGAATGAAGTTTTGCGATCCTCATTATGAGTCGTGACTCTGAACTAAATAGTCTATCGTAAGATCAACATGATCATCAAACCATTTCCGTCGTATCAACCGCTCGGTCGACTTTTTGCATGGACTCTTGCGTGCAGGGTCGATCGGCGCTTCCACCAGAGCGACTTTCTTCACTCTGTCTCAGTATCGCCTCTGTATCGTCGCGAGAGGATCGTCTCGTTTGCGCTTCCTCGTCGTCCGGCGATCGGGAAAAGCGGTTGTTCACGATCATCGAGTGTCGCCCCCGATCAACCGTACTGTTATTCGGGAGGGGCTCATTCTCCGAAAGAAGGGCGACTTCCACCGGATGATCGCAGATACAGGGGACCTTGAATATCTTGTATAAAGCGTTGAGCGCGGGGACGGACAGGCCGTGGATGATGATGGAAAAAAGAACCAGCCAGTATACAACTAAGGGAGCGTCAGAACATCCACTTGCTATCGGTGAATGATGGATATCATACCTGGAGTGATGGCAGCAGTCAAATTGTTGATTTCTCGGTCACTCTTCCCAGGGGCTGGGAATAATCGACGGGTGTATTCTGCATATGCAATCGCCCCCACACCTGCTCACGCCTGTCAGTTCAGATCTTATGCAACGGCTTCAAGACTCACCAATCGGTCCAAAGTATCCCATGAACAAGGCTTCCTTCCAGTTACTGCACACCTTTGGCATGAAACGGTACCCAAGCAGAATCGCCGGCATACGACGAAAAACCAGAATCAGGAATCCCAATGCGATCAGCCGCCAGACTGTGATACCCGTCGTGTCCGGCATATGAAACTGATCCCATGGCATAACCGCGCCGAGGTACATGAATGTCCCGAAATTCAACAGCGTTTCCAGTGTCGAGTTGAAGGCATCATGCCGGGCTTGCGACTCCGCGTGATACAGACCGTCCCAGTTCAATGCGTTCCCGGCGACGAAACAAGCCAACGTCTCATCGGAACCGAAGCAACCGCACGTGCCGACAATGAATAACTAACGAGATTATTAGTGCCGTTCTACCATCAGTTAGAATCAAACTTACCCCGACAGCCACAGGCATGAGGGAGAAACATTCGTTATCGATCCATCTCCTATTGCAAAGGTGAGCGGGAGGCCTCGAAAGCACGTCATCCGTCACGTACCTCTTAGAAGCGATATTGAGAAGTTTGCGGCTGACGAAGCCTATGAGAGCACCATATCCCGAGCCCAATACCATCATATAGAGCACACCTTCGATAGCCCAGTGCCTCATAGCGCGGGTAACTCCACCGCCGAAACGTCCGATATCAGCCGTGCCCAGCGAGTCCGGGATCCCCCTTGCCAAATCAAACTCTTCCAGACTGACCGTGTTCTCAGGTGCCTCGGCGTACCGCAAAAGTGCCACAGCCAGTAGTAGGAAGGGAAAGCCAAATCCGTCGTTACCCCCTGCCTCGGACGAGATGAATTCACGGAGAGGACGACGAACATAGTTGTCGGCAAAAGGGCCCTTTGCAATTGCTTGAGATAGGATCGGATCGGTGCATGCTACACAGGAGCCGATTATAAGAGCCGATAGCTGTTCTCGAACATCAGTAACAGATTGCAACGACGGATGACATAGGTCGACACACGAAGGAAATACGTGGAATCATGAGCATGATGCATCCAGATGTCGCAAGCCAACCGATGGCAGTGAGTGGAAGTAAGCAGATGGTCATTTCCTTGAACCGTTCCTTCAGATATTTCTTCGGCAATTGATATCCAACTTTGACTAATTGGATGCCAATGACCAGGCGAGCCAAGTCCTAGGCCAAGTCAGCATAAACTACCCAGATAGGACCACCCATTCAGGCAGGACCTACGTAGGTGACATCGTGGTCTCCATCGCTATCGTCACGGGTCCATTGGGAAATCTTGAGAAACCTCGCAGCAGCCGGTCCAAAAGCGACGCCGGTCAGGAAAGCAGGCACTAATCATAATCAGCAACAATAGAATCCACAAGAAAAGCAAACATACAAGCTTCACCCAAGTACCATCTTTGTTTGATTTTCAGCGATATGAATCCGAATAAGAGGATGTATGTGCCTTCGATTAATGGTGAGTCAGCGACGATCAACCATTCAATTGCCCTCAAAAGTCCATACTTATAACCGCCAATACAACATTGAAGTTATCAATATCGAGAATAGGGTGTAACATCATTTCTCGAAATCGACGGCTAAAGGACAGTTCAGGTAGGTTGACGGGAGAGAGACGGGATGCCCTCAACTCTCTAGACAAGTCTCGCAAGGCTTGCGCAGAGAAGCCCAGTCTGTCGACTCCTTCATTGACCTGGTATGTTCTTAAAACTGTCAAGTCTCGCTAGAATGGCTTTCAAAAAGATGCAGAAGCTTTGGCAGGATGAAAGCCTCCGGAACCACTTGGAAGAGGTAACAGCTGGCAAGGGATAGACAGCGATAAGGATTCCACCTTGAGCCCGTCATTGTTATGTATCCCTTTGTATTGTTGCCTGCCTTCAAACAAGGCCCGCTGGGTAATTGCATGCTTGAGTGGGTCATATATTGGCCCTTGCAGGACAAAACTATTTGGTCTTAAAGCTTGGCTGCACAAATTGAGACTGATCGACGGGCTATGGTTGGGTCGACGGCAGATCTCGAAGATCAGTCTTTCATTTTCACAGTAGGAACTAAGCAGAGACGCCGCTGAGAATGCCAATGAATGCCTAGGCCGTCGAGAAGCTCTTGGGCTGGCATGCTTCATCGTCATCCATGGCCCATATATGGTGATCCGACATACTTGCAAGTTGCGGCATGCCGAGAATGAAACTCGAGCTTGGATCTATCAGTGTCGCTGGGACCCTTATCAGCAAAGCCAGGACACCTAATCTTCAATTGGCTAGTCACAACTCACAAGTCACCCGAAAAAGAAACTATGATGGAACTGATCGATAGCCTGCAATAGCCATCGGCCAACGTGACATATCCCTGAGGAATATTTTCAGCGTCCCACTCACGAAGCCAAATGAGGAAAAAGAACGTAAAATCACAAGTGGTGTTACAACGTCAAAGAATTTCCGAGTGAGAGCTCAGATAAGTATGATCGAATCCAACTGACAGGGACACAGGTGAGAATAACGACAAAAGTGTAGTTCCAATACATCCAAACAAACAATGTTGGCATCCGCCGCCAGTACCCGTCGACACCTCAGGCCTGACACAAGTATCCGCATGTGAAAGCCCCCGTTTCACATGACGGCGGGACACAACAGGAGAAAAGCTGCATCCTTCCAGCGGTCGATAAATCTCGGCAAGAGCAAGATATATCATTCAAGGTTGAGGTCAAGATCACCAGGAGAAAAGGTATGAAAATCAAATGCAAATCGTTGATGACTAAGTAGCATAAACAAGAAGGTGTATTCGATAAAAGTTACATACGCCCATGAAAGACAAGTAGTAGCTGGACGTGGCTTCAACCGTCGAACTGAGCTCAAGAAGCTCAAAATAGTGAATAAGAAATCGTGTCTGAGGTGAACATTTTCCTCGAATCCATAATTGTATAGCTCGCATAAACCTTGCCTGACAAGTCAAGACTACCTTCGGAGCTGACTTCATCCACTCAATGAGAAGGGCAATCGATCGCATTCGTCTATGCGGTCTTACGCCACTGCGACCACACTCCGATCAAACTGCTGATAGTACCGGCAATGCCCACAATTCCGTCATCGAGGGAGGCGAGACCAAGCGCCGAGACGGGCACGGTCAAGTCGCACAAGTCGGAGATCAGCTGGATACGGGCGGCGGCACGTTCCCTGATACGCGTCAGTACACCATGATTTTTAAACAGTACTGAGACCAGATAACATACTTTTCGAGCTTCTTGGCCTCTACGACACCCTCTCCCTCCTTACGGTCGAGTGTCTTCTCCTTCTCCTGCAGCCTCCACAAAGTGTAAAGTCCAGCGACAGCGCTGCAGGCCAATCCCGCCATCCAAGAGCGATAGGCAGACTCTTGCAGCCGCTTGGCCGCAGCAAGCTTCCTAACACCGATCACGTCGACGACTGTGATAGTGTCGAGAGTCAGGTAACCAGCATAACCGAGCTGGCGTCCGATGGCGAGGTACCGAAGGACAGGGTCGATCGGGCTCTTGTTGTCAGCGGCAAGCGCGGCAGCCTTGAGATGCTCCACGAATTTTCCAATTCTGAGGATCTTTCGTGTTGTGCCGAACTGCTTCTTGATGGCATTGTAGGGATCGATGGCGGACTGGGGGCGGTTGGTGCGGTAGAGATACCAGGCGTAGAAGCGGGAGAAGTATTGCAGGGTACGCAGGATCTTGTCACGACCGACTGTGAATCATTAGCAACCATCTCTTCCATGAGGGTCAGATTTTTTTGATCGAACAGAATTTCTAGAGAAAACAACGGCACGTCGACTGGTGCTCCATGTTTACTCCCGATCTCCCTCTCCTGATCAGAGTGCAAGATAACGACGTACCAGTTGTCGCGACAAAGCGCAAGTAGTGCGCCAAAGCAGGATGATAAACCAGAGCGTCTGCAACCATTTTCGGAATATGAAGACTTTAGTATTCTCGATCTTACTCGTGGGCGGTTACTCCGATGATCGGTCTCTGGGCGTCAGAGAAGGTAAGAGAAGGGCAAGGTGCCACGGAGACGACAGGCCAGCTGGTAGGATCAAAAACGAAATGGATTAAGAGGAACAGCAAGACGGAGAAAAAGCCCCCACAAACAAAAGAAGTATAAAGGAAAGATGGGGACGAGGAGAAATTAGTAGGAAGGATACGGAGTTGGGCGTCTGGGGGAGAATGGATCACGGTCGGCAAATGACCCCCCGGGGACGGAGCCGCCGTTTGTCACCATCAACCTCGGTTCATCTAGCACATCTTGTGGAGGTACGGAGTATGGAAATCACAATCCGACCTGTGAACCGAAGCTACCTAGCAATCAATCTGTGGGGCCTCCTCTTGTCCAACCGTGTACAACAGACTCAATCATGTCTGCATCATATTCAAAGGATATACCAATATGCTAGATATTATGCCAGCAGACATCGCATGAAGCTCTACTTAGCTCTCTCATGCTCTCTATCTCCTGTCACGTGATATGGTAGTTATCAGCTTTGACATGAATTCGGTCATTTTCGAGACGGATGGGTCACGCAAGTCACGTGAGTTGACCAAATATCAGATGGCATACGGGCTACTGCAAAGCACTAACTGGGTCATCATGCACTATATTTTCTGGAGATCAATGCTTAGAGGTATACTACATCGTGCATGGGGCAATCGCAAGTCTCTGGCCTCGCAGCCGAGTCAACCAATGGAGATGTCCGCACGGTACAATTATTTCTACCAATCGTCTTCATTTCAGGGCGTTGGGCTGTCATACTGCTTGGGGCCTCGAAGTAACTCGGTGGCAGGTCGCTTGGGAGACAAGGTGGCTTTTCATCCCTATCGAACTCGTGGCTAAGATCACTTTTCTTGAATGTCGCAGACCGGTCATTCGATTATTGGCGGTAGTACAGGGTGGGAAAAGGGAATGGAGCCTGAGTCGGCGGACAGATTTATGGGCGATGACGATGTGCGAAAGATACGATGATGCAATGGTAAGTGGAGCAGACAGAAGACGAATCACTGTTGCGCGCCGTTGTTTCCCAGAGTTGAGGTATCATAACCTTGAGCCTCGAGGTAAGCACGGAACTTGGCGTCCTCTTCGGTAATCGTATCCTAATAAGTGGTGTCAGTCACTTGTCCTGGAATGACAGTGTGCGAAGTTCATGTTCAAATCAAAACATACCTGCCCAATAGGTGGCAGCATGAAGTAGGCCAGGAATGCACTGAAGATGCATAACGAGCTGCTGACAAAGTAAGGATCCTGTCCCTGGCGCACGGCATTGGGGGCATTATTCTGGATTATTGGGAACACATAAGTGCCAACAAAAGCGCCTATCTTGCCAAATGCGGCAGCGATCGCGTAGTACTGGCCACGGATGGAAGTTGCACTGGTCTTTGCAGCGCATAAACCAATGTTGTCCCCGGGCCCGAATTCACCGAGAGATGAGAAGATGCCATAGACAACGACAAACGCCGCAACGTTCTTTGGTTCCTTGAGATATGCGTAGCATCCCGCCATGATAAAGCCGACGATACCCTGCAGGGCAACCCCGAGAGCCAACGTGTTGCGCGGACCTATCCAGTCGCTCGTCAATGCACCCAAAAACGAACCTGGGATGTAGAAAAGATTGGTGACTGTGCTCCATCCAAAAGTCTTCCAGAGAGGAGCGCTGTCGCCCAGAATGACTGAGAGCCATTCGGACGAGTAGATGCCGAACGAATAGGCCGAAAAATCATAGATGAACCAGATCAGGGAAACCACAAGCTGATATAGTTAGCTAAAGGTCCATTCGAGGGGAAGCGGAAAGGGATCGAACCAGGCGCTTCCAGTAGTACCTGTGGAGGGACTTGGTCAGCATCGGTGAAGAAAAGGAGAGGAAGAGATGTTGGTGACCTTACCTTATGATTAACCAAATAGGGAACTTGTGCATGCGTTGCCTGTTGAATTCCTCCGGCTCGTTCAACTTCAATCGCAGGTAGAACAGACTCAGAGGCGGAATGACACCTAGTCCTAGAGCCACGCGCCAAGCAGCACGCATGTGGTTCTCGGTAAAGATCAACATCAAAATCATGGCAACCAGAGAAGAGACGACGAATCCAAAGTCAATCTGGAAGTTCGTGAACATAATGAACCAGCGGTTGCGATGGCCGCTCTTCAGCTCGCCTGTGCTTTCCGCTGCTGCTACACTTCCCGCAGGGTACTCTCCACCTATGCCGATTCCCAGAAAGAACCGATACGCCGTCAGAGCGGCGAACAAACCAGCTTGGCTACCATGAGCTCCGTAAGAGCCGGCAGACAGAGCGCTGAAAATGATCAGGATCACCGTGGAGATCATCAAAGCCCACTTCCTCGACCAATGGTCACTGACGTATCCAAAAACGAGTTGTCCGAGTACGGTTCCTGCAAAGACGATGGAAGAGACATTCCTGCTGGCAGGGGAGTTTTTGTACGTGTGTGGGTAAATCTTGCTTAGCATGGTATTGACTGGCCCAATGACCTAGGCGTCAAGGTCAGTAAGCACTTAAGGGACAATTGAATACGGTGACAAGTGTTGAGGGTAATACATACTCCATTGAGGTAACCATCAGAAAAGAGACCGGCGCCGCAAGCAATGGTTGGCCAACTGCGCTCCCAGCGACTTTTCTGCGTATTCTCCAGTGGAATCTCTTCGATGGGTATTGGATCGAAAGAGTTGGAGGCCTTTTCAGGTGCCGTCCCAGGAAAAGACGGAGCGTCTCCCTTGGAAGTCATCTTCTCTCTGCCGTGGTGTAGCAATCTGGCCTTGAGAGTGTTTGCTTAGAAGCGGGGGCCAGAAGGGAACGAGACAGACAGGTTTCCTTGTTGACACAAGAACCACGCCAACAGATCTCAGTCACTTTCCCGGGCCTACCTTAGAATAAAAGGAGGGGACAGAGATGGAAGATTGACGAGGAGGTCGCAGAAGAAAAGAGTGAGGAAGAGAAAAAGTCCAAGTATGAAAAGAGGAAACAGAATCCCCTCGAAGGGGCACATGGTGATAATGCATATCGCAAGACCGATTCTAGCCACTAAACATTCACCATTCTGGATCTATTCCCCATTTACCAGCCTGTGCATCCTAGTTGGAAGCATTGGCTTGCACCGTCCAACAGCAGTTATTCCTGTGAGATACTGTTGTATCGAGGTGGATATAGTGGGGCCACTTTCTTAGAAGGCGGGCTAAGCTTTGCCTTTCTTCCATAAGGTGAACGGGTTCATCCATCAACTTGTATTGTTATTGGACGCCCACTAATTCAGTCTAAACTCGGTCGAATCCTGTCGAAACAAGAAACAGAGCATGTGGCCATGTGCAGCGCATCCATGCGATGCCGTAGAGTTATAGATGCGTTATGGCTTACAGGCAATGCAGTCCGTACTAATCAGCCAGTCTGATGGTAAGCGCATGCTTCGCTGGAAAATCTTACTCGTCGCCGTGACTTTTGAAAGAATAGACAGACCATCTCGAAACCCCCTGTCCTTCATCTGCTAGTCTGATACGGAGGGGGTAAGAAGTTTTCATTAGCGACCATCAACGGGAGGGGGGTGTTCTGATGGACAAGCACAGATAAGCTCAGAAGCAGACATTTCACATAGTGTGTGTTTAATCCTTCTTTCTATAATCCCAGAGTACCTTGCTTCTGCTCAACGTTCATTGAAAACCGCTTTTGACGCTCGACATATCGACAATAGACGACGCTTGTATGTATCGGTCTTCGATTCCGATCAGGACATTCTTGATGCCAACGATGCCCACTTGCATCATAGGCGTCGGCCTCTCCGAAGCCGAAGCCCATAGCATCAGCACTTGCAGCGTGCGGCGCGGAAAATTCACACTGTAGAGATCTCAGGCGATAACAGCCCAGAGATCAGGAGCCTGGAATGAGCAGATAGGCTGGCTGCATATGCTAAGGACGATTTGATCAACCATAGGAAATAAGTCTTATATTTCTACTATAGGAGACTAGTAAGAGATAAAGAAGTTTGTACTCCTCTAGATTAGATCTAGTAATACTAGTAGTAGGAGGGATTACTCTGCCTAGGAAGTATAAGATAGTGCTTTACCTTTCTTAAAAGAAGGAATACTTTCTACTAAATATTAGGTTAAAATCACTACACCAACAGTATCATATGGAGATGTTTGGCCTCAAATATCAGGGGTTGACAGTTTCAAAATATATAGCCGGAGAGAGGTGTGAAATAACGGAACTCAAAGTTGAAGTCAGATACGCGTTCAAAAACACAAGAGAGATGCGTCGGGTCATCACTAAGAAGTGTACTCCTTTCATGTATTCGATTTGTCTATTCTTATCAGTAGTATAGTATTTGTAGTCAAGTAAGTATGCATTTCGAACAGCGATGATGTGGACAACAGTTGCCTCGGAGCGGAACTTCTTTGATCCAGCTGAGCTCAGGTCAGCTATGTTACGTGATGTATCTGCTGCGACTAGATTCCCGTCAACAGACCTACCTACACAAGCATCGCTCTACTACTCACCAAGACCCGTTTCCGCCATTCTCTCCCTCAAACTTATCCGTCTCTTGTAATAATTTCCTCCTTCTCATCGCCATCATGGGGTCTGATCCGCAGTACATCAAGTTTCCTGACCTCACCCTCGCCCAGCATGTCTTCAACCTCTCCAACCCATCATGCCCCCAGACCGTACGGCAGACATCGCTGAAGAGAATCCAGGATGCTATCTCAGAGCATAAGATGGCTCCTTTCTACCGACACCTCGCACACCCCGTCGAAGGCATTCTGAACTATTCTGGCGAAGGTGTACCTCAGCATGGCACCAGCGGGTCGAACAAGGCCTTGATTACCTCCAACTTGTTGGCGTCTCGGAAATCATCACAGAAGATCGATTTCCCATGGGATGAAGCGCTATACCAGTCCTTGGTCGAGGATAACAAGAAAGAGCTGGAAGCCTTCCAGAAGGAAGAAGGCGAGGCTGAAGAAGCGGCTGGTGAGACCGAGGTGTTGGCTGCACGGGGGAAGCGTGCCGAATTCTGGGCACGCGTAGGAGATAAGGTGCGTTGATGACTATTTCATAGCCATGCTCATCAATGAGCTTCAGTGGTCGAATACTAATATATCGTTGTATCTTCTAGGACAAAGCTATCGAGTCACATGAAACCCTCCTTGAGAAGACAACGTTCCTCGGAACCAAGATCGATCTCGTTCTTGCTATGGTTCGAATTGGCCTCTTCTTTGGCGATGCCGTGTCTGTCAAGAAGAATATCGAAAAGGCGAATACCCTGATCGAGAGTGGTGGTGACTGGGACCGCAGGAATCGTCTCAAGGCTTACAAGGGCCTCCATCTGCTTACTGTTCGCTCCTACAACCTCGCGGCTCCTCTTCTTCTCGATAGTCTGTCTACATTCACGAGCTACGAGCTGTGCAGTTATTCGGCTCTGGTCATCTACTCGGTCCTTGCGGGCTCATTGTCCCTAAAGCGAGTAGACTTCAAAGCAAAGGTTGTGGACGCCCCAGAAATCAAGGCAATTCTCGGAGCTGGGGAGGACAGATTGGCTGCTCTGACAGGCGAAATCTCCGCTGGACAAGGTGCTGGGGATGAGGAGATGAAGGATGCATCGCCTTCGACGGCTACCCCAGGCACAGCCACCACCGCGGTCAACTTGACCACCTTGGGAACAGGTTCTGGCCTCCAGGCCGAGACAGAACCTCCCGTTGACTTTTCGTCTCTTGCCAACTTGGTCGACAGCCTTTACAGCGGCAACTACCGCACATTTTTCCGGGCATTGGCGGCCGTGGAAGATAATTTCCTCACGCAGGACCGGTACCTGTTCGAGCACCGGGCCTGGTTCGTTCGGGAGATGAGACTCCGCGCCTACCAGCAGCTGCTTCAAAGCTACCGGGTGGTTGGGTTGAATAGCATGGCAAATGACTTTGGCGTCACTGTCGACTTCCTGGATCGGTAAGATGCGACCTGTTCTATTTAATCATACAATGACTGAGTGGTGAATGCAGGGATTTGGCGAAGTTTATTGCCAGCAACCGTATCGCGTGCACCATTGATCGAGTGAACGGAATCATTGAGACAAACCGGCCTGACGACAAGAACAAGCAGTATGCTGATTTGGTCAAGCATGGTGATGCCCTCATCACGAAGCTCCAGAAGTACGGTCAGGCTGTGCGGCTACGGGGGAGCGAACGAAGCTAGAGGAATGATCTGAGTGGCATCTTGAGACATCTTCCTGTTTCTGCTCAATATTATCCCTAATGATTGTTGCGGTGAACCTGATCATTATGGACGATGCAGCGATGTGATGTCTGTCTATTTTGAATTTGATAGAGCAAAAGCAAGCGAGGCTGCTGTATCATACAACTAATGACCGAAGACAACATGATCTCAAATCGCATGATATGGTGCGATCTTGTGGACAAGTAGTGAGCTTAGTGATTTGTAATTGCATTGACCTTCAGATATCCATGTTCGTCAATTCAACGAGGCGTCATCAAAGAGCCAGTCAGGTTCACGCTGAAATCCCGCGCATCGGTGAACGAATCTAGTTCATTGATGTGCCTTGTTGCATTGTAGGCAGACAAGCAGAGTTACTTAAAATCATCATAATGATGCTCCTTTAGGTAGCCCCAGTCCATGAAGGAAGGTACTATGAAGCAATTGTCAAGTTTGGTGCCCCTGATGCTGATAGCTGCTTCAAAAAGCATTCCACATTGCTCTTGCTCATTCATCATCCAGTGGGACTGTCAGGGGATCTGTTCCTTCAGAAGCAAAGAAGAGGTAATAATCACGCTGTTCAGCCGTGTTTTCTTCCCATGGAATGAGAAGCTTTCGGATACCCACAGCCATGAGATCCTTGAACTGAGCAACTTCCAAGTTTATCCTTAGCTCGATCATGTGGTAGTATCCAATTCTGAACAAGTCCACGCATTCATCAGAGATCTCTTCGTGAAATTGGATCATTCTTCGGCCCAAAAAAACAATGTCGCTAGCGTCCGACCTCCTTTTCCTCTCACCATTGTCATCCTCTGCTCGGAGGTACCAACAATGGATCTTGACTGCCAAAGCGAAATCCAACTTCAGGATTCGAACTCCGTTCAACATGGTAGTGTTTGGACCAAGGTCCTCGAAGGTCGCCCTTTGAACAATAGTAGTAAGAATGTCGACCTTGAGTACTGAGTCCGTGATCTCTGACTTGAAACACAGTATCCCATTTTCAATGCTGATGCCGTTGATAGTCTGTAAATCCGCCAAGATTTCTCTGAGATTTGTTTCGCTTGGCACAAGTATATCCACGTCTTCTGTCGTTCTGCGGCTTCCGATTGAGATGATCGCTGCACCTCCGATGAGGACAAAAGGAGATGGAAAACAATCCCGAAGTGCTCTTATACAGCTCAAAATAGCCTCGTGATGTGACGCATAGGCCATCGAAAATATTCCCTGGTAAGGGAGCAAGTAAGTTCTTGAGCGTGCTCAAACGGGTAAATCAATTGTGCGCACTTCTGTCAACCTGCGTTGAGAGGCGAGATGGAAACAGAAGACGACAGAATTATGAATATGACTGCAGTTGCAGCTTGCAAGCTCAGTCTGCTTCCTCTTGTGGTTCTCTCGTGTTTGGAAGAAGGAATATGGAAATGGTCAGATCTCGTAGCAAACCGATAAACAGGCTGTTGAAAATGGCCATGCTGGGAATAGTAGACGAGGTTTTGGTTCCTCTGCCGGCGTACTTGCAATCTAGATCTGGAATCAAGCAAGATTGGGAAAGAGCAACGACACGTCCCGATGAGAGGCAGGAACCAGACTTTGTCAAGGAAAGTGCTATGTCGCTGCCATCCAATGTTTGCAACAGCTTTTTATCACACCATTCCTAATTTCTCGTCACCAAGGATAGTGCGGTATACAATTTCTTGATGGGAGCATGACATAGCTTTGCGGCCATATAAGGTATCATAGAAGGATTCTTCGCAAGGTTCTCTTAAGGCGAGGAACTGAATCCGAAAGCTCAGCAAAATATCAGCCTCCACTGCCAGATGCGATTTGTAAAGAAAATGCTGGGCTACGTTCGAAATTAATCCCAGTAAGCTGAGTCAAAAGGTGGTAATTCCTTTTCTTGGGAATACATTAAAACTGCTTCTTTCCCAAGTTGAACACCTATCCACATGGTGGATTATCCGCAAGGTTGATAGTGCCCTTCTGATATTTGCGTTTCAGAGCAGCCAGAGCCAAATCTTTTCTTGGTATGGATTGTCTCGCAGCTTCAACAGTAATACAACCCATACGAATCTGTTGCCGCTGCAAGCAAACTTTCTTCCTTGCAGATGGCAGAAGCACCTTCTGAAACAGATCCACAAAGAATCTATCTTCTTCTGAGAGAAGAGCTATGAGGTCCTTGGGGATGACAGCAAGGAGGTAGGAATACTGAAGCTTGAAGTACCCAGTAATATTGGTATTGAACCCAGATTTCTGATCACGTTCCGAAATGACGTCTATCAGTGCTAATGAACCAATAGTTAGCTCACGTATCATGGAGAGAGGAATTACACTTACCATGAAGATAGAATAATCTTCTGGGAAATCGACAACGTGAATCAGGGAACAGAAAAGTGTTTGCTGAGAAGCTCTCAGGCTCGAGGTTGAGATGCCAAAAGGTTGCTGGCACAAGCATGACCCTGGTAGCTTGAAGCTGAGCTGAAGGATCAACCACAAGTCTGTACCCTGGCCAACCAGCAGGACTCTCTATAGCATGCTCGTATCGGTAGGCTAGATCAACTCCCGGAACGTCGTTGAAGCCATTATCAAGTAGAATAGAGTATGCATCTTGAAGCTGCTCATCTGCAATAGCAAGGTACAAATCGCTGATGACTAGGGGATACCCCAAGATGCGGATGATGGCGTCGCCGACAATAGAGTGCCTCAGACCTGAAATTTCCAAAATTTCAGATGCACGAAACTCGGGCCACACAACCGAATCCTGTAAGCGTCCTTTGGCTCTATAATCCTCCATAGTCTTGGAGTACAGAGTAATCTCACTATGGCCTACCACAGGGGCTTAAATAAAATGGCTGGGTGACAAGGACATGAAGTTAGGAGTGTGATGCAAGTGCCACCTCCGATGGTAGGTAGCCGCGGAGGACGGGCGCTGAGTCAGCGAGCCAATGACGGCCGGACCTCACCGCCTTTTTTTTTTCCCGCAGTTTGGGGGTTTTTGGTCTCAGGCGGTCTTTTTGCTTTTTTCCTTTGCTTTCTACGGAGTACTCGGTGTCGCTGTCTGCAGAGGAAGAGCGTAAAGCGCTACTGTCAGGTCTTTCTTCGCATCCCACGCGTGGAGAAACAAAAGAGGAAAGACAAGAAGCGCATTATGACCTGGCAGCTTAGGATCGCATCCCACATGCGGGCGTCTCCGCTGGCCTTGGGACGTCCAGTTTCCCGGCCGAATCTTCGGTTGCTGCGTCGTCAGGCTTTCTGCTGGGCGGCAGGGCTACCCGCGGGGGTCTCCAAGACCTCTTCAGGTACGTTTCGTCTTCCATTCGGGAGACTCCCCTAGCTCCGTTTGGCCCCGATGGATCGTTCGATCAGCCAACCGCCATTGGATGTTCGTTCAATTTGAGGCAATAAAATGCGTGGATCAGTGCTCAATTGGCTCTTGTCATACGGCCACGTCCCTCCCCCTCATCTCGTGACAAATGGATCCCATTCTACCCACTTTCGAGTCACCGTTCGTGTCAGGTACATAATGGATGGTTCGATCCCGAGGGGCCGCGCTTGTATATAGTCTCATTCTAAGGGAGGGGACGTTTCTTATCAATTACCATAAAAACTGACCCGTAGTCTCGAACAAACACAGAACCCACCATGACCGTGACATATACCACCAAGCGGACCGCTTCTGATCTCGGCCCTCGTCGTCTACATGCCGACAACATCAATCCCAACGTCAAGGAAGCCAAGTATGCAGTCCGTGGTGAGCTCGCCGTCAAGGCGGAGGAGTACCGGGTGAGACTGGCCAAGGGAGACAAGTCCTTGCCCTTCGACAGTGTCATTTTTGCCAATATTGGCAACCCCCAGCAGCTGGATCAGAAACCCATCACCTTCTTCCGTCAAGTACTCAGTCTCCTCGAGAACCCCGCATTACTGGAGAAACCGGAGGCCCTGCGTTCGTCTTTCGGCTACAACCAGGACGCCCTTGACCGGGCCAAGAAGCTCCTTGCGGACATTCAGAGCGTCGGTGCCTACAGTCACAGCCAGGGAGCACCATTGATCCGGGAGAGCGTGGCCAAATTTATCGAGGAACGTGACGGCTTCTCCGCCAACCCTCAAGACCTGTACCTCTGCGCTGGTGCCTCGTCCGGTGTCAGCACCCTTCTGAACGTCATCTGCCACGCCCCCCATGCTGGTGTCCTCGTGCCGATTCCCCAATATCCTCTGTACACCGCCACTCTATCCCTTCTGAATGCGCAGTGCGTCCCATACTACCTGGAGGAGGAGAGGGCCTGGGGTACCGACGTGGAGGCTATCCGGCAATCTCTGGCGCGCGCCAAGGCCGAGGGCACCGACGTTCGTGCCATCGTTGTCATCAACCCCGGTAACCCGACGGGTGCCTCGCTGAGCCCCGAGGACATCAAGAGCGTGCTTGACATCGCGGCGGCGGAGAAGCTGGTCGTCATCGCCGACGAGGTGTACCAAACCAACGTCTTCGTGGGTGAGTTCACCTCGTTCAAGAAGAGACTGCGCCAGCTCCAGCAGGAGGTGCCTGGCAAGTACGACCACGTCGAACTCGCTTCTCTGCACAGTGTGTCCAAGGGAATGGTGGGCGAATGCGGCCACCGAGGCGGTTACTTCGAGCTCGTCGGGTTCGACCCCTTGGTCGCGGCCCAGATCTACAAGTTTGTCAGCATCATGCTGTGCCCACCGGTCATTGGTCAATGTCTGGTCGAGCTCATGGTGAACCCACCCAAGAAGGGCGAGCCCAGTTACGAATTGTATGAGAAGGAGTACAACGGCATTCGCGATGGCCTACACAAGCGTGCCCTCGCCCTCTACGAAGCCTTCAAGCAGATGGAGGGCGTTGAATGCCAGGAGCCTCAGGTACGTTACCCTCTCTTCCGACTCTTTCCCTGAAACTTTCTCTAACACCATGCAGGGCGCCATGTACCTCTTCCCCAGCATCACCATGCCCCCCAAGGCCATCGAGGCTGCCGCTGCCGAAGGCCGGCAACCCGACGAATTCTACTGCCTGCGGCTCCTCGACGCAACGGGCGTCTGCGTGGTCCCCGGCTCCGGTTTCGGCCAGAAGGAGAACACCCTCCACTTCCGCACGACCTTCCTTGCCCCCGGCACGGACTGGGTTGAGCGGATCGTCAAGTTCCACGCCGAGTTCATGGCCAAGTATCAATAGCCGTTCTGCATTTTGCATTTGCATCCGACCTTGTCTCATTGGACGGTTACGAATCTCTTTTCTTTTTCTGAGTGATAATATAGGAAGACATGCTGTGCATAACCGGAGGCATGTGATGGATACCCTGGAAATCAAAATGATATAGAAGGCAGAGTATGTATAGCCGCGCTATTGTCATGTACTATTCTGTAGACATGGAATGTCATTACCCAACGATACCTTGACTGTCACGTATCCTCGCTTAGCTTCCGTGCAAGTGAATTAAGCCAACCATACCCACGCGACGAGACTAGATGCCACACTCAATGCTCAAACTCAAACAAGTGCAACCCGCCGAAAGAGCCCCAGCAGAACGGTGCACCCACACTCGCAAGCACAGAGGATTATTCCCAACAGGCAGTAGCCAGGTCATCTGAGCTAAGAACTGCTTACGCAACAGCGCAGCACATACCACGGCAATCACGGCACCAAGGCCTGAGCCCTGCTCACCTTACATATGTAGGCAACAAGGGATGCAGTCGCGGCCTGCATCCCCGTGATCCCAGGCATGCGCCATTGTCCTACCTGGGGAATGTACCACGAGGTATGTGTCCATGTCCACGCCCACGCCCACACCCACGCCCACGGACACGGCGATGGTGATGGTGATGCAGTACACACCGACGAAGCCAAGCTGCAACAAGCCTTTACGTAAAGCTTGTCGGCCTCCCTTGCAGGTACCACGTATCACCAGGTGAAATGGTGAATGCCGATCAAGCCTGAGCGCGGTGCAGTGAGCGCCCTCTCAAGGGATGGGACGAAGAGGACTCCGTCAATACCGACGCAAAGGCCACTGCACCAAGCAGTCGAGTCCAGTCGACCGTCGGTAGGCAAATACACAGGTGGGTGTGACAGTGCGGGAGCAGCTGAGCTGAACATTGAGGCAATGACGCATCATCCAGACCTGGAGGGGCATTCCATTCGTAGATGCGCATGCGAGCCTGCGTGTACCATCCCTGCCGCATGAGACTGTATGAACCTCGTCACCGAATGCTCAGAGAACTCAACCTCGAATCTGCGTGACCAGCTTGCTGATTACATCATTAACAGTCGCAGGTCGACGAAGACTTGTCGATCCCATCGGCCGCTGGATTGGTAGGTGAATAATACTCCAAATGCACACCGCCACTTGTGCTACATACGTATCAGATCGACAGACTACAGGCTGTATGTAGGTACTGTATATGTCTGGCTGAGCTCAGGCGATGAGCCGATCCGCCAATAAAGAAAGCGCATACAGTCACGGTACGCGGTATGCAAATGCACTCGGGGCAATCAAATCTCTATTGTGCATAATCAAGATCTTTGAACTGCATGGAACCACCAAACACAGGCGGAGCAGGATATCTATCTAGATGCAATGACACGAAATAACAAGCCCACGATGGCTGGGAGCATCAGGACTGCCTGGCCCGTACACGAGTACCAAGTCAAACCATTGCCGACTCAGTGGTCTCGGGGATATACAGAGCCAGCGACTGCACAGAAAAAAAAATCACGGGAATCTTGATATAGATCTGGAATGCTAGGGTAGCGTCAGACGATTCGGAGCTGCGCTAATGGAACAAAATGAATGTTAAAAACAGTCAGGAAATGATCATCATCTCTCATCAAGGTCATGAGGGCGTAGGTGTCGTCACTCAGACGGTGTGGAGGTGGTGGAGGAGGAGAAGGTAGCCGTAACTAGACCAAAGGAAACTGGAAAGACAGCCCCCAAATCCCGGAACAGACGACGTAAACTGGTACTTTTACACCCAGGGTGGGGTATAAAAGTTGCCATTACTGTCATCCATGGACGGAGCGGCGGGATCAAACATAGCAGTGGGCCACAGGGTATCCGTAGGAGACGTCGTCATCGGCAGGCTCGTGGTCGAATTGGCCATCGGCTTGAACGTCTCTGCATCGGTCATCGGGACAAACGTGTTTTGCGCAGGGAGGGGCTTAGGCTCCATGCCCATACTGGACTGTAGCTGGTGTTCCAAGGCGGCAGTCGACTCATTGGCGGACTTGAGGAACTCGTCGATGTCAATCGCCTCGAGATTGTTAGAAGACAACAGCTGAGCTTGCGGCAGGCCAATGAACGAGGAGGCGGAGCTGATGCGGAACTGATCAAAATCCGAACCCTCGCTCGCACTGTGCATATCCTGCAGATCGCCACTAGTATTTCCAAGACCAGACAGGGGCCCGAAATCCTCAGCTTCGGAGATGTCACCTGACGAAGACGGGGCCGGGAAACCAGGCGCCATCGAATTGTAGTCGAAACTCGCGTAGGAAGGAGCTTGCGTGCTGGTCGCGGCGGGGACGTCTGATGAATACAGAGGGAAATTGGACCAATCGACCGGAGGCGCGCTGAAGGCAGCAGAATTCAGCGGCAGGTCGCTGTCGGGCGACGCGAAGAAAGGCTCCTTGTAGGGATCTTGAAAGGCCATGCAGGTCACAGGGGATGTCGTCGTCGTTGGGAATGAGGGGAACGAGGAGACATCGAGAGGCGGCATGCTAGTCACGACCGGATCAAGCGAATTCAACGGGAGCTGACCCAGGGGTGCTGGTATCGACTCCGCTGCGCCGCTGTTGGACTGATCCATAGACGGCTGGGCTTGAGGGAAGAAGGACGACAAGTCGAGCGGAGGAACGGTCGTGGTGATATCTTCCGTAGCGGCAGTAGGGGCATGATCAGGCGATCCATGTTCGGAATTGACAAGATGATGCTGTTGCGAACCGTTGGACTGAGTCTCGGACTGCGCCTGGCTGGCAAAGGCCTTCTCCAGAAAGGTTGGCTCAGTTAAAGGCAGGAATTCAACGGATCGGCGGGGGACATCGGACGTAGTGTGGATTGTATGTGAGCGCGGAATCGTATAGGGCAGACCACACTTGTGCGCCATGTCATTGTGCTTGTGAGCCGGCTTGTGGTGACCATCGCGGAAGATAGTGAGCGTGCTTTCCGACTTGGTCGAAGTCAACTGGGGCTTCTTGGGGGGCTCGGACGGGGCTGCAGGCGGATGCGGAGGCAGACAGGTCTCCGGAACAGTATCTAGGTGGGGTTCCTTCTTCAGCGCGCAGGTACAGCGCTGACCATGAGTGCAGCCACATTTTGGACGGGAGTCCTCTGTAAAATCTTAATCAGAAATACTGAACCAATGCGCCATCGCCAACATGCTCACGCTTGAGATCCCGTTTGTCAACGGCATGGGGATCTGAATCATTTTTGTGGCTATTCTTCTTCTTATCACCACACTCGCACTTTGTGTGGGTTGTCCGTGACTTGCGTAGGCCGCGACAGTGGGCGCATTGAGAGACTGGACGGCCTTTTTTGTTGATGTGGGTCAAGGGGCGGTCTATATTGGTATGTCAGTCACCGTGATCGGCAATGTTCTTTTGTGCAAGGAATGTGTCACTTACCACTATGGTGACAGCTGCTGACTCGGTGACCCCGGACGCAAGCTTCACAAGCCCACTTCTCGCCATCAATGAGCATCGCGGTTTACTGGGTCGAAAACATGCGACGATTCGCGACGAGTGACAATTTGAACTTGAAGAGGTATTGGGCGCGGGTGGTAGGAAAAGAGAGAGCAGGGTCTCTCGAGTCCCACTAGATTTTTTTTCTTTTTGTCTCTTTTTTTTGCGAATTTAAAGCGAGGATATAAAAACCGAACAGGAAGCCCTGTCGGGACGAATCGAAAGAGCCGTCAAGGCGAGATTCGAGGGGTGTGTGTGCGGTCCGTCGAGGCGATCGGACCGACAAAGAACCAAGGGCAACTCCAACAAAGCAAGGGTATCTTCCAACTGAATTTTCCCAATGCACCTGAGCAAATGTCACAGAAACGCCGTTCCACCTGAATAAGGGTCGAGTCGCAACTGAGGGTATAATTTTGTCGAGGTCGAATTGAAGCGAGAGGGAGGTAGGGAGATAGGTAGATGAGCGAAATCGGGGTTATTCTTGGCGGAGTGCAGTGTCGTTCAAACTGTAGCACCCAGGAACCAGGAACCGGAAGAAACCACCGAGAGGAACGCAAAAAATCAATTGAGAAGGGAGGTGAGGAGAAAGGGGGGCCAAAGCCTACGCACCGTTTGGCGCCGGCCGTGAGACAGGACACCAAATACCGGCTGTGGCGGCCAAAATAAAGGGAGAAAAGCGATCGATGATGGGCAGGATTGCGATATAACCCTGTGGGAGAGAAAGAGAGAAGAGAAGAAGAAGAGGAAGGGGAAGGGGAGAGGAGGGGAGGACCGGGATGAAGTACTTTACTCCGTAGTGTTAGTGTTGGGGCCTCCGAGGGGGCACACAGATAGAGAGAGGCAGTGGTGAGTGGACTCGCAGCAGATTGGAACCAGGTATTATTATTTTACAGTTACCGCACCATACGCACAGGTAGGTAAGGTAAGATCAGGTACAAGGCTGCAACAAGAGGCGATGTCGACCACTGACAATATGCTGGAAATTGCGTGGTTGGCTGCTGTGGCCAACCGGATGTATGGTAATTTTGGAAACTGTAACCCACCTTACTGTATTACATAATGAAACACACAAGACTCCAACGAACGGCTGGTCCCGAGGAAATACCACGCTAGGCCCGTTTGGTACGGACTAGCAAAGTACGTCGACTAACACAAAAGGGGAACAAAATTCTATTGCAACACGTTGTCAAGCCTAGTTTAGTCTACATTCCATCATCGTCCAAGACCACGATGTTGACAAGGAGAAGGCAACGATGAAGAATCCTCAGGACGATTCGAGGAATGTATCAGTTCTTGGTGACCATCCTCGCATGTCTAGACATGGTGGGAGCAAGAAAAATTGGAATGCTTCGTGGTCTGGTCCACCAGCCATAATACTTGGAGCGGATGGATCCATGGATGACACTGTGCAGGAGCATCAATCATTTTGCCCTTATGAATGGCATTTTCATCGCACATTTTGTGGTAATAATGTGTGGCCGCTATGAATTGTCTGGTTCATCACTTTCTGGTGAGAAAATCTTGTCCTGCGTCTGACATTATAGTCCTCAACTCCTAATTTTCCCCTCATCCGCCTTGTCAAGTCTCTTCTGGTGATTCAGCACAAGACCATCCCCACGCACTCCGTAAATCGACGTATAATTGCTTTTGCCGGATCTGGATAAGATCATAGTAAATTGAACTTGAACAGGTGTCAACGGCGCATCGTGTGGTACGGGGAATCCCACTGTCGTCAATTGTCATACATCTATAGAATCTAGCTGGGTACAACATGTTCGGGTTTTATGACACCCTCGTATGTAGGTAAAGCCGCATGTAACACTCTATTGTATATTCCAGTGACTTGGAAGGATATACATGGATGTAAGGTTCACAGGTTCCTTTCGAATGTGTAGTGACATCTTGAGATTTTCGACTTAAAAATCTGTTCATTATCGGACACTGCGCAGGCCACAGCCTACGACTGTCCTCGCTCCCATTGTCTCCAGTCCTCCACGTTCTTGGCCTTTTGATTAGTGTCTGACCTGATAGCCTAGTTTACGTGATATATCCATAGGGTTCAGCAAGGGTGGATAATCGAACAAATATGGAGATATTGGAGTCCAGCCAAACTTTGTGTGCTGGTCGATGGATCCCATTACGAAATCCTGGGGCAGCAACCCGCCAGATCTCCAGACTGACCAGGCGCCAGTGTACAGAGAGGATTTTATGGGTTGAAATTTGCAGATAAAATTCAACAAAACACTTCAAAACGTCAGTAATAATATCACCACGGATAGTCCACCGTCATGGAAAAAAGAGCGCCATGGTCGAGCGCAGGAATCTGTTCAATCCTCCAGTCTGTCAAATTACATATCCGACCTTTCGCCCAATAACACAAAGACTTAACCCGTGATTGCCACCCATTTTCTGGAAAACTCATGGTCATCTTCCATGCAGGCGGAACCATCAACCACAACCAACCAATTTCAACGAGTCCGTGGGCTGAGAAACGTGCGGCTGGACATGAATTCGCATTGGGCCATGGTCGACTCATTTCATTGTGCCAGTCTTTCCATTCATCGTCTCCTGCATCTTCATAGTCATATCTACGGAGTACTCAAGGTACCTACGGCGGCCCTATCATGCCTGCCCGGATGTGCATCAGACGCAGGACTACACTATCTACCGTTAATTGTGCGGTGATCTGTGGTACCCTACTTACTTACTCTCCAGGTCTGTACTGCAAGTTATTACTGTAAAATCGAACATGGCCTGCTTTGCTCACCTCCCAGCTGACCGTCCAGCTCGCAGCAAGGTCCGTCTTACCTCCGTAGGGCTGTTCCTACCCATCAACATAAAACTTCCACCCACTCTTATTGGCATGCAGGACTCCCGATCCGATCACCCACAACGCTGGCAAGGATCCCGTCTAATTCTCCTGGTTGGGGTACTACAAACTGCAGGATGGCGTCACAGCTTCTCCTTTGGGGCATTTGCAGCTTCTTGGATGACTATCTAGTACGTAGTAACAAGTTACCTGGATGTCCTCCGTAGTTCTATGCACTCTGGGGCGGCCGGTCATGTGGCGGGGCCCTGATCTGCAAAGCGCTGATGGATTTCTTCTCCGCCAATCATAGCCACCCGGCAAGGGTAAAACCGGGTCTTTCGGCGCTCGTCCTCGTTAACCGGCGAACAGACGGCGGCCAAGTAGTTAGGAGCTGGTACGGAGTACCCATTCTGGTCTTTACAAGGCTTTGTTGGCTGGTGAACGACGTTTGGACTTCAAAGGGGTATGGCATTTGGAATAAATCAGGTACAGTGGTATCTACTACTATGTTCTTCCTAGGTATCGAGAAAATGATATCAGAACCCCGGGCCTGAGCGTCCAAGCGGCTCTATCGATGATCTGCATAAGGGAAGTACGTATATTATCTGTCCACTGAGAAGATTCGATCTTCGATGTCATCCGAAAATGAAAACATCTGTTGAGACTTGCACCTGTGAGACAGATGACTGTGACAGTGGAAACTGAGGAGATTGGGGGACCGAGGAGTCAGGGACGTCTTTTGACAACGCTGAGTGATCCCCAGAAGGCCCACCCAACTCACTCACTATAGCGTACAGTCGCACTATGCTAACCTAAGTGTTAACCAGTTGACCCGTTCATGGACGAGAGGGAAAATATCTTCTTACTCAGCCTGATACGTCACAGGATTTCTTGGCCGGCAGATATTGATGACATTGCAGCAACCTAGGATACTACGCCTTGTTTGGATCATGCTAAACTGTTCTGATGCCAACATTTCTCGATTCAATTCCTTTTGAAATGGCCAGCGTGTCTTCGTCATCGTTGAAGTGATTGAAATGATAGCGAGCCTTGCGGCCCGCTAAGTGCGGCCTATTGAGCGCCGGTTTCGCTCCATCGACGAACCATGCTCGCCGTGGAGGATGGACGTGGAGAAGTGTGTGAAACGGTGTCTACTAGCCCATAACTACAGTAGTAGCTGTGTTTGATCACGAAAGTCTCGGATTAGACTGAAACCTTCTTGTTGCCATGACGGAAGGTTACCGAGCCCTGGAGAATGACAAGAAGACACCTGGTTGTAGTATATGGTGAAGGGATAGTTACACTGAAGACGCCTGGATATGACTGTGAGAGACTGATATGCACCTTTCTACAGACTGCAATGAGTCTACAAAGATATTGACAAAGGGTTCGCCACATACCAGCAACGTTAACCATCACCCTCAATGCTAATCTGCCGAGTTCACAAAGAAAAAGACAGCTTCACCGTAGACGCCGCTTGAGTAAGGTATCAACGAGTCCTGCATTATACATCAAGCCATAGCACTGTCACTAAAGCTTCTGGCAGAGATTTTCATGTTGTTTGGCAAATCCGCCTATACGCTGAGCAAGCTTCGAACTATCTGCAGAATCTCATGAGCTGTAAGGCGCTGTTCGCTGGCACGAAATACTCTGCAACATCTGATCGAGGCATTTCAGGTCCAGTTGGTAGGGTTAATCTCTCTCGTACCTCGTTCTCCATGGGGTAGAGGCGTGGAGAGAGCTCTGGATGATCGACCAGATCGAAAAGACACATTGGCCAAAGCCAATGTTGGTGTCGGCGAGAGAATTTGCTGAGACAACAATTTCTCTCTGCACAAAGAAAGGATAGAATCTTATGCTAAGAATGTAAGAAGAAGGCCACAGAATAAGCTGTGAGCATTACTTTTATATTGTTCTGCGTTGTGGTGACTCGGTCATCTGAACAAGGGGCGAGCAGTGTGTTTGCACGACAATCGCCTCATATATCAAGATAGACGCCATCAGATTTGAGCAGCGCTGGAGGGATTCCTAAGGCTCCGGAGCCACACCTTTTCCACAAAGATGCCATTTCCCACTCGTAGAATCATCTCCATTTCGTCTTCGTCCACTCGAGATGTTGATTTAGTAGAGTCTGGGCCGGTGGGAAATAGTATTAATCCGCTCGCTGGACGCAGAAACAAAAAGCCGGACCCCCGCGTTGGCGCGATCATCCCGAAGGTATGAAACTATATCATCAATCCCACATGCGATCTCAAGCCCAATTTGTTCCTGTCTTTCGCAACTTTGTCGCGCAATCATGCCTTGCTGTGCCTTGCTCACAGCGCCGAGGGCACACGGCGCTAGCCCCTTCAAAATGCCTCTCCGCCCAGGCAGTTTTAGCCTGTAAAACCTTGCCTGCTGTCACTCGCGTCCTTCCGTCCTCCAACTACCTCCTTCCGTCATCACCCCGGAGCCTCGCTCCACCATCAATACCCACCTTTTACGCGTGAATCTTTACCTCTGACACGCAATGAACTCCCGCGAGCATTCTGATATGCCTCCGGCTACATCCTACCCCTCTCCCAACGCGGCGCAGATGGCACAGGGCACCATGCCGTACTACGGGAATCGCCAGTTGACCGCCGACGAACTCTTATCCGCCGAGCTCTCCCGCGAGACTTCCGGACAAGGCCTGGCAGACGGTTCGAGTAACGGCGTGCATCACGGCCAATCGATGGTTCTGGGCTCGTCGAATCCCGGTGGCACTGATATGGGACGCCCTTCATCGCCGGACCAACATCAACAACATATGCTACAGTTCACTCCCAGTCAGCAGGTGGGCGTCGATCCGAATCATGATCTGAGTTATGGGGATCAGAGCGCTAGAAGGAAGAGGTCGAAGATTTCTCGGGCCTGCGATGAGTGTAGGCGCAAGAAGGTAGGGATCCTATACCTGCTTTGTTTTTTTGCGCGCGACGCCACGGTATCGTTCAAAGGACTTACATGATGATTCACTAGGTCCGCTGCGACGCAAGCTCTGAATCCGGTGTCGAGACCTGCTCGAATTGTCGTCGACTTGGCGTCGCGTGTCAATTCAGTCGTGTGCCCATGAAACGCGGTCCTAGCAAAGGGTGAGAAGCGCCATTCGCTACTCAGAGTGTTGGAACCAAGTTGCTGACATGCGTCATCAGTTATATCAAAGAACTTGCGGAGCGTCTACACACTCTCGAAAGTCAGATGCAGCCTGCTATGGTGCACCCGGACATGCCGTACCAGGCCATGAATGAGGTGTCGCCTCCCCGACCCTACCAGGATTTCTCCCCACCAATGGATGCCGGCCCTATTGGTCGGAAGAGGACGTATTCTGTGTTCGAAGGACTACCGAGTGGACTACCCAGCACATCTTATTCTCAGCCTCAATTCAATCCCAGGGGTTCGCAGAATGTATTCGGTTCGTCTCCTTTACCTTCGTAAGTTGATGTCACCTGACTGACTTTGACAGACGCTGGCGAGACATCGACAGATCCAATGAACCCGTCGGTCATGGGCAATACCGCACCCAAACCGGGAAATCTGTTTTGGTCCCCTGGAAACGAGCATGAGCTTTCACATGGCCTTGACATACCTGATGTGTCTAAGCACGGAATCGAAGAGGACATGACTCCTTTGGATGTCGATGAAGGTGCTCTCAATGCGTATGTTTCTTTCAGAACGTCCTATCCTTTTGCAGTATGATAGCTGACTGAGGCAGTTACTATGCTAAAATCCACACCATCTTCCCCATCCTGCCGCATTCGAAGGACCGTCTACTAGAAATTCTTCATCAATGCAGCCGCGAGGTCCAGGAGGTGTTCCTGTATGGTTTGTACACTGTGACGCGCACGAACCTGGACCGTGTGCTAAGCACCTTTGAGAGAGTGACCTCGTTTGATAATGCGCAGGATCTTCTCTTATATTACACTCGGCAGCCGGCCTTGGTTCGTCCAACTGCCGTCAATTTGGTTTGGCTTCAGACTACGCTGCTCATGATACTGGACTGTGACTCGCGTGGTCCCGAGAACCTTGTCCTTAAAGATGCGGTGCCTAAACATTCTTTGATCCAGTCCGCCACCAAACTCGGTTCTGATATGGCGAAGAGTCTCGGTCAACTGAAGGCTAAACGGACCTCAGATGCCGACGTTGATTCAGATGCAAACCTAGTGAGGCGCAGCTGGGTATCTCTAGCTATATTGACCCGGTGGTATGCCATTAGTGTAGCCGATCCGAGCGTCTTGGTGAACCAGGAGATAGGTGGTCGGGAAGATGAACGCGTTCTTGGATCCGTCCCAACAGGAATTGGTTGTATGTTTGACTTTCGTCTTGTAATAACTGTGCATGTCTGCTAACACCAATTGTGCTTAGCTTACTCTTCGTTCCTGGTCGAAATGACCACTCTTGCCGCCCTCGAGCACAATGTCTGCCAGACGAATACTGGACTGGGTCGCATGGTCGGTGCGAATTTGGTTGCTTCTCTTGAACGTCTGGGGGAAGTTGAGGACCTCCGGAAGCCCAATGATGTAGCCGAAGAAGCACCATCGTACGGGTTCCCCGAAAGCCTGCAAAACCAACTCTACTGGACTGTCCGGCTGCTCATCAAACGGCATATCTTTGTTTACAGCCCTTATGAAATCATCTATTGCGCGGTTGAGGTCATCAATGAGTTGCATAAAGCGACTATGGAGTCGCGCCCTACGACGCCTTTTGATCTCCACAGCCTCGCATTAGCCTCCATGACCCTGCTCGAAGCCACCGTTCTACCGGAATATGCAAACGAGTGCTGGGACACACTTAGAAAGGTTGAAGAGATCCTCGACCACCGCGCGAAGGCGTCCGCCGAAGCTACAGAGTTCGAAAATATCTACGCCACACCTGGCTGGGACTCGAAGATTCGCATATTCATAGACTGGAGACGTTCGCGAGCTCAGGAACCCCAGCATCCGGATGTTGGTGTGAACAAAACTAGCTCTACAGTGCCCCCAGTCATGGGTCCGAACGAGCAGCGCTCCCTTCAACATCTGGCCGATCTCGCCGTCGGCGCCGAGGGCTCTGTGGCTGCCAACGCGTCTTCGCCGCCACCCATGGCCTCGACCGAGAACAACGTCAACACGACATCGCCCCATCTGGCGTCTGCGCACCAGACAAGCCGCATGGTTGTCGACTTCACTCTTCTCACAAAGGAGGGTTATCTCAATGTTTTTTCGGGGCTGGTGTACCGTCGATCTCGCTGAGGTCGGAAGACGTCCTCGGCAATGCCACTTGTATTGACTATTATCGATCGGCTTTTTTTTTCTCTAATCTCATCTCATATACTGTATCTGCGTACGCTTAGCCTGATCTATACCTTGTCTGCGTGAAAAAAAAGCTTCATCGCTGTTTCAGTTTGCTACTGCTGTTCTTTGTTCGACTCACTACACTTTGTACTTTTATTATCGAATAGTTAGATTGGATAACTTCGCTCAGAACAAAAGTTGTCTTTTTACACACGTGCCCATGGCTAGGATGACGGTATAACAAATGTTTCTCTGATAAGGTGATACATGTCTGATTATCTCACATGTCATATAATAGGATAGTCTCAACATCCTTGTCTTCAATCTCTAGCCTCCGCATGTAAGAATAGGTATATAATGAGGAGCAGATGGAGTCAATCACGATGAACGAAGAGAACCTGACATCAACTCCCAAACGCAATCCGCCTCCATATACCCTCTACATCCTGACAAAGTTTAATAAACCCATCATTCTCGATATTTTGACAGATCCAGTTCTCCAGTCGTGCCGTGCGCTCGTGTGTAGGCGCAGAAAGATACGAGGAGAGGTCGGCCGGGGTAGGGTCGTGTTGTTGGCCGCGCTGGTGCACTGTATTATCATTGCTTTCAAACATGGGTTGCTGTCCGTGTATGCGGACTGTGGGGTGTTGTTGCTCCGTGCTCAGTTGCTGAGCCCCGGGTATGGTGGCGGGTAGCGCGAGGGAGCTTATAGACTGGATGGGTTGAGTAGGCGGCTCCTCAATCAGGGTCAGCGGTGGGATGGAAGTGGTTGAACGATGCAGCGGACCCGGTGTCGTATTCTGAGCGGCTTTTCTCCTTGGAGTTGGCTTTTTTGGGGCCCGACTCGAGGGTGGTGGTGCTGCGGCGTCGCTTTCGGTGTTTGTAGGGATCTGGTCACCTGCGCCGTGCGTTTGAGACGTGGTGGAGGGTTCCTTTGCTGTTGTGCGGGATCTTTTCGCTGGCGGCTTTGAGAAGGGTAACTCCCTTTTTGGCGGGAGGAGTTGGTTCAGCGTCCTGATGTCGTGGCGGGCTGCTGTGGTGGACGGCTTGGGAGTAGCACTTGGGGCGTCGGCTGTAGTCTCCTCCTCGATGTGTAGTTGTATGGTTCCTTGGGGTTGTCTAGCTTCCAGTTCGGTATAAGTGGTGGTCGATCTTGTTTTATTTGGATCTGGAGCTGTTGTTGGAGCCGTACCAGCCGAAGATGGAGGCAATGAAGATGCTGATAGAGAACTTGTGTTAGCAAGAGTTTGTTAAGTCGTGTGGCGTGAGTTGCAAGGCTACCGGCCGTGATGCTAGATGCACTTCCTGATGCAGAAGCGGATGATACTACTGGGAACACGGCTGCGCTCGCGCTGGAGGTGAAGGGTTCTCTAATGCCTAGGTTAGACGGTACTGAGCCGGAATGCCATTGTGATGATGTCGGTCTTCGAGCGAGCTGCGACGAGCCAACATTCGACTCTGAGAATGGACACCTGATATCGCTCAGAATTGCCAGAGCTGTATAGAACTCGCGATCCGAGGAGAACTTTAGCTGAAACCGGCGGATCTTGACTGCAGTGAGAGGAGATCCCATACGGTGAGGGGCGTGTAACTTACGAATCCGTTGCCTGTTGGATATTTCACCGCGAGACAAGGCAACTTGACGACCACGGCGAAGATGGGCCTGGGATGGCTGCTTTGTCCTGATATGTGATGACTAGAACATTCTCGGATGAAGTGCCCAAGATCAACTTCTTCCTGCAATTGTTAAGTCATTGTACGGGTTCATTAGTGCTAGCCTCTCAACGGACTTTCAAGGTTGGGGCCAATACCAGGATATTCTGATCCTGAAGCACTTTCAGAAAGATTGGGCTTTGAGCCGAGGTTTGAGTTGACGATATACTCCCTGACACCTTGTAGAAACAACATGCAATGTCTCCATTGCCGAAAATATGGCTCCAGTTCAACGGACCATTATGATGAGTGGCGGTTGTGGTATGAGAGAACTTTGCTAGGGACAACCGAGCCAGCTGGGTAGATTCATGAATTCTTTGAGATAAATGATACATTAGAATGTTCTTCGTCTCAAACTTAGGAGTAGAGGGATAATGCGGATCCGGTCTAGTTATACTGGGTCGCAGGTCAAATGTTCTACGATAGAAGAACAGCAGAGTGTGCAGTGCGTGGTATGTGACTTGCTAGGGAGTCAACTAGATGGCCTCAGGCAGTCATACCCAAATTCTTCTCATCGGTGCTGATTCTATGATTATCGCATGCTTGAGTCTTCCTGTCCATTTCTGACATTTAATATTCCTTTGTTTCGATGTGGACAATCCATGATCTCATCAGTTGGCACATTACAAAAGAGCGCCAGAGTGATGAGGGAATGTATTCAAGCAGTCACAGCATGAATGCTGGCAGTCGCAATCTGAGTTCCCATCTCGATATTGAAGTTGAGGTTCGAACGGCTCCAAGTACGGAAAGAGTCTCATGCCTGAGGCACCAACAACCCTTCCTCAATCCTCATCCAAACATAACAAACATAACAAACATAACAAACATAACAAACATAACAAACATAACAAACATGACATGCCAACCCCAAGCGGAACAACAGATATTCCGGACACGCGCCTGAGGCCACAGCGATGCGCGGACTTTTTGCCTGGGATGCCAGGACCGGGGATCGCAGGATCAACTTGCTCTACAGAGCCTGAAGGACCGCAATCAAGACATTGATGCTTGATTTGGGTTTGCCCTTGTCGCGAATTAATTTCTCTACTGCAGAAAGAAAATCGCATTTCCTTCCTTCAGATCTGTCCTTTCGAAGCTTCGTTGTTTTCACAACTGTAGTCGCATTCATCGATTGGCCTCTGATAGCTCTAAATCGCGGCCGATCTCCCTTCGCGGGGTGACAGTCAATCAAGATTCGCAAAACATTTCACCTGGTCTGTGAAAGCAATCAGCCTGTATTCGTATCGCTCGTTCAACCTGCCTCATCTCATCCTCTCCTTTTCGAACACGCCTGAACGAGTAACTCGACTCCCTCAGCAAAATCTACGCCCGCGCGTCTCAAAACAGGACTCTTCTTCCAACGAAGCGAAACTGGTCTCATCGCGTTATAAGGACATATTCTGGAGTTAATTCAGCGTGGTCAAGTCCAGCCAACGCGGCTTAGTTCGTCCTAGTAGCGAAGGGAGCGATTCCAGGAAGCATTGGAATCAGGACTCACCTCAAGATGTCTAACAATACACCGCGCTCGTCCTTACGAGGCAAGTTTCTCATCCCTTGAAAGATGGTTTCCCGACTTAGATTGGCTGACTGACTTAAAGAGGGCTTGCGTCAAGCTCCAAAAGCCAATCAACCTTTCATCCCAGACACTGCACCCGTTAGACGCTCACACGTCAATGCGCACCACTCACCGCAGCCAGCCGCAGCACATACACATTCCACCACATCAATGCTGTCGAATACTCCACAAGGCGTGCCCGAGAATTGGGAAGGGAGGGACCAAAGACAAATTCCAATGTCCACGCGGGAGGTTGCAACGCCCGGGAACAGACCTGGCCTTTTTGCGACCCTGCACGATCGAGGGAAGGTGGCTAAGCAACCAGATTTCTATGATCCTTACTTTCCCCTCAAATATCTCGAGGTACCCAAATGTACGTGAACTGTGCCGTCAAATTACTACCGCCTGCTTGTTGAGAGCTATTACTGACATTGCCATGCAGCCGACCATATTTATAAAAGAGCCCACTACGGCTTACAATCGGGAATTCCCGATGAGGTGGACTTTGCATTATACCACCTTGTTCAGATTTCGAATCAGCGATGGGATAAATTCAAGTTTGAAGGGTTCCCTTTGCTTGCAGAAAACCTCATGGAAAAGGCCCTGGATATTTCCCTGGTCACAACTGGAGTGAAGTGGGAGCTTCAGTATGATTTTCGGCAACCCACGGATCGCGTCAACGTGTTGAACTCACTACATGGTACACGAGATCTCTTGGAGAGGATCAAACAAATACCAGTTACGTTGCCGGAAGACACCCTCGAGACGTACGAATTCAATCACCGCCTCCGCAATATTAAAGAGGCAACCTTGGTCCTGCGGAACATGGTGCTTCTGAAAGAGAATGCTTACTATGTGTCACGATACGCGAAAGGCCTGCTCCGGGATTTTCTCGTCATTATGATCAACATGCCCGATCAGCCTCGTCTCAACGAGATCAAGAACGACGCTTTGGACATTGCAGAGGAGGTCACCAAGTTTATGAAGACCGATCCCGAGGATCCACTTTGGATCTCACTTCTCAATTGTCTTGAGTCTCCAGATCGCGCTCACGTGGTCCGCGCACTATGGGCTCTCACTCATTTCTCCACTGAATTAGACGAGCCAGAGGCGAACCGGGCAATGGACCGGATACCAAAGGAGACTTTGCAGCAGCTCTACTTTCACACTCTTCTCGACTTGGACAAAGATGTTCTGAGTGGTGCACTGGACTTCTGGTACCAGTATACACTTTCATCCGAGAACGTTGAGACTTTGATTGAGGTCTTCAACTTGCCTACCATCTTCGTCCCCCGTATGGTCGCATTGCTAACGCACGAAGGCCGACCAAGCAAGAAGGAAACTGTGTTGCAAGAAGAAAAGGTTGCTCCCCCGCCGTCGGATATCCCTCGTGTGCCGCCTGAGCTCATGAAAGACCTGATGGAGCTTTCGGAGCCTGAACGCAGCTCGCGTTGGCTCCGGTGCTGCTTTGTTGAGGACCCCGAGTGTGAGATTACCCAAATCGCATTGTGGCAGGCGTACCAGAGCAGATTTGCAGACCCTCGTCTTCCTGGTGGCGGTGTTCTTCCTGCGGCCGAATTTATCAAAAATGTCAGTACCACTTTCACGAACGCGCAGGCTCAAGTGATCAATGGTCCTGGTGCAGCGACAAAATTCATCATCAAAGGCATTCGGCCCTTGGAGACCGCCTATACCTTCCAGGGCTTTCCCTATATTTACTGCAAATGGGCGGACAATTCGAAACCAACCAAGACTTGTCATCGCGCTTTCAAGTCCCCGGCAGAACTTCGCCATCATGTCTTCACGGAACACATGAACCTCAAGCCTACTGAAACACCGGGCCACTACAACCTGGAGAAAGCCGAGTCGCCCGTTCATACCTGTCTTTGGGACAACTGCACGAAATTCCGGTCTTCTGGCCCGAGTGCAAATACTGCAATGGTCGCCGGGCACGTTTCCGCACATTTGCCCGAGGAACGTGCCCCGGATGCGGAGCCACCGACATCCAAACGGGCGGTGCTCCAAGAGCGCATCGTCCGCAAATGGTACTACCTGGACACTCCAGTCAATGAGCGGGGCGAGCCGTTCGGAATCGCTTATAAGGCTGCGTTAGTATTGCGCAACCTTGCACGAAACCTACCTACGGGCATTTCACCACAGTATAATGGGCTTTCGTGGAAGAAAGCCGTCTTCCTCAGCCATCGTCCGAAGATCGTCGAAGCATGGGACCGTAACCGCTCATTGCGTAAGGAACTTACCGAGTTGATCATGGTAATAGAAAAAGAGGATTATTACTGAAGTCTGGGCGAGAAGAACGAAATGAATGATGGATTATCCTTCCCCTCAAATGACGGCCGTTCAGTTCGTTTTCCTTCAAACTCCCTAATCCCCCCGTCCTTACTCTTCTGCATGGCTATTGATGTACAAATAATACCCTTTTTCTTCGCATTATTTCTTTCGATAATCCTGACGTGTGTGAAATTACTGCCTCTTCTTTCTTTTTCATTCTGAGGATCACCTCACCTCAATCAAAACCGTGGTTGTTTTGCTCCTACCGTTCGGTCTTCGACCTTGGTGAGGGTCCTGAGAGAACCACAAGGCGTCTGGGTTTCGGGGTAGGGATCTACTGGGTGATGCACGGTTTCCTTGAACGATGTACTATAGGTAGATCGCGCCAGAAAGTTTGATTCTGATTTGCTAGGTGGTTCAATGATTTCGAGTCACTTATCAAATTTATCCGAGGGTTGGAGCTCTCATCATTTTCATCCCATGAAGCCGCTTCTGGGTATCAGCGAGAAATCGACGGTGTCATGTAGATCTCCGATGAAGTTTTCGTAGTGCAACCATGACGCCTCACGGGTACTCTCCAACATTGGATCACCGTACTCCATTGCATCCCAAACGTTGGGCCACGGGCTGATTCCGGCAACTGTCTCGGGTAAGGAGGAGGCAACTACATCCGTACTGAGAGAACCGGTGTGGCCTAAGACCGGGGCAACAGCTGGCAGGGCATCGAGTGGCGGTAGAGCAGGGGACGGTAATGTGACCGACGCAGGCACAGAGCTAGGATGATCAGGCCTGGACTGGGTATCTACCAGCTCGTTCCTCCTGGCTTGAGCGCGGGCCATGATTTTCTCAATGGGTTTCCAGAGCAATTCCTTCCTGGAGTCTGCGACGAGGTCACGCAGACGCTGAAAGGCCTGCTCAACGGGCGGCCAGTACTTCTCCATCACCACTTGATCCTCGCAGACGCAGAGCTCGGCGATGGCGACGGCGAGTCCGTGCCAGGGAACGAAGAAATGCTCGATCCAGCGCCAGGGGGCGGACCTGGGGTCGTTGACGAGCTGTTGTGATTTTGTTAGGACGGTCACAGCGAGCTTGAGGAGACCGTCTCCTCGAATGCGGGGTGGGATGAAGCTTGTGTTTCGTTGAAGGGGGCGCAAAGAGACTAATTGTAAGGAGGCATTGGTGCATTCTTCAACTTGTCTGGCGACCCAGTGGAAGGGAATCTTATCTGGTCGGGAGTTTCGGAGGAGTTTCGTCGCTGTTTGTTGGAAATCGACGACGACCTGTTGGCGGATGTTCATGGACTTGACTGCGGGCTCGGTGAAGTCAGAGAAGCTGAGTGACCGTGCCACAGATTGTGCTTTGAGGATCATGATGGTAAAGGTTGTGTCGGTAAAGTCCTCGGATTCCTTGATCGGATAGTCCATGTCCAATGCGATGTCGCTGTCGTTGACATTGGAAAGTGGGTGCGAATCAAACCAGCTTGCTTGCATGATCGGTTCAGAGGCACGGTCCATGGCGGTTTCTACGTCGAGAAAGCCAATGCCATGCCACAAACGTCTTCGCATTTCTCTCTCAAATGGGCGGATGGGGAACGGTGGTTCAGGCAAATGGAGTGACAGTGCTTGGGCAACGCGAACGGCCAGACCCAGAAGAGTCCATACCCGTCGACTCTGGTCTCGAGATCGAGACGACATCTGATCCCTGAATTAGCAGATAGTTTCGCGGTCAGATGTGGTTTCTGCTAGACCCATACCAAGGAAAGAACAAAGGCTTGCAGGACAGTCAGGTCATTGGTCATGACATAGTCGACCTTTGCCAGAGCTGAATCTAGCTCCGCACGAAGCCTCGCAACAAGTGGTTCCTTTCTGACTGTTAAAATCTGCATGCATTCTTGCTCACTCAGCGCGCAGGCAGCAGCATAATAGACGGCGAAGGCGAGCGCTTCGGGTGCTGGGTGCCCCGATTCATAGTCTAGATAGGGTTTGTTCCCCAGCAGAAAGGTGCTCAGCGAAGGACGATGGAGGATCTTGAAGAAAGGATCAACCCGCTGGAAATATAAATGAAACAGAGTCTGTTGGATAGAACCTGAGCCCCTGGGCGGGTCTTGACCAGGCAATGGAAAACTGGAAGTAATGTCATGACTATCGAGCCCAACATCGAGCTGGCGACTATCGCCATTCTCAGGTGGAAGACGTCGGACATTGTTCAGATTACTGGCTAAAGTCCCATCTGTATCGCCTGTCTACCCAGTCGGTTATTTATTGCCCATAGCTCATGTTGGGTACGCCAAGTTGTTGACCTGATAACTTACTTGATTCATAACATTAGCCCAAAAGGGACTTGCGGAGAATGGAAGAGGCCTCGACGGCTTCCTATAGGCATCCACCACCGCGGTATTCTTCTCCAAGTGATCTGCGGGAGGAGCCCAAACGCGCGGAGATTCTGCCCGATTGAGGACTACAGAGTCAGAAGAGATGGAAGCAGACGAGGATACTCTTTCGGCGACACCGCGATCATGCTTCTCGGTCAAATCTAGAACCAGTTGCTCCAGTCGAGATATTCGCTTCGTCAAGTTATGTTCAGATTCGACTTCAGGAGAATGCTCGCATGCTCGCTTCCCAGACCGACCCCGTGGTAGACGTGCCCGTTCTACAGGGACGCATGCAATACCGGAGCGGCAGCAGTTGGAGCAGGGGACACGCTTATCACACTTTTTCTTGCGGTGATGACATGATTCGCAACTCAAACGAGCCTTGTGCTTGGACGAGCCGGATTGAGATTGAGAAGGACCTGCATCCGTATGAATCCGTCTGTGACGATCTGCCATCATCGCCAACGGATGGCTCTCATCAACAGGTCAGTTTCTTTACTGGGCTTATCAATTGCGATCATCACATCTGCTCGTGAAGACACCCCGCACTATGCTATTGATGAATACTCATCCTATAGTAAAGCCACAAGGTCTCTGCTCTGTGGATTATCTCCGTCATTGTCTGAGGCATCGGGTGCTTGGCGAAAACCTAGGCATCACTGCTGCCTGAGGCACAAACTGCTTGCCTAAGCTTCGTTGCCTGATTTCTTGGACATATCCTGCGGCACGAACTTCATTGTCGTATTCGGACAGAAACCGAGAGCGGACGTATCTTTCTGATAAAAACATAACCTGAGATACTCATGCAAACAACTGGCCCGGTTTGAGAGGTCGGAAGTTATGTCGATCGGGGTATATGGAGCATAGTTCGCTCCCATGATGGCCCAAGCATGAAGCAACATGGGCTAAATTCGCCGATATAGCCTGATGTAGGGATCGGCGTGGCTGTTGTCGTGTTATGTGCCCCCTTTTCATGATGCGACGCTCATTCGGAATTCAATGATAATCAGATGGAGAGAAGAGCAAATTAATCAATAGTCTTTGAAGTAAATGGTGCTACTGATGCCTCAGGTATTCTTTTCGCTTGCCCAAAAGAGTGTCTCAACCTATTTCTCGAATGGGTAAGCGCAACATCTCGTGACCTGCTGAGACTGTGGGAGTCCCCCTAATCTCCATTCAGAGCTGTTTAGGTTCTCTCTTGTGCTCATGTTCTCTTCAAAGTCGACGCCAGTCATCTAATAGTTGTCACTTTTTTCAGACTTATTCTACAAGAACAACGCCATTCTCTTACATACTATCCTTCGACAGTCAACAGTTCGTCCCCAGCGCAACTCAAAACGTGCATAGTCGTGGAGTCGTGGACCCGCCATGGAGGCGTCAAAGCTAGGCCTGACAAGTGCTTCCTTTTTGCGTTAACCTCCTCCGAGCTAAAGCCTAAAGACTAAAGATCAAGGGCTTAAGACGCCACTCGCCAAATCGCCAGACTGAATGGTGGATCGGTGGATACAGGCTAGTACTATCTCATTCTCACGCTATTGATTGCAGTTGGCGGCAGAAAATTTGCCCCTCTCAAATGAGTACCTTAGCAATGGTGCCTGACAAGTTCAAGGCGGTCATCATCAGAGTTATCGAGAATTCGAATACACTGCAGTTTCCTCATGGTTGCACTATTGATTGCGCCATTGCATCCCAGGAAGTCATGCCTGGACTAGCCCCTGGCCACAAGCAACAGGCTTGGCTATACGGAGTTGCATGACGAAGATGGAATAGCTTGAACCAGGGAATTGGACACGCTAGACAAGTCGTGCATATGATCGGCATGATCGCGCAAAAATTCAAGTCATTGCGCCGGGACACCACCACTTGGGACTTGTGTCCCAGACGAATGTAAGGATTGCACCGAGCTTTTGTCCTGAAGATGAACTAGAAGTTGATGGAAGAGAGAGAATGCTCACATCAAGAATTGGCCATCTATTTGTCTTGTTCCGGACGTTCGATTGTTTGACAGACGGGTCGAAGGTGACATGAGGAGTCCTGCGTACCCAGAAGCCAAGCTATTGGCTCGCTAAACTGACTGTCATGCCGATTGAGCCGTGGTTCACCACAGACCAACCCCAATGTCACCGTCACTGACATTTGATAAACTTGGCGGCTGTTTTCCTTCGATGGTGGGGGTGTCTCCTGGATTTTCTTCGAAGCAGGCCATGCATGGCCCATGGAAGCATGAGACTTCAGTGCTTCACAAAGTCAACGTCAAACTATTGAGATATAGATACTCCGGGAGTCCCGGCGTTATAATAACGCCTTTATCCGGAAATGGTTACCGCACTGTGTAAGTTTGATAAAGATGGTCCCTGGAACATACGGATACATGCCGTGTATGATCCTGTGGGTTCACTTTCCGTTCTGAACCATGTTTCTACCCTCCTGGAGTCCTGGCAACCTCTTAATTCAAAAGAGGCAAGGAACAGTCCGCACATTCCACCAGCACTAATTTAGCACTGATGATCTGGTGCCATCATTCCTTCTTTGGCCTGCGTAATCCCCGATTTGGGAACGGCAAGTCTGGGTTGCTGTACCATCCGACTCGAATGAACTAACTATACTTTCCAGGCGCCAGTGTCCTAACTCTTAAGAGGCCGAGCCTGACTTCACGGACGTTCCGGAGACCTGGAAACCTAAAACGCCAAGTAGCAACTGCAGTATCGAGTCCTCTATGAACCAATGACTGAAAGACGATTTGCCGATCCTTGTTCCAAGTCTACACGTGGATTTCAGACTCCATCCTAAGGCGTCCGGTCCCTGGCACAAATGCTCAACACTAACAGACACCCCGTACTATTAGATAATTCCCATGAGACTACGGCTTAACTGTCTACTTGCAGGCCGAGAGCATCAGATGATGTACATGAAGCTATGAACCTTAAGACGCTAGCCAATGGAGCCCTGGAGGATATTCCTGAATCCTGTAACTGAGGTCTGAGCGTCAGTAGTCCAATCCGCATTTCGCCACGGTTCATGATATGATTGATTACTGGTGGGCGCTGAACTAGTACATAGTGCTTTCAATCTCCATCCGCTTCTATTCGACTCTAGCGATATCAGACTTTAAAAGCCCCATATTTCAGTTCTCAGGTGCGGCCTGGCATTTTTTTGATAATAACGGGCTTTCGTCCTGTGAACGCTCTCTTACATCGACTCTCAATCTTCCTAATCTGTGTTCACTCCTTCGCAATGCATCGCATCAAGAACAATTGATATTGGAGCCTCTCCAACCATTGAGCACCACTACTAGCTGCTCTGGAATCACTCGTTAACATTACCTCACAATCCTTACTCCTGCTACCTGCACGACAATCTCTATCAACTCTATCTTCGATCCTTTTTCCCTTCGTTCTTCCTTGCCCCCAGTGCGAAAATGACATTCGGAACAGCTCGTGGCCGGGAGGCCCTCTCTCTCAGCATTGCATTTACGACCCTAGCCACCACTTTCACGATTATCCGAATTTACACACGGACATTCCTTGTGAAGCAGATGGGCGCCGATGACTGGGCTATTCTTGTGGCTCTTGTAAGCTTTTCCCATATTTTCCATGGCCATGGACGGATTTTTGACTAAAACCTCGCAGGCCTTTAGTTGGGCCTTTTTCGGTCTGTTTGTTGGAGGTATGCATATGCCCTTTCTGAAGTCATGGATGGTTGTGCTTGTTTCCATTTGGTTCTGACGGTGGACAATTAGAGGTCAAGTATCTCATGGGAGAGCACTATTTGAAAATCCCCTCAGACATTTATATCAAACAAATGAAGGTACGAAGTGCCTGTGGTCCTGTCGCCTTGATGTCCGGCTGATGTGTATCTTCAATCAGTGTTTCTGGGCATCGGTACCTATCTATCAAGCAAGCCTGCTTACTACCAAAGCCTCGATTCTTCTACAATACAAGCGGGTTTTCTCGACACCGCGCATGCGTTTCGCCTGTTGGTGCTTGATTGGATTTTTGGCCGTCTACGGAACATGGACATTCATCAGTGCCTGGCTCAATTGCATACCTGTGTCCAAGTTTTGGTTTCCTGACATGGACGGGTATTGTCTTGACAAGAAGGCCCTTTGGTTCTCCAACTCAGCAATCCACATTTTCACGGATATTTTGATCTTGATATTCCCCATGCCAGTGCTCAAAAACCTGCAACTCCCCAGACGACAAAGGTTCGCCCTCATGGGCGTCTTCGCTCTGGGTGCATTGTGAGTTTCAATCATACAAGAGGCCTCCAGACTTGGATCGCTGACAGTCCACGAACAAGTGTCCTGATAACGAGCATTCTCCGACTGAACAGCCTCTTGGTCATTTCCAACTCGTCTGATCCAACTTGTGCGTTGTTCACGTCGACATAAAGCCGTCTACCCAAGATTCACACTGACTCTCAACTCGCAGACGACAACCCAGGCGCCGCCATGTGGTCCGCCATCGAATGCAACGTCGCCATCATCTGCGCCTGCCTCCCCGGCATCCGCGCCTTCATCTCCAAGCTCCTCCCGCGCTTCCTCTCCAGCTACAAGAGCAAAAGCAACACCCACACCAAGACCACGCGCAGCCGCATCACCCACTACTCCAATTTCCAGGCTTCCGTCGCCGGCCACCAGCCCGGTTTCCACCTGCAGTCGATCACCCACGGCGCGGAGGGCGGTGACGACAAGGCAAGCGGCTTCGAGGAAGGCACTTCGAACAAGATCAAAGTGACCACCATTGTGTCGCAGGAATCCGTGTCGAATACGCAGGAGGATTCCTCGAGTGTGCGGCAGCTATTATAGTGATTTTCTTTCTTGGATGAGATCTCTCTGCTATGTATGATTTCTAGATCTTGTTGAGGGGTCTAGATTAAGTGATGATGCTAATGATTTATCAATACTAATTCAATTCTCATGCTGCTTGGCCTTGTCTGCCATTGCTGTCATTACATGCTATCATAATACTACTTATCCTGAGTAATTTTCTGATAAATTTGGATGGGTCTTAGGCAAATAACTCGTAATCAGTCGATTTTGGAGGTTGAGCTGTGAGTACCATAGGTATCTTTATAGTATATAATTTTGCATGATCCAACGCCAACCTAGGCGAGCTGGGCCGGCCAAACTGGAAGGCTAAAGACAGTCAGGAGCAGACTAAGCAGATTGGAACGCGGCAAGCGTGCCGAGCCGCGATCTATGCCTAAAGTTCCAAAAATCTATTGACCACCTGTGGGGTAGAAACCGCCCTTTTACCATCTAATCGAGCACTGAAGCGGCAGTTTGCCGTACGTAGCAGGAGCAAATCCACGGAACTCTCGAAGCATGCATCAGATACCTGGCAGACCTCCAGGAAAAACCTCACTTACTTCGTTCAATCCTTCCACAAGGCGGCTGAGACACCGAGGCCAGGTGCTAGAAGAGAAGGTGAAGCGATTCGACGTCCACGCGAAAGGCGCGGTGGAAGATCGCATCTGCGAACTTCGGTTGACAGGAAGTGTGCCGAAGGGATTTGGAAAACGACATTCTGGCAGCGAATGGCGCCTCTGCCAGTACGCACTAAGCTCATCTGCACATTTCAGTATCTTCAATGACATAGGAGACATGTACGAGCAGGTCAGCAAGAACCAAATCACACCTGGACTCTACTATCGTCAGAAAGATGAATCTTCGATAAGATGGTTTAGTGAAGATGATATCTAGATCTGCTTCAATAGTTTCAGCCTCGCTGCAGGGTGGAGGGCGTCATCTAGGATTAAGAGCAGAAAACTCTTTCCCTTAAGGTTTGCTCTCTCTTCTCTTTACTGAAGAGCCAGTCCCTGACATTATACGGATAAACATCTTAACTGGGAGTCAGCCAAAGAGGGATCTGTGGGAGGAAAAGTCCTCTTTAACATAGCACAGGTAGATGTATAGCCATGAATAGCCTTAGTAGCAGTCATTCCAGTGTATATTTCATAGGTCCTCACATTCTACATGCAATTTGGATAAGATCCCTGTGCCAGAGACAAAAGAGTAGTGTTGTTAATACCCACAGGAACCAGCCAAAGTGCGGTCGAGGAAATTGAAATAACAGAAAGAAATTCACTTTGGATCTGGCGCCTAAGTCTAAATGGACACCGTGAGCATTATATGCAATCGAAGAATTAACAACACAGGAGGAAGAAGAGACGAAAACTACTGCCAAACATTAGAGAATAGATCATCAGCTCCGCCAAACCCGCCAGCCGGTTTAGAGGGAGCGTTCGAGGTCGTCGTGGTCGTGGTCGTGGTTGTGGTTGTAGTCGAGATGGGTGCGGCACTGGCCCAACCGCCAAAGTCTTCGTCGGCGGCTACGGTGGGTGCTGGTTTCGAGCTTGCGGCGGGGGAGGCTGGGGCTCCCCAACCGGCGCCGATGTCGTTGGCTGTCAGTGTGTCAGGGACCTTCATCATGGATGAGGTGGATGGCGCAGGGGCAGCGGGTTCGGGAGTGCTCCATGCGTTGCCGCCCCAAGGGTCCACGTTGGGGATCATGCTCGCAACGGAGGCTGTGGATGTGGAGGTTACCGGTTTCGGAGCAGGAGCGGGACTGCTCAGGTTGAAAGCGGATTTCAGCTCCTGCTGAGGCGACGTTGTCATAGGCGGTGCAGCTGCTGGAGCTGCAGGAGCCGGGGGCGAAGAGAGTCCGAAGAGGTCGTTAGAGAAGGATGGCCGTGGAGGGTTCGGCTTGGACGGGGGAGCAGAGGCAAAGCTGGAGAAGCCCAAATCCTGGCTGTTGGACGAGATGGAAGCGGTACGGGACTGAGGTTGGGGCTTCGCAGGGGGAATAGTCGGAGAGGTAAGACTGTCAAAGAAACCCCCACCGAGGCCACTGCTGGCGGAGACGCTGGGTGACGTGATCTTGGGAGCCGCCGGAGTGGATTTGGTGCTGGCGAAGCTCGTCAAATTGGCAAAAGGCGAGGGCTTTTCAGCTGGCTTGGGAGGCGGCGGAGAAGTAGTCGAAGGGAAGCTCAATCCGCTGAAGGCATCGGTCAGTCCGCCTAGGTTGGGGGACGCCGATTGCGGGGCCGGAGACGCTAAATCTCCAAACGAAGGCTGACGCTCATGTTGCACGGGAGGCTGCGGTTTGGAATAGAGAGACAGGATGGATTGTTTGAGATCGGGTCGAGACATTCCGGTCGAGCCACCAGGTGTAGACGCGGTGCTGGCTGGACGGCTGGTGGTCGCGGGCTGAGCGCTTCCGAAGAAATCGAGTCCGAGCAACGAATCACCAGGTCGAGCCGGCTTTGCGGCAGGCTGCGATTGTGGCTGCTGCCTGGGGGCAGCGACTCGCGGGGTGGGATCTGTGGTGCTAGGGCGAACCGGGGGAGCAATTGGCTCGTCATCACCGAAGAAGTCAATAGATGCCTGGGGGCGGTGTGTAATCGGAGGTTGGCTAGCATTTGCTACTCGTTGAGACGCGGAACGCTCGATCTTTGCCTTTTCCTGGACGACCGCAAGAGGCTTAAGAAAATGTCAGTTCAGCTGCAGATCCAACAAACGCGCCGGTAGAGCTTACCACGTTGTCGTCACCAACATCCAACGTTGCCGGGTCGGGCATTGGCCCATCCATAACCCACCGCTTTGATTCATACTTCGTGCGAATAAAGTTCTCGATCTTACTATCCGATTCCATTAGCGTTGGTTATGCAGCTGTGACGACAGGGCCGACTCACGCTTCCGAGGGGACGTGGCCATGCGCGAGTTTGGCTTCCCAGTATCTGCGAATAGCTGATCAGCATCCTATTTAACCCGCGAGCATTGACGGTTCGAATGAACATACTTATTCGCTCTGGCATTGCCCCATCTGATCACACTCTGGAGTTGTTCATCGGTCCACGAATCGAGATCCACAGACTTCACTCGACTGATATGGGTGCCCATCCCCCTGTGGATGCCCGAGCAACGGATACATATAAAGATTCCCAGATTCCAGGAGGCCCATCGCGGATCTAGTAGATTAGAGCGTCAGCGGAAACAAGTCAAGACACGGAGTTCAAAGAGCAAGCGGGCGCGGATTGGCAGTTGGATGTAGGCAGATTCAACAAGACCAGGATGTCCGGGGGCGGGCACAACTCACGCTTGTTGCGCTTGCAATCAGCACATATCTTGTTGCACTCGATTTTCAGCAGATTCTTGATAATTTGCTGGTTCTGAGCAGCCTGGGAAGGAGTCGCACGTCGAGACATGACAGCTGGTAGCGCGGTCCTCTCGATGGCTGGAAGAGATGGAAGTAATGGATGTTGTATTCGGGGGAATTCAATAATGGATGACAATCACCAAGTGGCGGATGCGGGTGCGGCCTGAGGCTGCCAATTGTGGATGCCCGATGCGGAGGGCTGCACGTGCCGGAGATGCAAAGACGCAGTCAATTGATGGTGAATAGAACAAAGACTGGGAATTTAAACAATACAAATCATCAAGTCTATAAGCTATATTATTTTGAAGAGAGCTTTGAGGATTTATCTATTAAAGCATGTTACGTCCACTGTTGTCCCTTGCCGTACGGAATATCATCATCAATTTGCTACGGAGTACATAATTGTATATCAGATCTCAAATCCATCAAGCCTTCGACTTCACTGCCTCCTCGTCCTCTGTAAACTTCAAACTAATACTGTTCACACAATGCCTCTCATCTGTCGGCGTAGCATACCCCTCTCCCTTGAAGACATGACCCAAATGACCCCCGCAGTTACTACACACAATCTCCGTCCGCTCCATCCCAAACGAGCGATCCGTATGTCTGGTCACCGCACCGGGGATCGAGTCAAAGTACGCAGGCCAGCCGCACCCGGACTTGAATTTATGCGAGGCCTTGTAGAGCGGGGCGTTGCACCCGGCGCAAGTGAAGACGCCCTTGGACGGGTACTGGGAGTCGTATTCGCCTGTGTAAGGGGCCTCTGTGCCTTTTTCGCGCAGGATGCGGAACTGTTCTGTTCAATAGATTAGAGCGCTATTCTTTGGTGGCTAGTGTATTGTAGAGGGAGGTTTACCTGGGGACAGGACTGCCCGCCATTCCGCCTCACTGCGCTGGTCGGGGTAGGACATGTTGGAATTCTCAGCTTTGGCGCTTGAGCCGAAGAATGAGCCGAGAAATGGAATGGCGGGTGCAGCTTTGAGGGCTGTCGTTCTTGAAATTGGAAAATGTATTCTGCTAATGGATCGTGAAGTCACAGAAGTGATGAAAGGTGTGGTGGTGAGGATGCGGAGAAAACGAGTGACGCGTTGGAAGCGCATCGGGATGGACTTGAAATTATGGGTTCTGGGTTAGTGAGGAGATCAGGTCGGGAATCCTACCTAGATTTACCCGTAGAGGCCTCAGCCACGCATGGGTAAAAGCGAGGCTTATATCAGATTATCGATGCATCGCTGAATCTCCGATTCGCCTCTACATTTTACGTCATCATGCGGAGAATCATCGCCGGAAAAGCCATGCAGAGGAAAATGTATATATTTTGTAAACAGGTAGACAAGTATATCCGTTAGATCCAGCATTCACAGACACTAGTCCTTGGACATCAACTAGATCAACCAGATGATATAACTGTAGGGTATCTTAAACGTGGTCATATACTGAAAATGGTATAACATGTCAACGACGTCGAACAACACCGGTCACCGTCAAAACACCCTCACCCACTTCTACTCTCCATCCTTCCCTGGCCAGCATCTTACCAACAGCCGGCCCCAAGCGAGACGTGCCATCATGACTGTGGCGTCCGACACCGGTGACAATGCGAAAGCCTGATCGCGCTGCCTGGCCGCCGCGCATGTATTTGGCATCGCCAAGAGAGTCCCACCATTCGGCGACGCGCGAACTGGCGATGCGAACGGCATCCTGGACCGAGACACCGTGCAGATCCAATGAATTCGAAGTTGACTGCGAATCGACTAGAGCATCAGCCGCAGCGGCAGCCTCCCGCTTTGCCCGCTCGAGGTGATCTCGTCCCACCAAGGAGTAGTAAGCAGCTGCTCCACCCATTAATTTATCTGATTTTCCGCGACGGTAAGCTGCCGTGGCTTTGTGAAAGGCCTCTGCACTGGCCACAAAGTGGTCGCCAGCGGTAACTCGAGCAGTGTCGTAATCACGAAGGACTCGCGACCCCACAGAGGGCCTCTTGGGCTCATCATCATCGAGGTCCAAGGGTGGAGGCGCAGTAGTGATTTTGATCAAGTCAGACACAGAACTGGGCGCTGGGTGGGTAAGCATGGCGACTGCCAGCTCACCGGCGGCAGAAGTTGAGTTGCGAGTAATTTTCAGTAGCCCACCGAGTAGTGTTGGCGCAACAGACGGAAATTCTTGCGCCAATTCTGCAACTTGTGCAACCATTACGGGGTGTCCATTGATATGTTCTGCCTCAGGTGCGTGTGCCATCGCAAGAGATCGGATCGTTAATGGCAGTGAGGCCCCGTTAGCATGATAAGCTGAAGTGACAGTCTCCTTCTTCAGGATAGGCAAAGTCCTCGAACAGATGAACTCGACATCCTTCTGACCAGCATCCCATTTGTTCAGGGGGGGACTCTCATCCTGCATGTATCCTGAGGCTGGTGGAGAAGAGAGTTCCTGAACCGGGTTATTCTTGTTCTTTCCCCTGCGCTTGCGATTCTTCTTTCGCCCGGTGTCTCCATTGGAACACTCGCCGAAGCCATCGATGCCCTTTGGAATGGCAAGTTTGGTTCCGTCTTCGGCTGCAGGCCGCTCATCAAAGAAAGCAATGTTCAAGAGCACATCCATGGCGCGATCAATATCACCGGCAGACTTCCTAAGCGAATGCTGCACGGTAAAGCGATCTACGGAGGGGAACATCTCCGTCAGATAACCAACTTTGTCGTCCTCAGAAGCGCCAGACAGTGACAGCGACCCGTCAGGGCCGATCGTGTAGCGCAAAGAATTGCTCTTACCCCGACTCCTCGTGCGCTTGTCATCCAGGCCCACGGAGGAGAAGTCGGACGCGAGACTGGTGAGATCTGTTTCGCGCGATGGGGCAGTGCCGTTTTGCGAGCCGCTACGCTCTGAGCGGATGCCATCTGCATCACCGCTTGTGCCAGGACTCAGTCCGCTGGTTCCAGATGGATCGAAAGGTAGATCTTCCTGTTCCCATGCTGATAGTTTCAGAGTGTCCAGGGTGTCGCGGAGTTGCTGGACCTCTGCGGAGTTTTCCAGGTCATAGTCGGAAACGATAGCTGTAAACAAAGCTGAATCCAGAGGAGGACAATATTCCTTTTCAAGCTCCTAGAGGTTCGCAACAGCACAAATCCAACGATTAGCTTCCTGTCCACTCAGGCTCCAGACGTGTAGGAACTGACTTTCAACAGGCTCCCGCCTGTGTCACCCATCTTCAAAATCGCAGATTATATGTCGACAGTGTATTCGGGGTCTCTTTATCATTACTTGGAGAGTGAGAATCTCAGAATATCCCTTGATCATCAAGCAGGGAGGTCAAGGCTGTTTGTGCTGAGAAACCACAATTTCATCGGGGCGGGGAAGATTCAACGATGCACCAATCACAGATGACATAATGGCTGTCTGCGATCCCAACCGCCGGCCAGCTTCATGACCTCATTGATTAACTAGGATTCTTGCAGTGTTTAAAGACGACCTCAGATCTAGAGGTTCCTTGATTTGCATCACATTTAAGATAATGAACAGCACCGGAGGTACTTTGGGGCAGTATAACCGGTCGTCTCCACCCCTTTCTTTGGCTATAGCATGAATTGGCAGAGTTATGAAGTTCCCGCGAGAAAACAAATCATTTAGATTTTGACTAACATGATCAACATTGCTGATACAAGGGAAGCTTAGGCAGAAACAATAGCGGTATTATCCATGAACTCATAAGCCAAAAGATGTTCTGAAAGAAGCAAATAATAGAAGTCCCGGGCACCGATAGGTCAAAATCAATCCCTAAGCCCCAAGAAAGCCTGCCCAACTCTCCCCTCTGCCTATCTTGAGAAAAAGAAATGGAATTCTTGCTCTTCCGATGACATGTTTGTTTTCACTGAGATGAATGCTCAAGCATCACTCTCGCCTTCTGGGCTGTTACCCTCATCGGCGTCTTGACCACCCTCTCCACCCAGGGATAGGTCGCCAAAACCAGACAGTCCTTGGTTCGTTTCGTCATCACCAGTTTGAGAGCCAGAGGAGAAAGTTCCAGTTGGCAAAATCATATTCCCAGTGCCAGTTGGGGAGCCTGAGCCGCTCGTGGACGGAATGATGCCAGAGAACAACGCCCCAAACGGATTCGCGCCGCTTGGAGAGGCATTCTGAGTGGACGACGGGTTCCCGGTGGGCGAAATCAGGCCTTGAAGACCGTTAAGCACGCCTGCGTTGTTTGAGCCCGTGGTGGCGCCAGACGATATTGAGCCAAATGGATTCGTGCTACTGGAAAAGGCACCTGTATTCGCCAGATCACCGAAATCAAACGCGTCTTCGAAACCCTGGCGTTTATCCTTTTGGGAACCTTGAATGGGGACGGCAAGAAGTATCTCGCATAGGCTGAGGAGGATGGTAACAGTCCTGAGATCCATTGTGGGCTTGTGATGGAGATTTAGGGGTTATTGGAGGAGAGCAGTGGCGGTTGAAGCTCTCAAGCTGGGCTCGAAGCAGGCCTTCTAGCCTTATTTATACCATACAATTTTGAAATCACCCAGGTGCCTGCCTCGACCGTCACAACATCGACTATACGTACCCTGGCCGGTGCTAATTGAAATCCTCTAGAAGTGATGAGCTTGAGTCTCATACTAACAGCGTGAACAAGTAATCATTGCATGGTACCCGGTTTCGTATCCCTCGATTTCTTTCTTGCTTATATGGAAATAGTCGGTATTGCAATGGCTGTGTGATTCTTCTTGCATAGCTGTTGCAGAAAGCTCGAGTCAGAGAAACCAGCACAACATAAGCTGTATTGTATGAAGTTAGGCAGAAGAGAAATCAGCTGAGTTGGAGTTACCGTGATTGTCATACTGTGAAGGATGCAGAGCACTGTTTCACTTCTGATTAGCCGGTCACGATTAGAAGCTTCATATGTAGCATTCCGGCATCCGATCCTTATGATCATTTCATCGACCTTTTCCGAAAATGTCCCTCGAAATTGGCATTTTTTGTATGCCTGCAACGCTCAGATTATCACCTTAACCTGCCAGACATGATTGCTATCCATCCGTTGGTAGAGGGGTAGGTAATTGCCAGGAGTCTGTTGGTTACAGTGTCATGGATGACCATCGAAGGCTTTGCTGACCAATGGACCCAGACAAGTCGACGTTCTCCATGTAAAGAAGAGGAGATGAAGTCCTCAATGTTGATTGACCCCAAGGCTGCCGGATAACATCGATATCGCTTGCGCCGCTTTGGGACAAGTGTTCAGCTGTTGCCTGAATCCTTCTTATTGTCTATTGTCTCGGGAAAGACGATCATAATCCCAGCGATGGACGGGCTGTGCGTCTAGTCCATACCGTGATGTCGGCAGGTTATTGATAGCTCATATGCACTGCACATTGGTGGATCCGTCATCACCAAGACTGCAGTCCATCGACACAGGATTGAATAACTTGGATTGGCATTGACCGACAATACACAGAGTGAATCGAGTCGAGCACTGTAAAGTCTTTCCGGTTGCTTCAAACTCAAGCCTAGCCTATTCTTTGTTTGTGTAGTCAACTCGTGTGACAAAAGGAAGACTGAGAACAGGCCATACCTGTGCGACCAGGAAACTCACTCGTCGCCTATTCATTAGTCTCGAGGAAAATGCCATATTTCCAGGGACAGTAGAGAGATAGGCGCACTCGTCGCTTTAACTTTCGCCTAGATGAAACTATTAGTACTTATGCGCTTCTTTACGGTTACATACCTCACTCGCTAGAAAGGGGTCAATAGCCTCAAGGATTCATCTAGGATACCCAGGAATCACAAAACAATGCATATTGGCTCTTGCTCTCGGCAATGATAGCCCTACAACGTGCCGTAGACCACCAGCTATCCTTACGCTGAAGAAGCACCAAATGGTTGAAGACATGACCTGGCATGATGGTCCAATACGGAGAACATTCATCCTCTATCTCATCAGGGCACGAGAGCTCAATCACCGACTCGGTCGTGTCTTTTAGACACAGAGTCAAGATGACCAGACCATCGACTCAGTAGGACTTACATCTTCAATACCGCCAATCAAAGACGCAATGCCGAGGATTATGAGCTTCGTCACTGAAGCCATAAATGAGAAAAGACACATCAGATGGAATCCCTCGCGTCAACGCACGACCCAACCTTGACCCGGCCGCAGATGTGTCCAAGATGAACAACAGAATATACTATCGTCGCTTTAGGTCAGGAAGAGACAGCCAAGGAAGGATCTTTGACCTTTTACCTATAAAGCCGTCGGTCGTCCTCTTGGATTTGAGTTGATACTCGTTACGATTGACAGATTTCAAGCTCAAAAGGTCCAACCTTCTACCGCTATACTACCTATTCCTCTGGGATATATCACCTCAAATCGACATAACTTCTATCACAATGCGTTTCTTCGCCTCAATCGTTGCTCTCGCAGCTACTGCTGCCGGTGCGTCTTCCCTATGTTCCCCGTCACGAGACGATGGCCCTACTAACCAGTCCCAAGCCCTCACCATCACCTCCCCCAAGAGTATGGATCAGGTGGACATGAGCAAGGCCGTCGACATCGAATGGCAGGCTGTCCAGTAAGTCCTCCTGCATGAACGCCTCTACAGGACGAACACTAAAACAATTGCAACAGATCTGACGCCCAGAACTTCTCCATCGTCCTCGTCAACATGATCACCCAGCCCACCGTCAACAAAGTCATCGCCAAGGACGTCAAAGCCTCCGACGAGAAGTACACCGTGAACGGCGTCTCTGGTATCCCCAAGGCGTACGTCCAAATTCCGATATCTTCCCCAAGAAACAAAATAGAGCTACAGGCTGACTCTGCATCAAAAAGAAACGGCTACCAAATCAACTTCGTCAGCACCGGGACCATGAACACGGGAATCCTGGCCCAATCTCCCCAGTTCAACGTCACCAACGTCAAGCCAGAGCCAAAGACTACATCCACCGGTAAGACTCCACAATCAAGACAACCTAGATCATACATTCTAACACTCTTTTCTTCTCGCAGAGAGCCAAACCGCCACCGCGACAGTTGCCGCTACCGCTACCGCCACGACCAACGCTGCTGCATCTCTCATCGCCCCGGCCGCTGCGGGCTCCTTTATCCTGAGTCTTTTCGCTCTGGTCGTGTAGAATAAGAACTCTCAGTGAGCAAGTAAGGGTGTTCGAGATCGACGTCATACTACGAGATTTGCCAAAATTCGATTCTTGCGTGATTCTTGATATATATATACATCTTTCCGGAGCATGATAGCTGACTGATATGCACGGTGATAACGATGGATGAGAACATACCCTTGAATGCATTTAATTGTTTTTTTTGCGAAATAATGGATAATCGATAATGGGCTTTCTTTCCCTGGTCTTGGGTTCACCGCTGGTCGTCGTGGAGTACGTTGATATTGAAAACCTTGATCCTCATGCAAGGAGAGCAGGCTAGTGATATATGCATGCACATCTTGCCTCCATAGTGGATTTCCATATGCACTCACGGTTCACCACACCTGTGAGCTCAAACTTGTTTTCAGCTTTTCGGAAGGTTTCCTGCCTGTTTTCTCTCCGACTTCGGTAGCATGCATTCATACCTAGACCTAAGTTGACTTCGTCTTGCGCAAGATCTTCAAATCACTGCGTCCAAACCACCTCCTCGGAAGATGATGTGAATCAATTACAAGGATGGAATGTCTGAAGTAAAATCAAATGGGTATACTAGTGGAATGTACATATATACAGAAGTATTCAAGCGTCAGCCTTCGTCACAAGTCCTCACAGTGAGCCCATGGTCGATTCAGCAAGCCCCGAGACGGATCCAGATCCAGCTACGCTGGCGCTGACCGCCGATGATGATGACTGGCCATTGTACTTGTCATTTATGCCTTCTCGAGGACGGTCCCAGGTGCGAATGTGGCCTGTTGATCTCCAATGTTAGCGGCTGTCCGCTGCGACGACAAGCGATGTATAGAGATCAGGGCGTCTTACCTTCAAGAGAAGAAGTCATGATACAATCTTCTTGGAAGCCCAGCCAGCAGATTGGGTCTGTGCCAACAATTTTGGACTGTGAAATAGTCAGCTCAAGATTCAATGGTCCAGATGACGTGAAAACATGAATATCGAAATGCTTATGAGCATTACTCCGAACTTACCATGATAGGGGGCAGCAAGGCCGTGCGTGCTCTAGGTTCGACAGGATGACGGACGGCTTGGTCGCAACTCTCATAGGTGTTTGCTGTCCTTTGAGAATCTGATCTCATCCTGTTGCCCGCACTGTCGGCTCGGTGACGATTGCCATACTGTGAAATGCTAGCGACCATGCTTGTTCGCTGACGGGCGCTGGCTTGATGCTGTTAAAGAATTGTCAGCACAGGGGATCAACCTCACAATTTAAAAAAAAAAAAAAAATTCAGATAGTTTCGAATGTGGACGCTGGATCTCGTGATAAAGGGATGCGTACTACTTTCGGTCGATGCAGCATGCCAACGCTGAAGTCCCACAGAAGAAGCCTGCAGTCGTCACCAACACTCCCAAATCTGTATGTCCGTTCGTCGCACTGCCATGGATCGAAGGCGACCGCGGAAACCCAAGAGTTGTGACCCTGACAACGGGCTACGATTTTGCGCTCGGGGAAAGACCAAATAGTCACTAAATCATCCTGTCCGCCAGTGACAATGTATTTGCCATCAGGCGACCAGCAGACGCAGATGAGTCCACCATAGTAACTGCGAAAAATGTCCAACACCCTAAGCAGCTCGTTAGCTGCCTGTCAAACACTGAATGTACTAATAGCAAGAGCAGAGGAGACCTACTCTTCTTTCAAGTAGTCCATCACTCGTAGGGATCCATCGTCCAAGACGACTGCCAGATGCCTTTGGTCCGGGGAGAATGCAAAGTGTGATATTTTTTGGTTTGCAAGTTTCCAAAGAGCGACAGGGTTAGTCTTTTGGTTCCGAGAGTTGACGGACTTCAGCACCTGCAGCTGTCCACTGGACGCCTTGAGTGCCTCCGCTGACTGATCCTGGATTTCAGGGGTGAAGAGAGCATCTTCCTTCTCTTTATCGTAGACCACTAATTGTCCGTTTGCGTGCGACGCCATAAACAGATTTTCCGACCCAGGAATCCATTTAATATGCGTGACCGGAGAATTGCTGACGACTCCATTCTTATTTATTCGGGCGTATTTTTGAGAAATAGGCTCATACCAGATGATGTCACCGGCAGAGGAACCCATGACCATGTCGATGTGAGAGGAGCTTTTGGTGAGCTCATTAATATCGTGACACAACATGTGCGCCTTTGTGAAGAGAATCTTTGCAAGCGGCTCTTCCTTCTGCTTCGAACTGAGATCTAGCCATTGGAAGGCGCGATTGATGTTGGCGAAAGCAAAAAGGCCCTCCGGACTCCGCTCATTCAACCGCTTTGTGGCTGCTTCATGAGTGATGACCCGTGATACGAAAGAAGAACTGCTCTTGATAATGTTGTTCTTGGGCTTCCGCCTTTTCAGTCCGTCCTTGACGGGAGCAGCTACCAGTGCCGGGTTCCCATCTCCAAACGGGGGCGCTATTACGGTCTGTTTTGAGATGAATGAGGGAGTCTTGCCTCGAGGGCTGACACAAACTAGCGAGACTTTGACGCCGGATGTCGGAGGTGTAGGAACAGTCGCAAGAGGATTTGGATTTATAATTGGAGCTTCAGATGGGTGTGGAGGAGGGGTTGCTAGGTGCAAGTCGTCCTTGAGTTGATAGGTACCTAATCGAGAGGCTTTGTTAGTCCTAGTCGTCGGGAGTTCTCAGAAATAAACACACCTTCTCCCACTTGTAGCGGGCAGCCGCCTTCTGGATGAGTGAGTATGTTGTTGGTCTCTACGACCGGCACTGCCATGCCATTTGCCGCGCCAGCGGCATACGCGATTGGCACGGTGTAGCGAGGAGGCGGAGGCGGAAGAACACTAGAGAGGTCAGGTCAGCAAAAGTGCAGTTCGCAGTAGATCTCCAGCTGTTCACTGCCGGTCTCCAGCAGCGCGACACGCGACAGGGGATGGCAAGAGATAGCAAGATAAATCTGTTGGCAACCATCAGGTGTAGCGAGGATGAAGCTTACAACATGGTTGCGGTCGCGATGGCGCTAACGCATATAAACTAGAATATTTTTGTATATGCTGCAGTGGCTGCGATGAATAGTAGATGAAAGGCAATCAATATTGACTAGGACAATAGGCGAACTCCTGCTGATCCCACGATTGCAGTGAAATTCTCCCAAGAGCGGCACCCTAAGCAGCGCTGCCCAGTGCAGTATGTGGCGTTGAGATCTGTAATGAACGTGATGGGCAATTGAGGGCTGATATCAGGAGATAGAGGATTGCAAAGTATAGACTTCTTCAAGCCAGCGTCGCACGTCGAGATCGGCGCTCAGGTATATTCTACTTCTTCTCACATCGGTTAGTCGATCACTCATACAAGTGGAGGGGAAGAAACAAACATCAAATCTGACCTGGGGGTATGAGATTAGCGGGACTCCAACAACATGATGATCAGAATCAGACGAGAAACTAATATGTACAATAAAGGAGTTCAAAAGGTGAGGTAGGACGAGAGATGTCAAGTGCGCAGGTTAGACTGACAAGGTGAGTGAGGAGAGGAGCGGAGAGCCAGACGGGGAAGTTTGGGAGGCCCGTGAGTTGGTTTCTGGGGTTAGTTGGCTAACGCTGTTCTCTCTTCCGTGGTGCCGAAGCGGTTCCTGGCCATAGGCGGGGATTCTCGATATAAACATTTATTGGCAGCTCGAGACCATCGATCTCTACTCTGTACTCTAGTGGCTTCTAAGTCAGTCATCAAATGAAAATATTTGACTGGCAGGATTGAATGTAATAATATATGCGCTGATAACTAATCTCGTCCACTGGCGCAAGTTTTCAAAGTCCATGAACCAAGCGCATGCGTGAACGTATGAAAACTTCTCGGGGTATCAATCTAATTTATCTATCCAGATAGGGTAATACTAATAAGTTCAAAGAGCTATCCACTACCACTAACTCTTCGCCAAATCATCACGGCAGCAGCCCCAGCACAAACCACTGCTCCAAGTGCTATACCCCAGGCCATCCATTTCCCCTCCACGTCTTCCTCGCTCCGGGGAAAGGCAGTGCTCGGCTCCATGGCAGCCTCTGCAATGTGTACAAATACCTCTTGGATAGAACTCCAAGTAGCACTGACATGGAGCGGCGGACTCGGCATATTCAGCATGGCCGTGTACTCGTGGGGCTGATGCTCAGCCCGTTGTGTGGTCCGATCCAGGTCAGCTTTAAGCGCAATGAAAACACTCGGGAGCTCTTCAAGATGCGGATATTTGGATCGTAGCTCAGGAATATAGGCAAAGGAGTCTGGGTCTGACGAATCATACGTGTATACAATGACGTCGCACTGATCCAGAAGCTTCGCCTGATTTTCAAGAATGGCGGGCTCCAGTTCTCCTAGCTCATCCAAAATTAAGTAGCATTGTTTACCCCCGGGCAGCTCAACCGTGTTGACAGCAGTCCGGGGCTGGATAGTCGGGCGATAAGTGCTGCTGAAGCCACGAGCGAGGAAGGCGTCGAGAAGCGCTGATTTGCCCGATCCTGGAGCTCCAATCACGTGGCCCAAGACGACATTACGGCCCACCCGTCCAGGACGCTTTCGTTTCTTTCGCGGCCGTGTGACTTTCAATGCAGCCGTTGTAGAGGGATTACTCCTATCGGACGACTCGAAGCCAAGATAGGCCAGATACTCCAGAGTCGTCTTCGGCGATTGGAAGGTTGTCATACTCCACTGAGCAAGCCAGCCTTGAAGTGTGACGTGACCAGCCTCATTCCGGACTGTGGAGGAAGGAAATGAGCCGTCCGCCCACGAAGCTGGGAGACCAGGAGTCGGGGCGAACAAGGACGCCAATTCAGCGTCATTTAAGCCACCATCATTGTCCTTGTCCGACAGCAGGAAGAGATTGACAAAAAATCGATATCCTTCCGGGGACAGCTCAGCAGATGCAAAAGGGGGTACTTCGAATCTGGGATGAAGGAAGCTCTCTTGCAATGAAAGATTGTCGGTGTATTGAAATGCTCGTAGGATAATCCAGACAGTCTCGTGGCGTCCCTTTTCCGCGTACATCTTGTTCAGGTGTATAAACCCTCGGCAGTCAATGCCAAATGGAGTCACAGAGTCCGGGTACGTCTTCTGGATGGTCTCTTTGATGTGGACGAGGTCCTCCTTGCTTAAAGGTTTATCAAAGCATCTCATCTGAAAGTCTCCGATTTCTTTGTCCGAAAGATAGCCATCTCTATCCTGGTCACTCAGGTAGAAGATGCGTTGCAAAGCTGCTACCGCTGCCGGCTTCAGCGCGGACTCTTTCGAATCGAATAGCGGAGCGATCGGGTGAGTGACAGCTTTTTGACAAAGGAAGAAAGCCTCGTTGACGTTGCGATGTTCACGGGCGCTGGTACGTATACAGGAGTCGATTTCCTTGAACTCCGCCATCACTGGTAGCATTTCCTCCTCGATGACTTGGGCCTCGCTATGTTCCGCAGCTAGATCCGACTTGTTGGCGCATAATACAACAGGCACGTTGACCCCCAGAGATCGAAAGTACGGCAACCAGAACAGAGCAACTCTCTCATAGCTGTAATGATCGGAATAAACCAACAGAATCACATTCGACTTTCTGATCTCTCGGGCCAGGTTGCTCCGCTCCTGCGGTAAAGCGGAGGTGTCCACCACTGTGGTCGTTGTGACATTCTCGGGCGTTCCGATCGTGGGAGGAATGGTAATTTGAGGTAGGACGGGTTGAATTTTGTTTGTGACGAAGACACCCTTCACGAGGGATGTAATGAGACTGGACTTGCCAGTGCCCTCATCCCCGCAGACGCAGATGCGCACTAGGTAATGTTATGTTAATTTCATGTCAACGGAAACAATCAAGGACTGGTCGAACCTGTAGCCATTGGTACTTATTAAGTTCTTCTATCTCAAACCATTGCTGGGATCCGCCTCATCAGTCCATTATAATGTTGCTGGGGGGCTGGCGCAAGCACAACTGACATGGAATCATGGTTCGAACTTTAAGCTCGATCACTCATTAGCTTACATTATTATTATTGCTGATCCCCGGAGTTTCGGGTGGTGGCTGTGCCGTGTTTGCAGCCTCAGGTTTCCACATATGCAGCATGTGACAGTGGGAAGGGTGCGATATCTCGTACCATAAGTGAGCCTGGACAGCGAAAGTGGACTAACATCTTCGGACATGATATCCATACATGAGTATATAATGCTTCAGCAAGGATACTCACCAATTGACATATTCAGCTTGGATAGGAAGACTGGTAAGAGGCCTCAGCCACTCGCGTCCGGAGAGCTATGATGCCGGGGCCGCTACTCCCCGTGCTCACGGAACTTATTAGATACTAGACTAGTACCTCTGGAGTATCTTGACCTGCTGTCATCGCCTGGAATCTGTGCGTGTTCGAATGCTTCACGGAACAATGACATTTAAAATTAAGACTGCTTTTATTCAGTGATAGCGGAATGTTAACCAACTTAACTTGCTAATCAATTATTTGAGTACCTGAGCTGGTGCCTGGTTGCTCGGGTAAAGTTGTGCTAGCTGTCCTAGTATTAAGACAGGATCAGCCGTCATCTGTTCCACATCCGGGTGACCCATCTGGGCGAACGAACTTCCGTTGCGCAGCATTCTGCGATCATATCTTTCTTTCATATCACTACTAACCTTTACTCTTCTGCAACTCACTGATCCTACGGTCCGACGAGCATAGCCAAGATGCCTCTCGGAATACACAACCCGCTGCCGTCGTCGTTATCAAGTATGTATCACATTGCTTACGTCTCAATTCCCCGCAATTGGGATTCCGCAATAGGTGGCTGATCGCTGTTCTTCTCAACAGGCGAATGTAAGAAGGCGGGCAAGATTCTTGCTTCCTTTATCGATCCAAGACAAGCTTTCGGTCCTGATAAGATTATTCCTCCTGAAATTCTGGCTGGTGCCAAGGTAAGTTAGGAAAGCAAGCCTCAGATGTTTCGCCGAGCTAATCGCTCCGTCGATAGGGTCTCGCTATTCTTACTGTTCTGAAAGCTGGCTTTCTCGGTTCGGCTCGGTTCGGCTCAGGGATAGTCGTCGCTCGTCTGGCCGATGGCACATGGTCGGCACCTTCGGCTATTGCGACCGCTGGTGCTGGGTTCGGAGGTCAAATTGGATTTGAGTTGACTGATTTCGTTTTCATTTTGAACGATGCAGCAGCAGTGCGAACGTTCTCGCAGGTTGGAACTTTGACTTTGGGTGGAAACGTGTCAATCGCCGCAGGGCCGGTGGGAAGAAATGCGGAGGCTGCGGGCGCAGCAAGCACAAAGGGCGTCGCAGCGGTGTTCTCCTACTCGAAAACTAAAGGTCTATTTGCCGGTGTCAGTTTGGAAGGAAGCATGTTGGTTGAAAGGAAGGATGCCAATGAGAAGATGTACAATAGTCGAGTGTCGGCGCGTCAACTCCTCAGCGGTACTATCCGACCTCCCCCCGCTGCGGACCCTCTTCTTCGGGTGCTGAACTCCCGTGCATTCTACGGCAATGGCAGAGGCAACGGAGACGCCATGTACAACGATATTCCAGTCTACGATGACAGACATGACGACGTTGTTTGGGAAGGCCGAAGGGGCGAGGCATACGGTGAAGGGGTCCGGCGTGACCGCGGCGGTTTTAATGGTGGCGATGACTACGAGTACCGCGACCAGCCTCGTCGCGCGAATACGTGGGCAGACGACGTTTACGATCGGCCCGCTGGAGGTTTGGGCCGCTCCTCGACTAACAGCCAGGCCGATGCTTTCGACAGATACGGTGGCCGCAGTCGAAGCAACACTGCTCCATTTGAGGAAGATTACGTCTACTCCGACCGCAAGCCTAGCCGGCCAACGGCACCCAAACCTGTTTTCGGACAGCGCACAGGGCAAAGTGCCCCTCTGCGGGCAGATCAGGCCATCGCATTGTACACATTTGATGCTGATCAAGAAGGAGACTTGGGCTTCAAGAAGGGAGACATTATAACGATCTTGAAGCGCACGGACAAGGCAGAAGATTGGTGGACAGGGCGGATTGGCGACCGGGTCGGCATCTTCCCCAGGTGAGAACATCCTTTTCCGTGACCCGAGAAGGAGTCTATATTGACACAAAGATTAGCAATTATGTCGACGCGGCTTGAGTTTCCAGTCACGACCCTTTGCTGCTTGATGCATAATGACTTTAACGAACTGATCATCAACTCTCTGAACAGGCCATCTCGAGATGCCACAAACACATCTTGAACTGTATCACAATTCCGTCTTAAAGGTCTCTTTGGCTCCTTCCATGATGTAAGCGCTGGAGTTCTTGTCCGTTAGGTTTATCCAAACCATGACTGAAACGGGTTGCGAAAGAAAAGAAGAAATTTTGTGTATCAGGCCTCAGCGAGGGCCTTTCTTTCTCTATATCCTTGTCTTTCGCCGTTCTTTTTCAATTTGTTCCGTCTTGCGATTGACACTGCTTTCAGGACTACTCAGGATTGTTTCTCTTTCTTGCCACGGGTTTTGATCTTAGAGAATGATTGCATGCTTGTGCTCTTCACTCATTTGTTATATGGCATTACTATCATGCGTCACAGGCCTGAATATTATTCAATGGCATCCAGGCAGGTTTCTGAATGCTTTACTCCTGCCACCTTAAGGTATCTGCGAGAGATCACAGACATTATTTCTGGAATATCACTGGTATTCAATAGGTTTCTTGCGATAAGCAGCGTAATGATGGCTTTGACTTCGGCCATGACATAATCTGCATACCAATTGATGCATGCACATTCCAGCAGAGTTTGATGTGAGTTATGTTCAAGTCAAGCTCCAAATGAACCTAGGATGTTTGCCAGGCGTTGATCAGTTTATATGGTTTCGTCAATAGAGCACGAATGTGATCTGGTGCCAGAATCACTGGTAGGCTTGGATGTTGAAGTGTGGTATGGTGACCAGGATAGACACGAGACCTTCTATGATGACCATTAACCACAAAAAGTAAGAGGGCTATGAGGAACTGGGGACAACGGCTTGATATCAAATGTAATTAAGGTAGGAAGAAACTCTGGAAAAAGAAAGCCCGAATACGCCATTGGGTCACATTTGCTGTCTCTGTGCTAAAGAATAGCTATGTCGAAATGACTGGTCACCTGGAATAAAGTTCTGTATGGAGTATGGAGGACCCCAAAGCTGGGCTGGGCCAGCACGAGGAGGAAAACCGTTTTGTGGAGCTGCGCATGAGCACAAAAGTCATAGGCAGAGTCATACTGCCAGTAGTCAGTACCAACCTCACTTGATGCATTCCTGCTTCTCCAAGGTATGAATGACTGAAGCTTTTGGTGAATGATCGGTGTTTCACCGGTTATGCACTCCGTAGTCACGACTCAAGATTTTCCATCTGGACAACAGTTCGATAAGCCACAGCCACAGCCACTTGCGGGAAGGGAGATCATAGAATTACTTCCGGAGGACCGTAATTTGAGGCTGATAGATTGTAGTCCACTCATCAAGCCAGGATTCTGGGGCTATTAACGAGTTGCTCATAGTAGTAGTGATATGGATCGACGATCGTCATCTGTTCCTACAGAGTATGTAGTCGTAGCCAGATCGGATCGTCCATAGAGCGGCGGCCCAGACTTGAGTTGGGCCTCGAGTGGAGCTGAACGATGATCGAGGCGGAGTGGAACGATCCGTGAATGCAGCGTACATTAGCAACAGGTTCGACTGGGTGAATTTGAACTGAAATTGGCGAAGTCTGCTGTACAGAGGTTGAGTGAGGAGGAGCTTGTTGTAGGCAGTGGAGGTGATGTGTTCGAGGTTGAAACATAACCTGAGGCACACGAGTTACCGTCAGTACGGAGTACGTAGATGCACTCCATGTCTTGGATATTGTGGAATCTGTCAGAAGTAGATAGTCATTTGCTCAGTCAGTCTTTAGAAAAGCGGTCGTGCTTTTCTTGAGACCATTTATTCAATAATAATAATGCACTGAATAAACCTACTTTATCCAGGGTACCTTACTTTGTGGTACCTTGTATCGCCTGATAAAAGTAGCACCCAAGAACACCTAAGAACCCAAAGACCAAGGTAGCCTAAGTTCCTAACCCAACGCTTGTTATGGAGCAGTAGGGATGTCTTGAAAGACACTACTACAAAGGAAGTTTAGCTGGTTCTTTCTTACTTACCTTACTTGCACTAACTTCCTCCTCCTGCTGATATTCCTTCTTATTATCCCGGTGATTATTATGCTCTCCACCTTTAGCTAATTCTCCTCACTCTTCCTCCTTACTGAAAGTTCTTACTCCTACTTGCTGGACGTTGTTGTCACCGGATGCCTAGCCGTCAGCCTTTTCCTTGTTGTCTTCTTTTCTTGCTCCCTGGTGGATGTTTTCTCCCATCGAACACTATTGCTGCTGCTATTGCTGCCGGTGTTTCTTCTTCCCCGCTTCCATGATCATCCTTCACTATCTCCCGGCCTAGTGCTATACATTTGCATTTGACCTCCCTCCCCACGAGCGGCTTTCCTGGCGCCCCTTCTGTCCTCAGCAAAATTCGGGAAGACGATTTTACAAGGGCTCCCGAATTATTTGGATCTCATGCAGGTGCGTTTGCTCTATAAGTCCTTCCATTATCCTGTGTCCAACTTGCTTTTTCTGTTTTCCCCTTCCCCTTGGTCGGACCCAGCCTTTCCCCAACCTCCAAACCATGGAGCCCTCTCCCAGACGTCTCATGGATTGTCCGCATTCTATCCTGATGAACAATCTATTGGAACAACTCTCTGACTGGTCTGTTCGTTTGTTCACTTAGGCTTCACCGAGCCCCTCTGAGGCTGGCGGAGGATACGGGACGCGGAGAGGCCATGTGCCTCAATTATCTATCAGTGACCCGAGTCATCATGTCACGGAAGCCATTGGTCATATGTACGAAGACGATTACGACAGGCGGGAGTCCAAACGTCTCAGCTTTCTTTCTTCCCCACTCAGCGAATCCATCTCCATAATCCCTCCCAGCCTCGCCGGATCCGAAGACGACTCCTCACCGCAGTCGCTGCATGTACAAAATCGCTTGAACGCCGAGGACAATCGCCCGGCAAATGGACACTCACGGCCGCCGCTGGTTCCTTCCAAGTCCTTTGATCGGGACAGCAGCAGCCCGACGTCTCCCGGCTCGACGGACACAGCCACCACCTCCTTCCCTCTTAACGATATCGACTACGAATCCGATCCTGCTGCCGTGGCCCAGGAGCTCAGTAATCTAGCTGCTATCCGGCGGATGTCCATGGACGTGACAGCAACAGGAGATCCCGACCTTCCAAGTTTCTCTGTACCGTCAATAGCTCCCTCTTCCTCTGCCGACGAAAATGACGCCTCTCGTTTATTCTGGGTTCCAGCTCGGTTGCATCCGGAACTGGCTCCCAAGGAGTTCAAATCCTTCCTCGAAAGTAAGACGGAACAGATCAGACGAAAATCGGGCGAATTCTCCCCATCGGGCTTCGAACGCGATGGGGCGGGCGGGTCGCTTCGGCGGAAAAAGTCCATGTTGTCCAGACAGATTGACACCTCCCAGGGTTACACGGATGGGGCGGAGCGCCTCGAGCGGAAACGATCGCAGTCGAAGAACAACTCTCTTAGCCCGAATCTGCTTCAGCTTGAATCGTTAGTCGATGACTCCAAGCAGCAAACCCCGAGTGCCGCGTCTTTTTTGGACGGAGTTCAGAAACTCGCCATATCCACGGAGGAAGATATCCCAATCCTCCCTCCCGCACCCCCCGGGCACAGTCTCCGCCGCTCTACCCGAACACAGTACAGGAAAGCCGGTAGTTTGAGGAAAGGCGAAAAGGTTCCCTACTCAAAACGAATTGGTAAAGCACCCGACGCGAATGACCGAGTCCCTTCAATCACCACTTCATCTGCGGACGAACCCTCCCCAGGTCTCACGCGAGTGGCCACCGATCCAACGCCTAGCACAAGGCGCGTGCAGGCCGAGCCGCAGTACACACCTCAGACCGCTGTCAGCTCTTCTGCACAGGTTGAGAATAACAGGGCGAACGGCTGGTTGGAAACAGATCCTGGAGACAGGGCGAATGTGCCTTCCCAGGCACGCCATTTGTGGCACTCTCGTATCAGCTCCAATGGCCGCTCGACCTTGAATATCCCGCCCACCGAACAGAGGGTGCCAGAAATTGTCGAGACGCCCCCGGTCGAATCTCCGACAACTCCCACGACACCCACTTACCATCATAGTTACAGTTCGGGGCGGGAGGCACAGCACGATGCGCCGCCGGCACTGCCTTCAAAAGATTCACCTCTTCGAGATCCGAATACAACCAAACGATCCGGAGCCGCGCGGCAGTCGGGGAAGGAGAGCTCGAAAACTCTCAATGACTTTGCGAATAACCCACAACCACTTCCGGGAAATACAACACGAACGGACAGCCTCTCATTCATTCCTACAGTATCGGAAGACCGGAAGCCCGAAACCAAAAAGTCCAAGGACAAGAAAGATTCGGAGGGTGGCCGCAAGTCGAGTTGGCACTGGTTGCTGGGCTCTGAGGAGAAAGAGAAGGATAAAGACAAGGAAAGGAGAAAAGACAAGGACACCGATTCGAAGAAAAGTAAATCGAAGTCGGCGGATAAGGTACATGAACCTGCACACCTTACCTCATCCAACGATATTAGTCCGCGCGGGCGCGAAAGTATCGCCGTGGATCGGCTCGACCCTAAACTGGAGGAGGAGCGTCGGAAAGACCACGTCAGGCGCACATCGGGGGAGTCCAAGAAGGACAAGGAATCCGGCCTATTTTCATCGATTTTCGGCGGTGGGAGGAAGAAGAACAGTGGAGATGGCCATCACAAGAAGAGCTCGTCGCGGACATTGTCCCCTGACCCGCCCGTTCGCGAGCTACGGCCGGACGTCGATTATCCGTGGACACGATTCTCGATCCTCGAAGAGCGAGCCATCTACCGAATGGCTCATATCAAATTGGCCAATCCCCGACGAGCGCTCTATTCTCAGGTCCTGCTCAGCAACTTCATGTACTCTTACCTGGCCAAGGTTCAGCAGATGCATCCTCACATGATGACGGCGTCGTCAGCATCGCAAAGACAGCAACATTCGAGGGATCAGAACGAGGAGTATTCACAGTACCAGAGATATCAAGAAGTAAGTAGGTCCTTGGATCAGCATGATGGTGTTGGGTGATGTTTTTCCTAACGCAGAAAATTACAGTCTCAGCAGGAACAATACAGCGATAGTTCCTACGATGATCCTCAGACGTACGAGTACGGTGACGATCCACGCGATGGTTACCGGCCCCATTCAAGGGGCAGTAAGTACGAAAACGGGAATGTATATGGTCCTGGGCATCATCAATATGGGCATTCGACGTTTGGCGATGACGTCCAGCTGGATGACGATGATGACGATATGTGGTGAACAAGGAACAGGAGTACTGCCACTTTTACTACTGTTTGTTCTTCTGCAGCGCACGAATACCCCTGCTTTTGTCGACTTTGATCCTTCCTAGACTTGTATACTGAAGCCTTTACCTTTTCCTTTTGTCTTCATTTCCTCTCATCAACTTTGTCCCTCTGCCTGTCCTGTCTGCTGCGCGAAGAGCGCAAAACCACCTGATTTGACTGGGGAGGGTGACAGTATATTACATGCTATTGACCGGTCCTCGGGGGTTTCATTACCCGCCGTCTGATTTTCATTCTATGGCGCGTTTCGTCTTTGACACCCTGGCGGCATAGCACTTGAAGTGCCTTGTTGTCATGTTCTGTGCTCTGGTATCTAAGTGCCTTGCACTCTTGCACACATTGTTTTGATATATTAGCATAGCGATTGGGGTTCTCCGTGTCTCGATCTGGGTTCACTTTCAACTTCTTGCCTGTCTTGTTATACAACTTTGTACTTTGAATTGCAACGGATGGACTCCGAGCCGACTTTGTCACGACCTGTGTCTGCAGAGCTGAAAGATGAACATTATCAAGCTTGGTAGGCCAGACTGCACTGTTGCACATATTATCATGGCAACATAGGACAAGCTGTGCAACATTTTGGATGGTAGAAAACCAGGCGAACTCTATAGGACCGTCTGGGACGATGGCGTGAGTCACGTGACCAGCGCCTCCCCCGGTTCTCCGCGTCATTGCCATGATGAGGTTGCCTCGGGGGTAATTAGGCTGTTCATATCAACTTCTCTTCCTCTATCATCTCTAATTCGCATCCTACTTGGGCCCTGTTGCTGGTCTCTCATAGTCCACTTAATAAACCACAGCCATCGGATTTTCACATCTGAAGAACAGCAAACGTCCATAGCCCGACCAACAAAATGGGAGACGCCTACGAACGCGAACAGTATGGTGCCCTTCCCCTTGTGCTCGCTAAATGCCATTTGCCAAGATGCAGAGCCCCAGACTCGCATGTGCAACCAAGAACCAGCTAACAGACTCGCTCATGTAGACAAAACAATGCGCTCCTCAACTCCCTATCTAGCAAAGTCTCGGCCCTGAAGTCCGTCACCGTCGATATCTACGATAATGCCCGGGACCAAGAAACGCTGGATCACTCTGTTCGTGTTGACCTGCTTTCACCTGCGTCGGGGGAGTTGGTGTTTGGATGAGTGGTACTAATCTAATGGCGCCAACAGAGCCAGGTCTTCTCCTCGCTATCGACGAACCTGAAAGGTAGCGCGAGCCGCTTGACCCGCATGGCGAGACAGGGGGATACCGTTGCGATTATGAAGGTCGCCGGGGTTGTGATTGCGGCGGGGATTGCGCTGTGGTTGTTTCTGGGGTGGATTTTTTGATCCGGCGATGGGATGGGATGCGTTCGGCGGCGTCGTGGAGGGTACCGGTCGAGCATTGCCCTGGTCTTGCGGGTTCAAGATTGATTGGCATTGGTACTGGCATTAATGAGATGGGTTTTACATGCTGTGGGATGGATTGTCGCGTTTCAGCGTGTTTCTGGAAGTTGTATATGGGCTGGTTTGTGTCTGACTGTGTATAATGGTTGCTGTGCTTGATGGTTTCCAGCGTTGCTTATCACCGTGGCTGTTCATTGAGGCGAGTTTACATCTGAAGATCTTATTATCCTAATACTGTGAAGTGGTGATTCAAGCAAAGGTCACTGAGTTTGGCATTGCCTATCTTCACCAGATAGAAAAGCTCCTCTGGACTGGGACTAAGCAGTCGTAAGCAAGCAGTGTACATCCAGACATCATCAGACACCAACTGCGGTTATCATGTCCTTTGCTTGATAACCTTTGCTAGCATGAGTCAACCAGAGGTCCGAGGGTTCTCAGCTGATGCCTGCACTCGTCTATACACTGTATTATTCCTGACTTTGTTCATCGCATACAGAGTACGCAATCCGAACACATAATCTACTGTATCCCACCTGCTATGCAGCACGCCTGTGACACTTGAAGCCTGGTGTCGTACACGGATAGGAAAAAGTCACAGCCCAGAGTGGTGTCTTTATTCGATTGCCAGCCTCGGGAAGGTAGATACCGAAGTATTAGAAGAGCCGTGAAGGCCAAATGATACCGGCATACGGAGTAGAGCGAAATCAAGTGTTCGCTACTGGCGGCTGATAGGGAAGTGTCTCATACGGATAGTCATGCAGGGCATCGGACATACCCCGTGAGTATCTAGGCCACTACGTAGTCAGATAATGTCTGCATTGCATATCATTTGCGCAAGTAAGGGGAGGAACTAGGAATGACGGGATCTAAAGGTACCTTACTGTGGGACTAGAGACTGGTGAGAAGATTTTTCCGATAAGAAAGGTGAGTTATATTCCGCAGGTGCAGTCTGCAGATACAAAGGTGACAATCAGGGGCAGAAGACCTGGCCGGTCTGGCCATGTGCACCTTGAGAACCTTTCATTGGGTCGCCTGTTGCATTTTGCGAAAAGTCCGCAAGAATCATTATCCCTCTTTAGACGCCGGTGTATTTCAGTGGACTTCAGGCGCGAAGAGTTGGTGCGGGAATGCTGCCACTGCCAGGCTGGATACCCGTCCTTAGTCTCCCGTAGCACTATCTACCAGGTTTCAATCTTTGTGGATCCAGCGACAAGTCCGCTGTTTCACAGGATGATGAATGATAGGCACATATGGCGAGCTACTTCGGATAACAAGTCTGATGGCTGAGTTTCTCGGTGTTCACTACAACTTACAAGGTTAAGTGCAGAGCTCTAAATCCATTCTACTTGAGTCGACTGTCGACTGTCGACTGTCGAGTCAGGAGAGTGGATGTCGATCGAGTCCGTGCTCGCGTCTAGATCCAAAAGTCTCTGCCAGTGGTTGCTCAATCAGCATTGGTGATTTCCCGGGCTATGATAAGGGTTTGAGGAAGACAAGGCCAGAAGCGGGTTTCGCTTTGTCTCAACTTCTCAAGAATGGAACGAATGCGTTGGCAGTGGAGCCTGATGGATTCTGGACTCCAAGTCTCGAACTTGTCATGAAAGTCTATTGGTGAACGACTGACACCGGGTTGAGTTCCCTGATTTCTATTTTAACCGACTTGGACTCGGCATGCCGAGTGACATGGGCTTGCTGTTATCTATCGGTGTACCGTGCTCCGTGTCTCAAAGTGTCATCTAGCCTCTGCCCTCTAGCCTAAGAAATTTCAATAATCTCACCTTGATATGCCAATGTGATGCCCTTGATGCTGTGCAACCCAGCCCATCCTTCCTTGCATGGCTTGAGGTGACGGCACGTGCAGCTGTCATCGAGGTTAAATGGTTTTACTGATACACAGCTATGGAAAAAAGCTTTGATAGCTGTCCTCCGTAGGGCCAATGAATAGGGAATTGCTGCCCGATCCAGTTATCGATAGGGTTGAGTTTTGGAGGCCCGAATCAGTTGAGGACTCCCGTAGATCTCTGGTAGTCAATAGATACGGATAGAGATCAGCTCACCGGATCGTCTCCTGAGGTAGGACTTAGACTCTCAAGTCTCGAACTTGAAAGCTCTTACGGAGTAATAGCAGCTAGACTACTCTGGATAGAGTGATGAACTGCCACAGAATCTCTTTCCGGAAGGGTTGAGGACCCGCGGGTAGGTGGGTCTCGACTGTTAGCATGCAAAAAAGACAAAGAAAATAAACCGGCTAGATAACATTGAGGTCATTGCTTGCGTCAAGACACTCATTTTCTGAACATCGATAAAGATCTAGGTGCTGTCTGACTTTTTCTTTGTTACCGACCAGCGTCACTGTTACGGAGGACTGCAGGTCACAGAACCGAGTCCTTGTACTATGTACCTTAAGATAATAAGAATGGAAGATATTGAATTTGGCGGAAATTCCGACTGTGGGTTTGCCTGTTTGGTCGATGGCGATCATGACGGGTCGTCCAGGCCCGAATTAGCGAGGATCCCGACCTTTGAATGCCGTGGATACTGGATACTATAGATACTTAGTCATAGTCATAGGTGCTCATATGGCATCGGAGAAAGTGCGCTTTTCCCCGATCACATGTAATCCAGTCGAATCGGTGGGAGCTGGTTCATGTTTACGCAAGGCTGAGTTATGTCTATCAGTTATCCATAGGAGCTTACTGGCAGTCTTGTGTTGTGAGTTCGATTTCATGTGATAGTGACTATCCTGTGGCTGGTTTCGTGGCTGCTGCAAGAGAGCTTCGGTCCGGGACGTATGCAACTTCATGTGGGAGTGATCATGTAGATTGTTATGCAACATCTATACAGGTGCCTGGGAGCTCAAGCACATGCAGATGGTAGTCCGACATCATATGGCGAAAGTCATGCCATCTTCAAGATGATCTATTATGTACCGAACGCAAGGAAGTTTATGATATTCCTGAAGAAAGCTTAATAGCTTATGATGCTTGATGGAAAGGATCATAGAAATGACATCATTGTCATTATTGTAGGGATACCTATCATGTTATTATTGACGAGGTGCTGGGATCTCGACACTGTGTCCCTCTATTTATGTATTGAATACTATTCGACGCCATCGATTTTTGATGCTGATATGAGAATTCAAAACCTCAGCAGAATAGCCTATCTACACATGTCATTTGGTTAGTCTATTAATTGACTCACAAGTTGGAAGATCCGTGGTGGAGTCTCACTCGGAAACTAATGCCAAATGTGTGATGTACGCATCTCGCTCCACTTTCTCTCATTTTGGGCTGGCTTGCGAAGCTCGTAGCTTGAGCTGTTGCTGTGGATTGCTACTTTCTCTAAATTTATGTTGGCTTGGTAGCCTCCCTGATCACCATAAGGTATCGGAGTATCTATGAGAGATGTCATGCCACCAAGATCGGCTCTGTAAAACCAACACCTGATGTCTGCAGAATGCGATAGGGCGCTAGACCTGCGAAAATGCCGATCTGAATCGCAGTGGAAGATCATTTACCCTACATTGGACAGGGGCAGCACATCGAAAAATGCAGATAAAACATCA